TCAGAAGTTTAGGCCAGGAATCTGTTCTTCAGCATAGACAAAATGTTGTTTCCAATACCTTCCTTGTTCCCATAGAAAACTACAAACTACATATTTAATAAGCATTTTAGCATAACTAGCTACCTTGATACAAATGGATATGGTGAATTAGTGTTGGATTATTATTAGTTATTTTGCAGTCCGACACAAATCTGACAAAATTTAATGCTTTTCCCTTTGGAGGTCAATGTAGCTTGCCATGTTTTGCTAAATGGTTTGGCTTACATGAAGCATTCATACAGAGGACAATGGTTTAAACTGTCTTGTGGCTGGATTTGATTTTTGGACCCATAATTCACAAACTTCAACCAGAATAAGCATGCATGTCCCCTTCGGCAGACCCAGAGGACCACCCAAAACAGCCCTGTATACGTCCAAACAGCCACATGTCCTGCTCTGTCATTGTTCAGCTCTGTGATCACTACTCATGATGATTACTGCCATATTTTCCAATGCTCCGGATGGTTCTCTGATCCAAATTATAGTGTGAAGAATACTTTTCAGATCATTAAAACAACCACTCTTTGGGGTAAGCTATATCCCCTCTCATACTACACACATGGTTCCACTTCATCTCCCCCTTCTGCTTTGGTTCTTGATGCGTGATTTGGACCAGTTAACTATAAATACCATATTTATTTTTAATAAATATTAATAAAAATAAATAAATAAAACTGCAACCTTAATTCATAGTGTTCATGTTGAGTCCAAAACATTTTTTAAGTCAAAATCAAATTCAAGTTTATTCTGTTTAAACATAAGTCTCTTAAATGAGAGCAACACTAATGGATGCATATTTTCTAATGTATGGAACCATAACTGAACATGAACATGGTGCTTGTTTAGCCCCAGATGCCAACATATAAATCTAACTGGTCATTGGATTCCTATTCTAATCCTGGTCTGGGAAGTCTAAGCCCAAACCATGGTGGACTCAAAATAAATAATAGAAACTAATAAGGTAAAGATTATCCATGGGTTTCTGAATGGTGAGAAATTAGGACAGTTTACATAGCAATTAACAATCTGAAACAAAATAGCCTATCTATTGAATGGTGAAAAGACCTCAAAATGTCATCTTAAAGAGGAAGCAGACACCCCGGCATACTTAGAGATGCACAGTGTTGTCTGCGCATTGGGAAAGTATTAATCACTGAATATCCAAGCAGAGAGTTAAAATGCAGAGTTTCAGACAGAACTCATTACTCTCCCACTCTCCAAAAAGGGCTTTCTTGTAAATAGTAAACTTGGGCCAAAAGCTTGTCCTCAGTGACCCCACACTCTTTCAGACCAGCTCCCAAACAACCACCACTACAGGACCAAACCTTATCTCAACAACAAGTCCTGCATAAGACAGTTTTGTGTCTATCTTATCTAAACTGTCCTAAATTTTTTTCTTTATGAAGACGTTATAAACCAGACATAGTGTGAAAAGAGGGGCCCAGAAACCTTTTAACTACAGATCATTTTTATCTTTTCTCTTTACAAGGACTAAAGGGGCATATTATAGATTTATTCTGCACAAACTAAGCTAATACTGACTGGAGGCTAAAGAAAGCTGCAATTGCACATATATGTTGCTATTACTACACTTTCTACTTTTGCAACAAAGGTTACAACTACTCAAAGAAAACCCAAGAAAAAATACTTTGCTCTACACTAAGTAACTCAAAAACACGTGTTGTAAAATGCATTAAGGCTTAGAACATTGCTCACACACCCCACATACTTAGATTCCGCATCATAATCCCACTTACGTACATCACTAATTATTGCTCCGATAATTATGGGCCTTTGTTTACAGGGGAAGTGTAAAACTAGCAAAAGAATTTGGATTTTATTGGAAAACAAATTACTGCCAATCCCCTGTAGGGCCAAAGTCAACATGAAGTAACAGTGATGAGTGAGCTCTCAATTTTCTTCACTGAGTCTAGTATGATGTTTAGCCTGGCTTCATCCCAGACTGCCTTAATGTAGGTCAGTGGATTAAACGTTTGTATTTAAAACAGTTGAAATGTATGAAAAAGAGGACCCCCTGCCCCGTGCTCCCTCTGACCTCTTTCTTCAGACACGTACCAGTCATTGCTGCACATGCACAGTCACACATTCAGATTTTCCAGAGGACAGACACGCACTCCCAGCTGCTCAAGACCAGAATCCCAGGTCCACATTACGCCATCGACTCACTGGAAAATATGTGAGAGACTGTGAACTCATCCACAGTAAAGTGAAGTTTTTAGGTTAGGGGCAACTGTTACAAGGTGTGATGGCCACAGTTAAAACCTCATCACTTAATCATTGTTAGCTGTAAATCATTCACTCAAAGTCGCATCAAAAAAGTAAAAGAGTTTCAGTGGTTCTTAATGGTTTATTTTGGAATAAATATACAAAAGTCAAAGACATTTCGAACTGTCTGAGTAGAAAAAAGAGAAATATTTACAATATTTTTGCACAGAAATGGATAAATGTATACATAGTATACAGCACAATCTGTGTATGTCATTACTTTTGCTGTACAAAGTGCAAAAGCCAAGGTATAATTAACTGAGAAAACATAAAGACAATGCTGCATGAGTCCTGCTGCTGAGGAAAGTGGAGATAGTACTGGACTAAAGGACAGCTGTGCTCTGGATGAGGAGAGACACAATCATAACAGTATAACAAAGGCACTGCCAGCTTTTCTTCCCTAACGTGTAGCCTTTCATTGATAATAAATGATGTGTGTAAACCGTGCCAGAAGAGCATGATTTAACAGGCTCTACGACCTGATGTACACTGTGGACACAGGGCAACAATGGAACACCAAGAACATAAGAATCTGTTAGTAAGCCCATCAAATTTTACTAGTGAATGTTGGACTGTCCAGCTCTGTTCAAATCACACATATGTTGCTTCTCTAGGAGGAAAGAAAAACTTTACTTAGGGATAAGCATTTATAAATCCCCATAGCAGACTTTACAAATCTTTCCAATACACACACAATAAATGTTGTTTATTGCTATTAATCAAACAAACCCTGAAAAATAATGAGCAACTTGTAAATTCCTGGAACAGTTCAGCTAAGATTCTACAAAGCTTTATCAGTCTCATTAAGACAAATAGTAGCTTTGTTCCGAACACAGAAACACTTCCATTTTTCACTAGAAAATAATTGAATATGGCTAATCTTTTCTAACATATGGCTGTGAAGAATGTGTTCACATTTGTGTCCTAAACAGCTGCAAGCAAATTGGCTTTAAGATAATATTTGGTTTAGATAATCAATACAGCAGCAGGGTAGCAGCTGTGGCAAAGAACTTGGCTACGTGTTGAGCAGCAAGAACTCTGGAGTGATGCATTTTATTTCTTATTTCAAGAATCTAAAAACTCCCTGAAAAATAACAAGAGACAGGTGGCGAGCAACATGCAGCAGGGTGCTTATAAACACAAACGCTCTTGTTTGTTTGTTCATCTTTGTATTGCAGAAGCCCCAAACATAAACGCTGAGTCTAAGGCAGGTGGGGCTTTATGGAGATTCAGAACCTGCTGACATGGGATAAATAACATTTAAAATGTGTTGTGTTGTTTCTTTAAATTAGACCCTTAAATGTAATATAGTCATCTCTGCAGAGACTTAAATCTCAACATTTATTATCCATCAGTTTTTGAAAGTATAAAATCTGCTCCTGACCAAGAGTCCCTAACATGGGCTGAGGTTACAGAAGTCCAGCTCCTGTGGTTTACGCAGGTCCGTGCAGTGTTCTCGGGGCAGCAGGTGTCCCGTGGGAGCTCTGCAGTCCAGGGGGCGCCTCTTGAATCCTTTGCCACAGGTCCTGGAGCATGGGGACCAGTTCCCCACCCTCCACTCGGGACAGGGCTCTCCACACATCCTGGTGGCTGGGGGTCTCTGTGCAGGATCACAATCAAAACCAGGCTTACCATCCGGTCGCAGACACTGAACCAACCTCCTCTGCAGCCCATTACCACAGGTTACCGAGCACTTGTCCCAGTTTGTGGAGAGCCACTTCTCCAGACCAGGCTCCTCCTTCGTATATACATTTTTCAGGCTGTCCTTATCATCCTCTGCTAGGACACTATTGTGGGAGTTTATACGTGTGTCCTTCTTTGAGGCCTTGTCCTCTTTGGTCTGTCGGGGCAGATAGAAGGAGTAGCGGATTCGGGGCGGGGTCATCCGGCCGGCACACAGCACCTCAACAGTTAAAGATTCTCCTATAGGTTTGACCGCCTGCAGAGTCTCAGAGGCGCCAGAGGTGCCACTGTAGCGCATCAGACTGTTCTTTACAATGATGTCTCGCTCCCCAGAGGACACAACGTAGTTCCCATTCAGCACATACTGTCCATTACTGCTCTTTACAGCCAGATAGTTGTCATCACTTGCCATTCCCTTGTAACCTCGCTGTCTGATGTCGATGTTGGCAGCGCCCACTGGAAGCATGACCACGAAGTTGTATCCATGTCTGTATAATTGTCAATATTACACAAAATCAGTTCAGAACTCGATGATTAAAGTGGTCTGATATTATTTCACTATATCTGTACTCACATTGGCCTTGTGAAGAGTCCTGACACTTTCTTGCAGCCTTTGTTGTCACCTCCACATACGCCACACTTATCAAACTTTTTAGCCGAACCAATTCTTCCATCACAACCAGCCTTGATGCACTTTCCTTGGACACATACTCCTGTTGCATCGGGGGAGCATGGGGTGCCATCTACCACCTGCAATAAGCACATGCACAAATGTAAGGAACCAGTTTGTAAACCTGATTTTTTTTTACGATGGATTAATAATGGCCCCAAACTGCCCTTTAAAATTCATAGGGTTTACTGTAACGTCTTGGCTGAGGTTGGATTGTACAGCTGCAAGGTGATTTAAGCGTCTTGGGAGTATTTTTATCTCCTCCTCCGCATGTTAGAGTGACGTGTGAACTCTGAATGTGCTGCTTACACTCACATCACACTCCTCGATCTGGGTTAGGCTAACTCCTATCTCATCCCTTAGTGTTTATATGCAGACACAATACAGTCAGCTGGCCCATATATTTACTGCAGAAGACAACTTTTCCTGAAACCTACACTTGATAAAGGGATCAACCACTGGTCTCAGTCTGTGACTGGTTACTGATAATCCAATTAGAGGGCTGTTTTTTTCATCAACACAAAGTAAACAAAGTAAACAAGAAACTATTCACTATTGAAAGGTCTTAAAGGTGCACAGTGTAACTTTTCTGGAGAGTGTCCGCAATCTGTTTGTCTCCATGGAGATATGAATGCTTTGGTTTAAATTGTTCACAGTATGGCATTAAACTGATCTGTCTTGCATTTATTCAACTACCGATGTTATTTATTGCTCAAAAATATCTTAAAAAACATTAATTCTTATGAGTGGGGTTACCGCTCCACAAATCTAGCCTCGTAAGTCTCCATGGAGATTCTTTAGTTTATGGCCATATTGTGGAGCATTCTAGGCACATCTCCATGGAGACAAGCAGATGACAGACCCTACACTAGACTAGTTACACAGTGCACCTTTAAGTTTGAAACTGTACACACACACACTTTCAGGCTTTTTACATAAAACAGTTTGTTGTGGCGGTCCTTACTATTAGTTTGATCCAGTGACCATTTCTACAAGGTAAAACTGTAATGCTGTAATGCTATTCTTTTTCTAAAAACTAGTTGTGTACATTTTGTAAACAAAGTCTTACCTTTGGAGCAAGGACATAGAAGTACCCGGTGCCGTTAGCCCTACAGATGAGTTTGCACCTGTCGTTAGCAGAAACACCAGAAAACTTAGGCACCCAAACAGCGGAGGTAGCAATGCGATTGTTGTTGAAACTGCGTCCACTGTTCTCACACTGCTCCTCTCTGAAGGTCTTCCCTGCTCAAAACAGACAGATGAAAAGGTTAGAAGTTTGAATGCTTGAGGCCAGAACGTGTCATTGGATGTGTTGTACCATTGTCGGGGCAGTGGTTGAAGCTGCAGGAACGGTATTTGACACGGACGCCTTGGCAGTATTTCCCCCCGTTTGATGGAAATGGGTTACTACACTCCCTTTTGGAGAGTTGGACACCCCCTCCACATGAGCGAGAGCAGGGGCCAAAAGCACCCCACTTACCCCAACGACCATCCACCTGGAAATTACAAGATGAACAAAAGATATATGAGCAAAAATCAATTTAGTAGAATAATTGAAGTAGCCTGAGAAACTAAAGAGAGGCAGGATTCTGGATGGATGTCAAAGCTTACTCCATCGGTATGGGACCCACAGACACAACACATTGTGGCATTGTCTGACAAATTTTCCATTGTAGGGAGTAACTTATGATGACTTAATCCAGATAGCAAGGACTTAGTACAGCAATGCAAATTCTATAATATCTTTCATATCATGTCATATTCTATAAAGATCTGTGTTTTGCAATAGGATTCACTGAGAATTTACTGCATAGATTTATGCAGTAAATTATAAGAGCTAGAGAATCTTAACTGAGAGATCAAACCAATTTTAGATACTTAACACTTTACACTTTACACACACAAGTGCTTCAGTTTTGTTTGATCTCAAAGTGTAATGTGATTCAGAACATGGTATTACCTTCACAGTTTGCACAGCCATCTTATTGGTGCATATTCCGCGGTCGCAGATCTGTCCCTCACCACAAGGCGTGCCATCAGCCCAGGGAAAATGCCTGGTCATACACACAGGATGACCATTGGACTTCCCTGTGCACCACAAGCGACCACATGGAGGCTGCATAAAGGTGCATGGCTTGGATCCCTCCCCAAATGCAAGCTCACATTGACGGTCTAAACTGTAGGTCACTCCGGGCAGCACATCAGGGAGGACCAGGGGCTTCTGCGGTGGGTCCAGTAAACAGTCCCCTGAAAACACAAAAAGATAAAGTATTGCTACACGAAGCATTTAGTAAATTCATCCATATTTCCATCCCTCTTTAATCAAATGTCTGTGCTTTTGTGGGAGTTTATGGGAAAGACTGATCATGGTGTGCTTCGTACTCACTTGTACCATGAGATAACCATCTTATCTGTTATCTGTAATATATCATTCCCTTCACGACATGGCATAAGTGAGATTTCTTACTAAAGATATTTTTGCAACAATCGTGATGATGAGTAATAGCATTGGGCATTTACAGTAGCAGCAATAGAGAAAACAGTGTTAGTAATTTTGGTAGCAGCAGCAGTGGTAGAATAGTAACTGATGGTGGTAGAATTAACAGTAGTAGTATTTGGAATAGCACCAGCTACAGTAGTTTCAGAATGTACAAGTACTTTAAAACTACATGCACAAACTTCCTACCTCTTCTGTGTAGGGAAGTGATTTGATAATTTGCTAATGTCAGTTCACAGTTCACTCAACATTGAACAAGCTCAATCTCATTCCTTCCTTCCCACTCTCCAAAGAGCCATCATTTAAAACAATAGCTGCTATTGTGTTTACACAGAAATGAGGAGATTACAAATGACTTGGGGCATGGCGCTGCATCGTAACGTGAGGCAACATGTTGTTCTAGGAGCACCACTGCTTTTTGAAGACTAGATTTATGACAGCCAGCCAGTAGGGGCCAAGTTACAACACTGTTAGCAAAAATCACTCCCAGGCAAGTTTTCTTTATGTATTTCTTGGGTTGCATTTTGTTCGTGGGCTTGTACTAAAGTAGACAGAGACATGTCGTTTGTCTATTTGGAGTTCTTCTGCATGTGAAGCGGTACGCGGATACACCTCTGATTCCAAACCTCAGCGGTGACTCTTTTAAACAAGACCTCTAATTTAGTGCAGATGTCGGCTAGTTTTAAAATAAGAGTTGAGTGCCTCTCCAGGGCTTTGTGGTCTGCCCAGCTTGGCAAAGAGTCCAAACCAATTCCAATGCATTTCTGGTGATGGCAGATGTTGCACTGGCCCATTTTAGTAACTTGATTATGCCCACACTTTGATTATGAGTGTTGGGTTGAAGACAAGAATAACTGTCGAAATCATTAGAACGTGAACTCGGACAATTGCTTAAATGGTTGAAACCACAAATAGTAAAAGATATCACAAGGAAATTATGTAGTAACTGTGATGCATAACATGCATAGCCATTTTTGTGTGTATTGCAGTTATTAGTGCACAGCAGCACCAACCTTCTTCCAAAAAGGCATTTTGGAAATACAACAAGAGTCAATGGTTTACAAATTTGTTCCCTTGGCAATTTTTTTCTAAGATGACTCCATATGAAGTTAGAAAAAGCAGAATCTCTCTATAGTGTTGCTAAATAGTCATAGCCCTGAGCACTATATCACAAAGGCCATGTTATTATTTTGTTTTTTTTCCATCCATTCCTGTGTTTGGATCTGTATATGAAACTTAACCATTCAAACTCACCATGTCCCCCATCCAAAAACTCTGTGATGATAGCAGCACTGCAGGAAGACCAGGGGCTGGTGCGGTTGATCTGGATCAGTGTAGGAGACATCATGTGGTTATCCTGCAGTCTCCCAAAGACATCGTCACAGGCTTTTACATTGTCGTGTGGCATGTTGAACACATGCCCTGTTGAGAGGAAGCCCAAGTTAGTCCTTTTGTACTTGAGTAAGCAGTTATTTTATTATGTGCTGTCATTTAAGTGATGTGTGGTTTTGGCAGATCTCACCGAGTTCATGAGCCGTGGTGAAGGCAGAGGGCAGGCCGTCGTCTTCGATCACAGAGCAGCTCCTCTTTGGGTCACACATGGTGCCAACATCTGCCATGCCCAGAGTGTCACAGGTGGAGGCTCCACACAGGTCCTGCAATGAAAATTATATGAGAGATATATGAAGATGTTTAAGTCACAAAAGCACATTTATTTTTATTTTTCCTTATTAAAACCTGTCTGCTCTCCCATCAGATTTCAAATAAATAAAAAAACATGCACAATAGGGAAAATCTTGTGGCTTAAGTAGTCCTGATCAAGCCAAGCTCAAGCTCTGGAAATGAGTCTCTGGGCATTGCACTACTTCTGATGGGTTGCCCCAGCCCTGAAGCATGGGTCAAATGTAGAGGACAATAAAGTTCACCATAGCCTTAACAAACCTCCTTAATTAAGTGGTTACTTTGTTTAGAGCTTCTCCTACATGAGCTAATAATGTAATGTCTCTCGTCATAATAACATTTAAACTCGGTCGCACGCTTTCCAGATGACCCATTTCCTGACCACAGTAGTACAACCTCAGTTTTAGTGCATATTTAGAGTTTCTGACCAAGCCTACTAATCACACAGGCCACGAGCATTCATAACCGCTGCACAGAAACACCCATCTCCGCTCTCTAAACAGCACAAGCATATACATTACATACAACCAATTTGTGCTCTGAGAAATGCAGCTCCAGGCAAAGACAAAGCCAGCTTAACTTAATGCAACTGTACAGCACTTCAGTTCAATGAATGTACCCATAAAACGCTGAGCCAAGTGAAGAGCCATGATGACAAACCATTCCTAGCATAAACCACAAATGCTGCAATTCCAAATGGCTTCCAGATGCCTCTGTGTGTGCAGGAGATGACATCCAAAGATTGGGTCATTTAAGAGGAGGAAATAAAAACGTGCAAGAAGAACAAGAGGAACAAAGCAGCAGTGTCAAAGAGTTTGTTTCAAGCTACGACCTACTTCTCACATCTGTCAACTATCATATAAGCAACTCCATTAAATGGTGTACTTAAACAAAACACAGATTAATATTATGTACAAAGATTAAGGCTCTGATTATGGTTTGCGTAGGATTGTTATAATTTAGCTCTGATTGCACTGTAAAGAAATCTAACCTTGTTTATGAATCAAATACTCAGAATTCTTTGCATGCAGATTACAAATGAAAACTTTATGCTCAGATTTTTCCTTCTTTATATTTGTTGTGATAATCCATAAAAGGAAATCTGATTTTCTGGCAGTGGCAACTATGGTATTGGACACAAAGCCTGAAAGCAAATATTAATTGAAATCAATATGTATTATCACTGACCTTTTTCAAAACAGTACATTGTTATAACAAATAGGGATTTACTTCTATTCTAACTAAAATCTTGGTTTTATAAGTGCTATTACAATACCGTGTTGAAAATATATGTAGCCTATACAGTAGTCGCTGGCCTTCAATGGATTCTGTCATCTTTTAAATCAAAAACTGAAGTCACTGAGGGAGTCAGATGGCATTGTTGTGTGTAGGTGTGGTTCTGAGTTGAAATATAAATTGGACTGGATAAACTTTCCCTATATAGAAAATTTTACATTGACCTGGATGGCTCCCAGCTTGCATATTTATGGAGCATATTGTTTTCTGTCAGATGCCATGACCTAGACAGGAAATATAATTGTGTCAGTGTGCTCTGGAGCACCCCCCCCATCCATGTATCCATCTGTCCCTTTTGGATGTGTTTAAGAGGCCCATGCAGTGGAGAACATGCAGCTGGAGCAGTGATGAAAGTCAGCAATGCATCCCTTCAGGCACTTGCAACACTTCTTAATGTTACAGGTAAATCATCTGTTTTAAACTACTGTCATTTAATTTCCCTTTTCACACAAGCTTGCTGGTCAAACTCCCTAAAGCCAAACAGTTCATTATGGATCATTGACTTCACTGTTGACCCAGTGTCAAATATTTGGGAGTGCAGCTTTTCCATTCAATGAAAAACTGCCCTCTCGTGAGCAATGAAAGCAATCAGGGATTTTGCTCTCTCCTCCCCAATTACTTCTGACCTACGGTGTCAGAGCTCTCAGGAGTACAATTAAAACAATGGGCTTGTGCCAGTAGATCATGCTTTAAACGTTCACAAAAATGCAGACTCGTGAAAATTAGGTCAAACGTGCTACATACGGATAACTTTAGGGGTCTCCACTGCTTTGGCTTACATTTTCCATAACTTGCCTGAAATTGAATACATTTAAAAAAATAAATAAATAAATAAATACATTTATAATTTAAGCACGGTCACCTCTCCACACATCTGACTTGTATCTTGGCCTGGTGGTGTCGAAAGATGAATTTATTACCATATTGTGTATCATTCCAGACAATGCATCTCCATGAGACAAGCATATAACCAACACCAGAAAAGTTGCATGGTGCAGCTTTAAGTAAATGTGAATATGATGTTACCTCTCTTGTAAATAGAATTGCCGTGTCCCAGTATTCTGCGTGCTTATCTGTGTTCTTGTTCATCTTTTTCTGCCAAGTGCAAAAGTTTCTGAGAGTCATTGCTGCGTTCCCGGACACCTTGGGTCCTTTGTCAGCTTCAGTTATCACAATTATCTTTACGACTACGATGCTGATTGAGTTGAGAATACTGGGGTGCTTGTATAGTCGCGCAGCCACTGACATCAGCGTAAGGATGTAGTGCTTTAGGTCATCGCCGTGAAACTGTGCCATTGACTCGTCCGCCGCTATGAGCGTCTCCACGTATCTGGGGACTGACGCAAACCTTTTGGATCTCCCCAATTTCTGAATCGTATTGGTCACATTGTTGTCATCTGCTAAGTGTCTGTATTTCTCCAGTGATTGCACAAGCTGTTGACTTATGTCACTGTCCACGGCACATCTGGACGTGGCGTTTGGCGTCAAGTTACGGCTGGTTCTGCGCCGGAGTATGTGCGCACCTTCTGTAGTTCTTGTATCATTCTGGACCGGAGTTATAAAATATTCCCATCCATGGAAGCCAAAGGCACCCTGTAAACCATTACAAAGACTCAGCGCTGCATAGGAGTTGCTGTCATCGTTGACGTATCCAGAGTAGAAACACCGGTGCAACTCGTGCGTGACATCGCTGTTGGATAGCTTCGGTGCGTCTTGGTTAGAAATACTTGATGACATAAAACTAGAGTCCTGGCGTAAATCAAGCAATAATTCCTGATGAAATGCCCTTATTTTTATGACACTTTTCCCTTTAGAGAGATCCACGTCGTTGTCAGAAAAAGTCCTTCTGTCATGATTGGAGTTTTTTAGCCTGACAGGAAAGCAAAGTTCACTTTCCATGCAACACACAAGTTTGGATAAAGTAAGCGCCAAATAGAGTAGAAATGGTATTCTGATAAACATGACGATGCTTGCATTCGGTACAGAATGCAGTGATGATTAGCCGGTAAAGTCTGCAGGATGAGTGGAGGCGGTGAGAGTTTGAGGGTAATCCAATAGGCACTTCTACACTGCAGCTTGTACAAGTCCACTCACTGCAGCACACTCCTCCTGGTCAAGACCCATTCCTCCACCTGTGTCTGCTAAGGCAACTGCAGCCCTCAGCGCAGGCTCAGGCGCTTTTTGTGAAGGGGCAGTCTTTGGAGAGGCTCTGGATAAAAATGTAAAGTCAACTACTCAAGACACCAAAAACTCAAGAGAGACAACCCAGTGTCTTCTGGCAAGAAAACTGTATTTATTTATTTATTGTTGTAGGATTTTGTCATTTACAAGGGCGATGTTATCCTAACATTAAACATTAAAGTTATTTTTGTTAAAGTTTGTTTAGTTTAGTTAAGTTAGTTAAAGCTCCATAGAGATGTTATCCTTGCCTGGAATCTTCCATTGTATGACATTAAACATATCCATCTAGCATTTATTTGAGCGTTTCTATTGCTCAAAAATACCAACATTTCTTCTGTGATTAGGGGCGACTCTCCACAGATCTGAACTGTAATGTAGAGTAGTGCTCTAACCTATTGTCTCCCTGGTGACAGAGGTGATATAGGTTTCATATATACTGCGGAACATTCTAAACAATAAAGCAATAACATTTCCCAACAAACAAACGAATGGCAGACCCTCCACTAGAAATGTTACGCAGTGCACATGTAAGCAAAACATTACACAAATGTTTAATGACAGGACATGGCAAGATGTGTGTTGTCATAGAGCAATGCTATCTATGGCAGTCCATGACAGCAGTCTATGATTGCAATGGTATTTAGCTGTATTTGCCTTACTCAATCTTTGAGCATCATCTGGTGGACAGAAAAATACACTGCATTAAAAGATTTTTAGTAGGCTACATCCAGATATGGACCCATGAGTACATCATAATGCATATACAAAAGTTGTACAGAATATAGATTTAGTTATCACAATAGTACGTTTAGAATCCGTTCCCATCTGAAAGATACGTCGGTGTCTTTTAGACTATTTTAATAAAGGATTATACAGCTTCAGCTTCTTTTGTTTGCAGCTGGTTGCTATGGACGCAGCACAGGTTGCTATCCTAAGGACCCAGTTCTGAGGTGTCCGTAAAAATGCCCGAATAAATTTAAACAACAAGTTTACAAATTACACTGGAACAGAAGATCTGTAGATCATTTTATGGTCACGATAACTTTTCATAACACACACAATCTATATAGCCGTGTATAATCAAACACTATACAGAATTTTGTAACTTTAGGCGGTGGCGCTTCGACACGCTGTTCTCAACATCTCCAAAACTAAGAGGTGTGAGAAACTAACCTGCTGAAATAGCCGATGCCTAAACAAGAAAACCGTTGAATTTACGTTTTTTATTCACCGATGGCTTGCTAGTATTTATGCGTTATTAATAACTAATAGTAAAGCGCCATAACGTTTAATATATTACCTGCTAGCTAGCGTGAAGTTAACCTAGCAGAAAGTTGTTTGTAGCTTGTTACCTTGTCGTTACCTGTCAGGATGAATTTATACCATGTTTTGGAGCTTGCCGGAGAGGGTTCATTTGGTCGTGTTTACAAAGGAAGAAAGAAATACAGCGGACAGGTAAGTCTGTTTGAGTTTAGTTGTACATTTACTACCACTCGATTTGTTAGCCGTGTATTCTATCTGTCATCTCTTTGTCATTGCACCTGTGTCCATCAGGTTGTGGCCCTAAAGTTCATCCCAAAAGTGAGTCGTTCTGAAAAGGAGCTTCGGAATCTCAAAAGAGAGATTGAGATTATGCGGGATCTTCAACATCCAAATATTGTTCAACTTTTTGACAGCTTTGAGACAGACACAGAGGTATTTTACACTATCCATGAAGTGCGGCAATAAAAATTAAATACTGGGAGGAAGAGAGGAATTGTGGATAATAATGACAATTTATAATTTAATAGGTAGTAGTTGTGACTGAATATGCTGAGGGACAACTGTTTCAGATTCTTGAAGATGATGGCAGTTTACCAGAATGTCAGGTATTTCATTTTCTTTCTAGGATCTTCTTGGTGTATAGCATGTCAGCTTCTTCTTTTCACTAGGTCAGAGATAGCCTGCCAGTTGGTTTCAGCTCTTTATTATTTACACTCTCATCGCATTCTTCATCGTGACATGAAACCTCAAAACATTCTTCTTGGGAAAAGTGGAGGGGTGAAGCTCTGTGACTTTGGGTTAGTAAAATGTATTTGTTGAAATTTGTTTACATTGCCAGTGCTTCATTTCGAGACTGGTGATAACTTCTGTCTGTGTAGGTTTGCCAGGGCCATGAGTGTGTCTACTTTGGTGCTGACTTCAATCAAAGGCACACCACTGTACATGTCTCCAGAGCTTGTGGAGGAGAAGCCCTATGACCACACTGCTGATCTTTGGTCACTAGGCTGCATTCTTTATGAGCTCCACACGGGGGCGCCCCCATTCTACACTAACTCCATCTTTCATCTGGTGCAAATGATAGTGAGAGACCCAGTCAAATGGCCACCAACAATGAGCGACAACTGCACGGTAAAGAAAATTGTGTTATCCAAATACTATATATATATATATATATATATATATATATATATATATATATATATATATATATATATATATATATATATATATATATATATATATATATATATTATTGCATATTTTAGAGTTTCCTAAAAGGATTGCTGACAAAAGACCCCCAGATACGACTTACATGGCCTGATCTTTTGCATCACCCATTTGTAGAAGATGGTGTTCAGGTACACATTTTGGCATAAAATTAAACATTCATATTTGTACACTATCTGTTTTTTTAATTTCTCTATATTTCCCCAGTTTTTTCAGACTCAACAGTGTTCAACCCCCTCACAGAAATGCCTAGTCCTGATATGGTGGCACTGAAGCTTCATCAAGTTGCATCAAAGACAACGCGGGCTAGAGGGGAGAGTAGGTTGTTACAAAAAGCCTGTGAAAAAGGAAAGGAGAAATCTAAAGTTAGTTAATCTATGTTTTACATGTTTTGCTTGTTTTATTTGTCATGTTTAATCTGTGCCTATGTCCTTAATAGAAAGAAATAAAAAATGATTGTGGTTACTCCAAGGCAGCAGCCACTCAGCCTGCTTCTAGACAGACAAAACTACCACCCCTAGAAGAAGTTTTAAAAACATCCAGTGCTAATTCAAAAGTTGGTGAGCACCAGAAATCTAAACACAGGTTTGTTTAGTACAAAGTACCTGAGTTACTTACATTAAAAGTGTAAAAGCATCAATAAAACCAAAGATTTAAATTGACTTATTTTACAGGGGTCAAATCAGCAGAGACTATGCACAAGAGTTCTCCTCTGTAGAAGTTGGTCCGCAGTTAGTTCGGAGGTGCTTTGAAGAACGAAGACCCACTTTGCATGCACAGTTTAGGGTGAGCCATTTCATATGGGTTTATGCAAGTATAGGTATATAGACATGTTCCAATAAAAACTTTAATTTCTTTAGAAAATGGATGCTGAAGACCTTTGGGAAAAACTGCTCCAAGAAGTTAGCAGATGCAGATTTAAAGTGCTTAGGAATAATGACCTTATCCCAAGGCTGAAATCAACATTTCTTGCATTTAAAACTCAGGTCTTAAATGCATGTGTTAAATAAAATAAAATTGGCAACAATCCTTCAGTTAAATGTTTCTTTGGTTTTATTTTTGCAGCTCAAAAGTGGAAATGTGAAGGAACCATTGGAGATCTATCAGCCACTGAAGCTATTAAGCAGTCTGATCGAGTCTGACCAGGAAGACACCTATGACCTCTGTCTACAAATTGGCCTGCCCTATTCGCTCTTTGACTTAATCTATACCATAGTTGAAAACCTGACCATCACTAAGGTAACTTATTTGTAGTATGTTTGACACTTCTAAAATATACAAATACACAATATTAATTTGAACTGTTCTGCACTAGCTTCCATGGTGTGTTCCAACACTTGGTGAAATGTTTGAGTTGCTTCTAATCTTTTGGGACAGGCACAGTGATTGGGCAGAAGAAGGCTACAGGTTTAAAAATGACTTTTTAATTATTTTATTTGAATCTGTGCATTTCTGGTGTTCAACTAATCATTTATTTTACAGTCAATTAGAAGAACACTCAAAGATGTTTGTCACAGTTCTTAATCAACCAATGTTTAGGACATTGGCAGTAAGTGCTTAAAATATATATAATATGTAAACTGAGTCTAATCTGAGTTTAAAAACTAAAATATTATTTAAAACTTAAAAATATATATGATATGAATATGAATATTATATGATATACAATTATATTAAATTATTATAAATCTTGTTATTAGCCTCTTGCAGCTGCTGTCTTATCTAACTTTATACAACATGATGTATCTGTGGATTCTGATGTGGATACTCTGAATACATTATTGCGGGACCTTTGGGAAATTAATGAGGTATAAATTTTCTTTTTTAACTTGTTTGTAAACATTTTCATTATCAATAGGGAGTGGAACCGGAATAAGGCCATAAATAAGGCCTCAAACATATATTTACATGGCATTATTTTTTTGTTCCTAATGTTTGAGACAAATAAATTTCATTAATTTGTTAATTCATTTTTATTGTCCAAAATGTTCTTTTCTAACAGGACTGCATTCCCTTACCGGCAGGATGGGGAATGTTCGATGGAATCCTGGCTTTATTCCTTCACACACTCTCAGAGGTCAGAGGACAGTACAAAGGCAAGAGTGATGTTTGGTGAAAAAAGCAATGCTTAACTCATTGTATTTTCAGCATGATGGTGGACTGGGCTCTTCATGTTTAGACCCTGGTTTGTTTCTGAGTTTATGGAAAAGAGTTGGTGACTCACTTGGAAGAACCCCATCATCCACAGATCACTATTCTGCCAATGGTAAATACGCTAAAATGCACTCAGTTTAAGATGTGTGTCCATCAATGCAGATTTGTCAACATTCGTGTACTAATCATGCAGTTAGTTGTAAGTTGTATGTTTATTTTGTGTCTTTTAGTTTTTGTCTATTTGATTGCTTTTTGTTTGCTAACCCAAAGTTTGCAAAGTGTGACACTGTTGTTCTCATTGATGTATTCTGCATTTGTGACAGGCATATACTCCTTTTTGTCTTTGGCACTTTTGGTCTTCACCCAAGATCCACACTTATGCATTCCTCTGTTCAGCGACACCTCATCTAAATGCGTGTACACACTGGGTCTGCTGCTTAAGCCTGATTGGTTTGTGTTTTCATTCCTTCATTTACACATTTCCCATTTTTCCCTTTTTTGTGGGTTCATAATCAACTGTTATTACTGACAAATGCACCCTGCCACTAACAATGGCATTTGTGATCTTTTTCAGTCTGGGCTTTTTTGTGGAGGACTGCCCGCGCAGACTGGAGACTGATTGGAGTCTTGACAGCTTGTCTGTGTTGAGCTGCCACTTGTTGTGCTTCCCATTTGCTCTGGATGTCCCTGCTCTCACCATGTCCAGGATTCTTGACTTGTATGTCAGCAGTAGTGTTATTGCAGGCCTTTTACAGGTTAGGACCTCATCATACTCTTAATAAAGACCTCTGTCTCACTACTGTAGTAAACACATCTTCGTCTGATGCAACCCCAGATAACTCTTGCAGCAAACTGGCATAAAGACATTGTGTACACATTAATATGTTTGGTATTTCTGCACAGATTGCACGTTATTTGTTCTATGCTGTTTGATGTTGGGCCAGGTGTTGGGATGATGTTTTATGTTTTTATGTTTTGGCAGGTGATTCAAACACTTACCCCTTCATTATTAGAGCTGCCTCTCTCGCTGCTGAGCCGTCTGCTGCTGTGTGACCCTGAGCGCTCACTCTCTTGCCTCAGAGACAACGCTGGTGCTTTCTTGATGCCGAGCGGGAACAACTGCTTATCTGTCTCTACAGATACTAGAGACAGAACCGCCATGTCCCTGCTCTCAGATCTGATGCAGTCGGACGTCCTGTGGGAGGCTGCTGTGGAGCTGCTCACGGTTTTGTCCCAAGTCAGCCCATGTTCCCCACAGCTTCACCTGGAAGTTTCAGTCCTATGCCGAGCACTGACACACACTCATGAACAGATCAGGACAGCCACATGCAGACTTTTGGCAAATATACAAACATCCAACACCAATGCTGTTATTAAATCTGTCATTTTTCAACATCTTATACAATGCCTTCATGATTCCAGCATGTCTGTTCGCCGTATGGCCTGCAGGGCAGTTGGGAGCTGGTTGGGAGGTCTGGCCGAGGCAGGTTATAAAAGCAGTGAGCCCAGCACTAAAAAGGGGTTTGGCCTTAAAGTCTGGACCAAAGAAAATAGCAAAACCAAATCAAACCCACAATCAGACTGTGTTACACTGGCAGAACTAGAAGATTTAGAAAAGTGGACTGAGGCCATGAGAAGCTGCACTGCTCTACTAGGGTCCACTCTATCTGACCCGGACACTGTGATCCGCCGTCACTGTTGTGCAGCACTGGGGAACCTGGTGAAGCTGGAGGGGGCTGTGCAGTGGCTACTGGAAGAGGATGTGTCCAGTGCACTGCTCAGAGCTGCATGCATGGATCCTCATCACACAGTGAGACAAGCTGCCATATCCTCCCTCTGTATGTTCAGCCTGCACGAACCAATACGTCAGGTAGGTTAAGATGCCATTCAAATTAGTTATTACTAATATATATATTTATTATTATTATTATTATTATTATTATTATTGTAAGAAATGTATTAAAATGTAAGTTTATTGTTAAAGGATAGACAATAGGCTACATGTTATTACTTGTAAATACACTTTTTATATTATAACACATGATTAGCCTATTTGTAAACTACCTAATACTAATAAATTCAATAAATTGTGTTTTATTTTCTCAGGTGCTTATGTCCCTTGAGGCCAAAAGAAAACTTTTGCAGGCTTCACGTGCGTTTCTACAAAGCGACTATGAACAGCTCATTGGAAACTTGTGAAGAGTCATATAGGTCTTTCCTTAACAGGATCCGAACATTTAGTCGCAGCTTCGAGAAGAAAGATGCAACGCAGCTCATGTTAGATTCAAATATCAATGCGTGCTTTTGAAAATTTACGATTTCATTTTAACAAGATTGAGCGCGTCATGGGTTAGCTTTTATTTTTACACAATTGTTATTAAAAAAACCTTCTATTTTCGGTTTGTTTCCAGGGCGGGCCGCGCGGGCCGCATGTCGCGGCAAAGTTGAGCGCATCCGGCCCAGTGTTCGTTTAATTTGACAAATGGACATTTTACCTCCTGAAAACTGGAACACAGAGTTTTGTTTTTTTTTTTCTTCACAACAACTGCTGTAACACAATTTAAGTTAGGCAGAGGACACTTTATTTTGAAACTATTACAAACACAATAAACATGTTCATGACTAAAACATAGCGTCATAACACGCTGTCAGCAGGTTGCCTGGCATTATTTTTGGTATTGGACAGTCAAAGCTGATAGTACACCGCAGGGAGTAAAAGACTAAAAAGAGACGAATAAATGTCCATGAGTCAGCGTTACTTCCTCAGATTGTCGTTACTTGATGTGCGTTGAACGTGGCACGTCACATTTGCATAATGCAGAATGGACGAGGGTTCACAGACGCTTACAGAAGCCAAACATTTCATGAAAAAGTAACATCATTTTAACTAAAGTAAAAGCAACATATTCCACTCCCTGAACAAACAGTAGTTACAAGTTAGTGCAGATCAGCCATATCAGGCCTTTAGATCATATTGCCTAAATAAACAGTGCAGAGAAGTCTCCAGCTTGAGAAAATACAATGTTATGAAAAAAAACAAAGAAAAAAACAAATAAAATAATAATAATTTAAAAAATTTAAAAAACATACAAATGAAGGTGGCTAATACCTGCTATACAGTATTGGATCACTAAGAAATTTTTAGCTATACAAATGTTTCCCATTTAAAAAAAAAAAAAAAAAACATTTGTAAGATTGCTTGAGCCTGAGTAGAAAAAGCCAATAGACAACTTGCACCAGATTGCAATTTGGTTAGGACACTAAAATTAAAATAATATAACACAATAAAATGTAAATGCAATGTTAAATATGTAAATGTTGTGAATGTATGAATGTAAACACTACAGGAATGTAAAACCTTAGAATCAAAAAGAAATCGATAAACCGCACCGTTCTTTGTAGGAAGTATAAGTTCACAAGAGACTAGTTTGTCCAATCATAATTTGATTTTTTCTTTTTTTATATTTTTCACATTATGTCTGGTTTTACATAATTACTAATTTAACCTTAATTTGCTCCTCAAGACACAATAGTACTTACTACTATTACTATGAACAAAGAACGCAGGTTTTTAGATTATTAAAAAAAATATACTGGGTGAATTACAGAAAAAAAATTAAAAATTACATTTTCTATTGCTGACATCAGTTCTAATAAGGCGGTTCAGTATCCTATACCTGCTGTATGTATTGTGTTACATAATTTTTCAGAAATAATCCAACTTCAATCACATAAGATCTATTTTAAATGATTGTCATTTCAAGCATTTCAATGCCACAGTGCAGACTGAAGGGATTAAATCTGAACAGTACAACTGCGATGGAAGCATTGGATAGACTTGTTTAAAAAAACAAAACAAAAACAAATATTAGTAAAGCATGCAGTTACCCCACCCATCAGGAAAAATGAACATTCATATCTGAACAATCATAAAAACTGAAACTCCTCTCCTTCACATTAGGCGGTAGTGTCCTGTTTGAGCCTCTGGCTACGGGCCTTGTAAACTTCGATGAGCAGGTCTTTGACGTATTGGATCTCTCGCTCCACAGATTCAGCCTTGTCCCGCAGCTCACGGTTCCTGCCCTCCAAACAGTGAAGCTGCTCCTCCAATGAATCCAGTTCTGCTCTTTTTCTCTGCCGGTACCTGTAATGATAACACAAAGTGATTAATTATATAATTATACTCTCCTTTAATGACCCAAAAAGTGATTGTAGAAAAGGACATTTTTACCTGTGTGCAGCGGTTTTGTTCTGGTCACGTTTCTTCTGTTTGCGCTCCCCGCCTTCCACTGGGATGATGTCCACCTCATATTTGACCGGACAGTGGTCCTCCTTCAGCCTGCATGCTTGTCTATGGCCTGATGACTCCAGGTTCATGCTCTCCCTGGACATTAGAAAGCACTCTGAACTCTGCTCTTCTAGGAAGCCGCAGTGCAGATCATGCTGGCCCATCTGTAAGCTCTCGGCTTTGACCTGCTCGTTGATGTTGCCTAAAAAGCTGTGATAGGCCTCAGACTGAGCTGTGGGGAGGTAGCACTCACTGCCTTCACTCTTCCATGACACTGTGGCTTTTGTCACTTCCACACTCGTCTTGATGGTGTTGAGCACCTCGCTGCTGCCGGTTCCTCCGCTCACCTCTCTCATGCTGTACATGAGCAGATCTTCTTTTTTGTGGGGAACTTCGATTGATCCGCCAAAACCAAATCCACCACTGACGATCTTTGCCGTTCCTAAAATATCTTGGCTGAAGCAGCAGTTCTTCTCTTCTTTTGGAAGGACCTGACATCGCCTAACCTCGAGAGCGCTGCCCAGACAGTAGCTTTTCCCCAGCAGTTGTTCGTCGTCCGCGCAGCTGTAACTTCCTGTCAAAGTGAGTGCGGAGCTCCCTGAGTTACTGCCTTTGGAACTCAACAGACTTGTGTCGTAGCCTTCACTGAACCGCAGCCCATCCACTCTCTTTCTACCACTTCCAGTGGGGCGACTGCAGCTATACGGGGCGTGTCTTGGTATTTTGGATCGCCCGAGGGGCCCGCCACAGATGCTCAGCAGGTCCAGTTCACCGGTTGCCAGGGTAACAAGTAGTGGGCTGGTCTCCGGTTGGTTAGACGCTGGATATGATGAGTATGGCAGCTGACTGAATGCTTGTGGACCCGCTGGCACCGGACCCTTGTCACATTTTCCCAGTCGTGGCCCCTTTTCCGGCAGTGGTTCGGACAGGAAGTAGTCCTCCAGCTGGGCGAGCTCTTCTTGCAGCAGAGAGGTCATGACCTCCAAGTCCGAGGGCACCTGAATATCATTGTGAAGGGGTGAGGGGGGTAGGGAGGCATTGGTGGAGGAGGGAGGGGAAGGAGGGTGTGGGAGGTACGAGGAGAAATCCACTTCTTCTGTCATCCAGTCCGTAAGACCATCACCTGAACGGAATAAAAAAACTCATTCACAATGTGCTGAAGTTGGCGACCGCTACAGTTAATTACTCAAAAATGACAACCAAAAGTTGAATAAAAAATAATAATCAAACTTTAAAAGAAAAAATTTAAATATTACGTTTATAAAGTTTGCGTTAGTCGATATACTAATTGTAGCTAGTTTACTACTTACTGTTCAAGAGGGACGAATGTGCTGCAGTGCCGAGCCCACCTGAAATGAGGAAAAATATAAAAAAGCGTACCCGCTGCAACTCACCAATTAAGTGCTGCGTCTCCTCTGACACCTCCCCCCTGCACCCCTGTGATTGGCTGAGGTTAGCCTGTGGGTGAGAGAGAGCGAGGGGGTCTGCCAGGCACACATGCAGACTCTTCCAAACAGGAGCCGAGGTTGCCATCATGGTGCTTGGTCTGGTTCAGTCCAAGTCCAAGGTTGTGGTGGCGGAGATGAGCAGGGTCTGACAGATGGGCCACAGAGAGCAGGATGGGGCAGGCATAGTGAAACCTGCAGGCGAAAACAACAGAGGTCAAAACAAGGCTACATACAAACAAAAATTTGTGATTGTATGAAATTACTGTTCAGTTTAATGGAAAATTGACAAAAATCTTTTGCCCCACCACTCTGTCTATTGGGTTTTAAAGTGTATTAAGAACAACACAATACAAAATCCCTATAGCCCTATAGCACTTACAACACAGTAAAAGAGAGATTGTGCCCCTGCACCCTTTGGACTACACTGAACCGTCTCAAAGGAATAGATACTTGACGTCCAAAGCACGTGGGACCCAGTGACGTTGTCATGGGCCCAACTGTTGACAGAAAGGACCAGATTAACTCGCTGTCTCCAAGACACTCTTACACTCTTACTCAATATGGATTACCAGAGATCAATTACTTGTAATCTCACGTTTTGTTTTTTTTAGATTAATCAGCTTTGGTCTTAAGTTTTGGTCATAATTAGGTCACGTGGTAAATGATGTTAGGGTTGAATATTACTTAGGCAATTAAAATATAATAACCAAGTAAATAAATAAATGACAATCTTATGTACAATCGCGTAAATATATAAGGTATTTAGAAAAGCTTTTTAAAGATCAGTAAAAAATTAGTAAATAAAAATTCGAACAAAGGATGCAGTGACACTGATTTAATATAACCATAAACGAGAACCTGTGCCTAATAAGAAACACTACTAAGGTACAATACCATTATAAGTTTCACATTACTATCATGTGGAAAAATGTAAAGCAATGAGAAAAGTGTCACTTACTCCATTCTTGCGGAAAATTGTAGGGCACTTAAGGTGCGTTGCAAAAGCAAAGCACGACTTCTTTGTCGGTCCAAGCAACTTGAGAATTCAAAGAGCCATTTTAGCCAGGGATATCCGTGGCAGCGCAAAGGGTTGAGTTGTTGCTTTGTTGTTGTCGACCTGAAAACTGGAGGGCTGTTTAATTGTGAGAAAGCATCAGTTCATTCACACCTAGCAACCGACTGCGTCACCGGGATGAAGCTGCTGCAGCCTGAAAAACACCCCGCCCACACGCAGCGGAGGACGGCCCACAGGACCACGGCTGAGGATGGGACAAGCGGAAGTCTTACAAGAGAGGTTCTATTTTCCCCTAGACTTTGGCTTTTTTGTAGGACATGTCACACTTTGGTTTGTTTTTAAATCCAACAAGTAGTTTACTCCATTCCAAACTGGTTGAACATTGCCTCATCTATCCATTTTATGTTCGTGTTTTAGTAGCAGTCTACGTCTACAGCCATGGCTATATTCACAGCATTCAAAGAGTAAACCCTGTAACCTGATTGACTGGTATATTTCCTGTGGGCTTCTAGTCGTTGGCTATTGTTTTGGTCTTACTGTTTGATTCACAGCCACAACACGCTTTGTTTTTCTGCCGAAACTTCCAGTTGCCTCGCCATTGCATCAGTAGTTCAGAGCGCAGCTGATTGGCTGGCTGTGATGCTGTGCTGTATTCTCATTGGCCTAGACATGTGCGGACTGTAATTTGATTGGTTTACTGTAGCCGAGGAAAACCAGGCAGTGGGCTTGGTTTTTTTGTGAGGCGCCGCCCGTGCACATGTTTCAAGTAAACAAACTGAGCTCAGGAGTTCTCAGGACCATTTTATTACAGCTTTTCCCCCCAAAAAATCCATAGTTATTACCTAGAGATAATTTATGCAAAAGTAGTTCAGCGCAGGTGATGCATTACATGGCTGAACAGACCTGTTTAAACATGAGGATAACACTTTTATCAGCTTTAACCATCTTAAAATATTGTTAAACAAAACATATATAGATAACCATTTGTACACTGAGCCTTCTATGCCTGCAAAACGATTTCTTAATGTAATCAATTAATTATAATGTAATTTACTAATGTAATGTAGTGTTTTTTTTTTGTTTTTTTTTGTTGTTGTTGTTTTTTTTGTAAAGTAAAGCCATAATAATCCATAGCTTATGTGCATTTTAACTGTGAAATGCAATTATATAGGTTAATTTAAATATGTCTAATCATTATTTATGTAATGATCATTCTACAATATTTGAACAAGTGATTAAACAGTTTACACAGTTTATTAAAAGAAAGTAATATTAATTGATTACATAGTTTCCTTATTTCGGTGGTCTGGTGAATACATGGCTCTATTGTTGCTATAGCAATAGCGGACACTGCTCTATTTTAGAATGTTGTCTGGTTCCTGTTGCCATGGGATTTGCATCTCTCCCTCCCTCCTGTGCTTTACCGTCTCTCTCCATCTTACCTCAGTTCACTCGCTCCGCCCTGCACAGCCTCGCCTCTCTCTCTCATTTGCTGAGTTGCCTGTCTGAGACAAGATAATTTACCAAAACAAATAGGCTGTGGTTACATTTGCTGAATTAGCATGCTGTTAAGGCACTGATGTCCCTGCACCATTAGCTAAGTAGAATGCAGAGAAACTGCATTTTGATAATAAAAATTGAATCTTAATGTAATCTACAATATCTATAATCTATAATGTAAATTGTTGGTTGATCTTAATGTCACAATATCATTGATTCGGTGTCTTTTTTCACTTATGCCATTTGCTATGGCAGGTTTTCAGAGTTCTGCATCAATGTCCATGACATGGCGCCATCCATATACAATACAAATAAGAGTTGAAGAAAAGCAATCTGATGCAATCACGATAAATGCGTTCGTAATGGAGAGACTGGTTTGGGACAAGGATGCTGGTAAAGTCGGAAGGTCTCTCAGGAAATTGCTGACTGCTCTTTGTCTCTCTTAATTGGCCCACTGAGGTTTACCTGTTTGCACATCATGAAATACTGTATAACCAAGGACTGGTTCTGACAAAGACACCCAGTTAATAAAACTACAATTTACTTTGTTATGTGGTTTTGAAGATAGCTCTGCTGTTCCGTAGCATCCAACAAATGGACTAAAAAGTACAGATTGTGATATAAACTTATATATATTATATAAGTGCCAAATTGTTTTAGTTGTCCTTAAAAGAAATAGCCCTATTTGTAATCAACTTTGTAATGTACAAGTTGTGACATTTAAAACATTTATAATACTGAGTTAAAAAAAAAAAAAAAGTAGTTTTATCAGTAGTTATCTCAAAATAGTGTGAAATGACTTGACTTACATTGCCTGCCATGATCCCACTGAAAATGAGTTCTGTATAAATTCAAATTAAAAGCACCTTTAAGTTGGTCTGCTCTTATTAGGATCCCTGTCCATTGCAGTGTTGGAGAATGTGCATTGGCAGAGAAGTCAGAAAAGTCAATGCAGCATGCCAAGTGCATGTATGGCACGTTAGTGAGCGTTTCACCATCATTTCATCATCATCATCTCCCTCAGTATTTATTGTCCTCAACTTTTGCCCCTCTTTGAACACATTCAAAAACACTGATTTTGGTTACAACTTGTGAATGGAGGCTTCTCAGAAGGGGGTTGTATATGTTTGTGTTTTGCATAGTCAAATTTTTTATCCAGGAAAATTAAATAAAAAAATTATACACAGTTAAGCTGCCAAATGTTAATAAAGACTTTATGCTAAATTGACCGTGACGTGAAGTTGGAGAGTGTTTTTTTGTTTGTTTTTTAGCTTATTTATCGTTCTATAAAAATGTTTAAAATGTTGTGGAAAGAGTACTAAAAAACTGTAATGAAGTTAAAAAAAAAAGCTACCGAAAAGTACCCAACTGCAGTAACACAAGTATTCGTAATTAGTTACTTTTTTACTTTACGTACTAGGCAACTGCAATTGGGCCTCAGTAAACATGCTATTGCCTAGTCTGTTGTTTTTATCCAAAATGTTGTCCGTGTCTCACTTAAAGTTGACACGGTTGTTGCTTTTCAAAGTGCTACAGTTAAAGCAGGTCCCACGTGGTATGTCAGTGTGGTTCTCAGCACTCAGCCTGTGTCATCTGCCTCAAAGTCATTAAACCCCAGAGGCCCCCGTCTGTCACCTCTGAGCTGCACCAAACATACTGGACCAGATGCTAGAAACTAAAGGGGCCATTTTGGCTTTTATTCCTCACATTTAAAGATGCACTATGAAACTTTTCAGGTTGGGGCTCTGCCACTTGTTTCCAGGCAAATGTTTTCCTTGGAAGGTTTAGGAGAAAAGCAGATGAAGCCGCTGGGCCAAGTTGCAGATCAGATCTGTGAAATGGTGACCCATTCACATAGATTGCTTGTTTTTAAAAACATTAAAACAAATAAAAAATAATGGGTGAAAACAATAAAGAGGTTAATGTCATACTGTGGAACATTTTAGCCAAAGCACTGACATCTCCATAGAGACAGGCAGGCAGCTTTAAATCTGCTGGTCTTCTCTGCATATTGTTCTTCAGATCATTTTGATTGTATGTGATGTGAGTATATGATTTCTTGTATGACTTTTCTCTACCATTTCACACTGATTTTGTGAATATAAATAATAATTCATTGCAGAATATAAATAATAATTTATTCATCAATTAATATTATCAAAGAAAGAGAGCATGCCAAAATTTGACCACAATATTTTGTTTTCCAAAATTTTGTGTCAAAGCTCATACCTCATAAAACTATGGGGAGTATAGGTAATACAGTGCTTCATTAAAATAATTCATTATTTTACAAACTTGTGACAAAAATGTAAGAGCCTGTGAAAATCATTGGAAAGTCTGTGTACTTTTTACTGAAGTGACCTGAGTTTTATTGTTCCATGTAGTTCCTCTGTGTCTTTATTTAAAATAAAGGCAAAAAGACAGCTTTGCTTAGATGAAGTAGAAGTTTCAGATCAGCGCTTCTTAATCTTTTTCTCCCAGCAACCCCATTTAACACATGGATACAAGCGACCCTAACACAGTTGTCTTTTAAAGAAAATATAATTATTTTCTGGTAAGTAAAGATGGTAATGATTATAAAATATTTATGAAAGCAATTAATATGCTATCCCTTCAATAAAATTCACACAATATAGTTTGAACCTCTTTAAGAACCTTTAGGGACCCAAATCAGGAATGACTATTGACTAAGATGATGTTTTTTTTTGTTTGTTTTTTTTACAGGAATTGTATTTGCATTATTTCAGATATTTAGCACAAAATAAAAGGGACTTGAATAATAAAACTTACATTTTCACAGAGCAAGTCATAGCAAAGTGTAAGAAGTGTTTCCAGACAGTGTTTTATTTTAGGTCAGTGCTGCTGCTGTTACTTATTCTCCCTCTGGATGTTTTTGTGATAAACTTGTTACCACTGCCACACACTCAAAAACATGTTTCTTTTATTATACTTGAATCACTCATGTATTCCATACCATGTCTCCACTTTATGACTGTAACACTCCCTTCTAAGACAACGATTTGTTCAAAGCGTTAAATATTAAGAGGGAAACTTTGATTGGTGTTTTGGATGGGGTTTAGCGCATGCTGCTTTCATCTGCTGCTACACATCTGTCTATCTGTATCCGTGCATGGTGTGCTGTATGTTATTTTCTCTTTTAATCTCTTAAATTAGTCTGAATTCAGATGTGGATGTGGAAAATGATTCATTTCACAAGTTAAAGCAGGGATGTTTGGGAGTCTTGACAGCTCTTCCTCTCAAATTGCCCCCCGAGAGCAGCAATATCTTTATTACATCAGATTTTCCGGCTGGCTTGTTTTGAGACAAGGTTAATATCTCCTATTAATACTGACAAATTCAAGTGCGGTTATTTTAATTTGCAGTCTTATTTGTGCAGGAAAGGCCAGGGGAGTGGGCAAGAGCGCCAAAGTGAGAGGGGGGCAGATATCAGCAGAGGCTCGTTAATATTTCATCTACAATATCACTATGTGTCATTCAAGCCCATCACAGCCATAATGAGCCCACACCAGTCTCTTAAAGATGTGTTTATTATTCAGACCGCTGTGTTAGAGACAGACCCAGAGCTACTCAATGAAATCTCTCCCAAGGTCAGACTTGTGCTGTGGTAAAGCCATCAATGAGACAGGAGCGTCTGCTGGTGCAGGCAATAAGAGTGGGCTACATTTAAGGATTTTAAAAAGTAACAGGTGTATATAGAAATGCCACTGGAAAACTTATTAAACATATAAGTGAAAATATTGCCAGTAATGTTTGTCAGTGGATAGCAAATTTTAAATGGGTCAGTTAGTTGTCCAAAATGAAAAATAAAGTTTTTACAGGGAAGTAAACAATCCTAACTTGAATACTGAACAAATTGTTTCAATATTGAGAAAATGTGTTTTCTAAAATAAAATTACAATATCCCTATTATGTAGAATTATATGATTCAGTTTGAACTGACATGGTGACATCTTTTCCATAAACTGCGTTTATTGATTTGCCTTAAAACTGACAATTTCTATGTTCTAATTCATAGATATATAATCTTTTAAACTACATTAACATGGGAGTTGTATAGCATATGATTCTCTGTTTTCGTTAAATATAAAATCTTTCAGTAAAAATAATTGCATCTCCATTGCATGCACCTGCTTTGCATTTTCTCCCATGCATTTTGTAGATGTAAATGAGCTGTTTATTTTAAAATAAAAGTTACATGCTCTTTGCCTGGCCTCGTCTCGAGGAAGTGTTTGTGATGTCAGATTTCTCCCCATTGAATCATGCGTGTAAAGATGCATGTAATTAGAGGCATGTTTGTAGCTGCTTTTATTTCTGTCATGTTTTCTGCAGTGTTCTATAATGAGGGGCACATATACATGCATGCACTACAATGCAGTGTGAAGTTAATGAGTCTATTAGTAAATCACACCACCTGACTGCTCCTAAAGGGGGCATCTATACAACGTTTCAAATAGAGCTTATGAAATCTCTGACTAAATTATAATTAACTTATTTGCTCACCTTTGTTTTCATTTGAGACACTAATTAGGAATTTGACAAGTTGTTCTCTGCGATGTCAAAACAAAGCAAAACAATGAGACCTTTAATTTGTATTTTATTACATAGTGGTTTACAATACTGTTACTTGGTATAACATATTTAATAGATTTATTTAAACCTTTACAAAAAGTGACTTTTTAATAGTTACACAAACATGTATTGCTGTTTTATTTGCATGTAGAAAAATCTTAAATATGAACTATATAAAGTTATTATTTTCTTTGTAAAATATTAATGTAAACTATTTGGCACCAAGTGACATTTTAATAAATAATTATAGAATTTGAGATTATTAATTATGCCTACAGTTAAACATAGGCTTTAAGTAAAAATAGTATAAAAATGAATTCTGAACAACATGCAAACAGTAAAAGCAGTAAACAAAATGCTATTAAGTAACTAGTAAAGTAAAAATCTTCTCTTGTTTCTTGTCTCTTGTCTTTGTTTTTCCTGAAATTATGAGTTCATCTTAAGATGCGTGTGGACTATTGACAGGTCACACTGAAGGGACACTGGAGGGACATACACTTATGCATTATTCAGAGCACCTTTGTCTCCATAAGCCCTCATTTGCTGCAGAGCATCAGGCGTTTTGTGTGAGCCTCAGATGTCCATCCTTGGGCTGGTTTCACCTTGAGCTCCTTTGGCGCTGGAGCGGCGCGTTCATCTTCGCCCGCAGGTGTCTGCCTCTCTCTCTCTCTCAGCTCATAAACTGTGTGTAGCCCTCTGCGCCCGTTACTATGACGTCCATCCAGATGCGCATGGCCTCAGGGGACGGAGCCACCATGAAGTAGAGGCGGTCGTGGGTCTTCACACAGAAGGTCAAACATGGGTTTGGGCTCTGGGGACACATACAGGCCTTTAGTACAAACCAGAGCCGCACCTGTTGCTCCCTTTGTTCACATGCACTGAATTTGCCACAACAACACAATGTATAGTGTCAATAAATACATAAGGTCACATGGAACTGTCCAATTCAGCACTTTTGGAAGAAAAATACATTTAGTGCTCACAGAAACAACACCATTGTGAAAAAATACGATTTGGGTGTCTTGAAAGGCACTATATAAATGCAGCGATTCATTAATTAATAATTAATGAATGGAAATTAGCATCAAACTTTTTTTTTGCAAATGCATTTTTAAACAAATAGTATATATGCTGTATGTAAAATACTCAGACAATCTAAAAAGAATCTAAAACTAAATTAAATGCCTTATGTATACTATATTAAACTTAAACTTAAATATTATTTATTGATATATATTTTTGATTACATTTAATTTATTGAAGATTTGAAGGTTGAGCCATTTGGTATTAGAAAAGCAGCTCTAATCATTGATAGAATCATAAGAAAAACATTATTATTTTTTTTTAATTAATGATGATTCTAAAAATATAGATATTTTATTTATAAATTTTGCCAGGTGACAGAGCTGCTCATATATTTTAATTGAAAATATGAATCTTTCTCCCAATGTAACTTAGGCCCTAAAACTATAAAACTAAAACTATAAGGGATAAAAGAGCTGGTTACCTTGTAGGCACTGCGCAGGTGATCATAGTAAACCTCTTCAATAGCCTGGAAGTAGATTAGTCCTTTCAGCTTGGTCTCGTGCTTGTCTGCAAAAAAGAAGAGTAAAAAAGAGAAATTAAGATACAAAATATTACGTCTTCCACTGATGCAAGACCCTGCCATTACAAGAAGAAGACATGAAAACGGGCCGTTGATTGAAACGCACATTACACATGAATTTAAAATAAAATTCTAAAATTATCAAAACATTTTTTTACTGAAACTTACATTTACATATTTAATAATACACCACTCTATTATGTCGTTTGGTGAACAATATAGAAAAAACAGAAGTATAGAAAAATATATCTTTTTTTTGCTTGTTTGTTTTAAATGAAGTCCAATTTTTTCAATCTTAGGACACCCACAAGTGCAACAAGAATTATTTTGCTACTTTCATGAAATTGGGGCAGTAAAATTCTTCCAGTGGACTGAAGTGGGAATTTTTGTTTTGTACATCTTACATTGTGGAGCAACTGTCCTCCAGAAAATTCAAGACCAATTTAAATCCAGATGTTGAACAAAGGAGAAATGATCCCCTCTAGCTCAATGTAATCCATGAATATGTATATATAGGTATGAGCCGCCAGTATCAGAAGACGGGTTAATTACAAGTACAGGTCTATTTGAAGCGACGCCCCAAGTCTCAAACATCTTATTAATCTGACTTGTTTTCCTCAGTTGCACTTGCTTGTGTGTTTAAGCCTTTTCTCCCATGAGCCATGTTCTTTCATTGAGATCTTAGACAAAAGGAAAATGTGTTTCTTTAGGTAGAAACCAGGTCACAGTTTGCATCTGGTCCTTTGATTACGTTTATCAAATATCTTGAGGTAGTTCGAAATCAACGTGTTATGAAGAGGTTGGTAGCTGTTTTTGTTGGAAGTGCTTTGAGGAAAAAATATTGTAGGACAGCGGTTATCTGACTTTTCTCAGCAACTACCACTACCACTACCAATAATCTGTATTGTTGAGTTACAAAAAACAAAAATAAAATTGAAAAAAAATAAAATTGAAACAAAAATTTTACCAGGATTTTTTCAATTATATAATAACAAAGCAGAAAGAACAAACTCAATTTTAAAATATCCTCCATCAAGGGCTAAACCAAGGGCTAAGTCCACAATTCAAAGTGAGTTCAACCTGGACTAAGCATCGGTCTTTCAGGTCCCAACCAAAGGAGACCTATATTTTAATATGAACATCATTTATTTTTATTTTTCAAGTGCACATGACACAAAGCAAACGAAGTATGACTTTTTTCTGTCCCTCCTTTCCATAAGTCAAATCTGCTTAGTAATGAGTTAAATGTTTTTGAAATGTGAGTTTCGTTTTATTAGTCACGAACAAGCCAGAAGCTAGCCTCCTCACCGAGAAAAACACTTTTAGAGAAAGACTTGCATCTTGTTTCATCACCATCATCATCACCATCATCATCGTCAAGAGTGAGGGGGTGAAGAGGCTAGTCAAGTTAATGGAGCCAGCCACGAGTAGTAATAAAATTGATACTTCATTATCAATACGACTGTAACCAGCTGTGTCAACGCATAAGTGGACTTGTACACAATCGTCCCATAGTGAATTACATGACTATTACTACAAATAATAAACATGCAAAGGCTATTGACATTTGAGTTGTGATGTGCTAAGTTTGGATAAAAAATAGATCAAACTGATTTTATAGCGAAATTTAAAACTGCACTGTGTAACTTCTCTGATGTATGGCTAGCCACCTGCTTGTCTCCATAGAGACAAACGTGTTGGTCTAGCATTTACTTCATGTTAGTGTTTTTACTGCTCAGAAATACCTAAAAAAAAAAAAACATGGATTCTTACAGTGAGTAAAATTGCCTCTCCACAGATCTGGCCTGTAACATGGCTTAGTAAAGTCACCTGCTTGTCTCCATGGAGATATATAAGTTTCATGCTATACTGTGGCACATTCTAGACAAAGCAATAACATCTCCACGTGGACAAGCACGTAGTAGGCCTTCCGAACAGAAAGTTACATAGTGCAGTATTTTGTCTTCTTATTGTCCCCTAAAACGCAATTGAGTTTTCTTTTCTTTCTTTTTCACTTTTCAAAGGCACAGTGGAGCTAAAGGGCAGGAAGCAATGAAGAGCCCACAGGTGACACTTGGCTTAACTTCAAACTACACACTGCTGCAGTGATCTATTGATGCTGTTTCTGGTTTGCGCTTCTGGGCTTTTAGTTTCGATTAAAGTCAAATGTAACAGCGCACATGATAACCTGCGAGCAGTGTCCTTCCTCTCAAACAATATTGTGTAAAATGTCAGAAGGGCTGTACAATATATTGCAGTCAATATAGATGACCACAGCAAAAAAAAAAGAAAAAATAAATAATGTTATATGTGTAGTTTAGACCGAAAAACTGAAATGCATGAGTTTCTTATATTAGTTTGTCAGTTTATATTTCAGTCTATCACAAATCTAATCCCAATCCCAATATATTTATATAATATATATATTTTTTTTTACAGAATTATGCATCACTGTTTGTCAGAATAAAACATTCAACAAACCAATGACTCTATAGTCCTTACCTGCATAGTAGCAGAAGTTCCTCTTGATGCGGTCAAAAACAAACCAGCGTTTTTTCCATGATTTGATTTTCCCGCCCATTTTGACCAGGTGACCTTTGCACATTTTCTCGGTGAGGATGATGAAGGGGCAGGTGTCGATGTTGTGGCCAGACGACTCCACATGAGCGCGCAGGTCAAACTCCTCCTTCAGGTTTGGGAGATAGCGTGTCATGGGACGAGCCTGAAGGAGAATAACACAGAAGATTGTGTGATAATAATGATAGACTGCAATTCTGTGCCTCTGACCATTATGTTATCACTCCCACATGTTCAGGTATTCAGTGCGTTGCTCTTTGTCAGAATCAAACCATCAACTTTCAGATTCATGGGTGAATGTCTCTAATTAATGAGCTATTTGCAAAGACCTTTCCCAATAAAAAGTAGATAAAAAGCAAGAGGGCAGCAGGACAAAGCATCAACAACTTATCCTGTGTCCTCCATCTAAAAAAAATTTAATGATAAAGTAAACATTTAATTCAAAGGTTCTGTAAACCTGAATGAGATAGTATTGTTTGTTTGTTTGTTTGTCCTCCATCTAGAAAAGTATAAAGAAAATCTCCATATTAAAGGTACACTTTGTAACTTTTCTTTCCAGCTCATCTCTCTGGAGCTGATACTGCTTTGCCTGGAATGTTGCCAGTATGGCTTTAAATGTATACATTTTGCACTTCAATTGCTATTCAATTACATGTTTTCATTGCAGGTAAAATACACTGAAAAACATGTATTCTTACTGTGAGCGGGCTCACCTGAGTCGCTTCACCACAGTTCTGATCCGTAACTTGGCCTGCTTGAGTCACCTGCTTGCCCCCATGGAGATAGATACATTTAATATACATACTGTACATTTCATGTATGTACTGTAAATTCCAGGCAAAGCAATTGAGAACCAGAAAAATTAGATCGTACACCTATCTTTAAGCACATTATAGAAGTAAATAGTTTTATTCACTAATTAAGTCTGTTACATGTGGATGTTTTAAAGGATTTGCAAACAGTTGTTTTCTCATAACAATTAAAAGCAGTCAGGTTAAAGCCATAATGATGTGTAATACCCCTTTACTATCATGCATCTGTTTATGATCTGAGCACCTTTGATGAGGCCCTCCTCTTTTCCACTGACCTGAGAGAAGTGCTTCTCTCTCATCTTCACCTCCTCCTCCACCAGCCTCCTCCTGTGGGCTGCCTCGTCCTGCAGTCGTCTCTCCGCCTCCTCCCGCCTCCTGCGCTCCTCCTCCAGAATCTGCCTTCGCGCCTGCACCTCCCTCTCCTGGGACCCCCGCGCCGAAAGAAAAGGCACACCAAATAACAAGGAGCAAAGGCGGAATATGTTAAGGCTGGGCAAATATTGCAATACAAAGTAAACGAAAGTCAAGAGGGGGCACAGGAGAATTCGAGTCCCAATCCAGGGTTTTGTAAAATATATCCCCATGGTGTGTACTGAGACATGTGAGCTTTGCTGATGAAAATGATCCTTTGCAGCTTTCAGACATTTATTTTCAGACATGTCGACTTAAAAGATGGCTGTGATTCGGTATGATTTAATACCTGCCTACTTTGGTTCCACTTGTAGAAATAACACAACTCAATAAAGTTTTACATTTAAAGTTACTGTAAGTAGAATGCTATTGAGTTTTGAGAGAGATTTTCCTTTATGCAAGTGAAGTGTATAAGTCAGTGTTGAGGCATTAGCATAAGTAACACATTTATTTATTGTTAACACATTTATTTATTGCAACAATATGCAGTTTATTTGTATTCTGTATTTATGATGAATAGACCATATATTTGTTCTTTGTCCTTAATAAAGAAGAAGAATATATAAATAATAAGCAACATCATCAGTCTTCCGCAACAGGTAGTACGATAAATAATTGAGTTAAATATATATATTTTTTGTTTTAGTGATAATTATGTGTATTTATAATTCCAATAATTATTTTGTATTATTTAAGTATAAATTCAAGGGTAGTGTTTAAAATGTAGGTACACTTTATTGGGAGTACAGAAACAGTGCATTATATCATTGGTGAAAAAGTTCTTGAAAACTTGTGTTTCCAGACTCACTCTGTTCTCCATCAGCCTGGCCTTCTCCTGCTGCGCCTCCCTGAGCATCCTCTCCATCTCGTCGATTCTCTGGGCCTCGAGAGCGCTGCCACAACCACACACAAAGAAAGCAGCTGGTGATCATTTTGTCAGTAACACTAACAAACAAAAATCACTGAGCACAGCAAGAGTTTTCCCCTAAACAAAACACACACTCTCTGGATTTCTAACTTCACAGATGGGACACTTCAAAAGGGTTGGCATGGTAACAGATAGTGTACCCTCCTCATGTGAGCGTCCATAAAAACCAAACATGTTGTCAGAGGAACAAAGCGGTGACCCTTCTCCAGGGAAACAGGGCAGACTTAAGTGTTCCCATGGAAACAGAGCCAATTGCTCATTTCCAGTCTCTCACCTTTCCGGGGAACAGGCAGAGTTACCAGCAGACACACTGGTCTCCAGACTGTCTGAGCTCTCCAGACTCAGGGTGTCGAATGCCTGGCTGCCAACAGAGGGCGCCTGGTGGTGTAGAATGGAGTGATGGACTGAAGAAGAGGGGTCTAGACAAGAGAAACATCATTATAAAAACTTACACAGCCTCACAGTGCCCTCTTCTGATGCAGATAAGACTCTGCATTCCGGAAAGGTAAACTTTATCTAATAACTCATCCAAAGTGCAATAAATGATTTCATTGTTAAATATGTAAAGATACATTACCTTTGCTCTGAGGAGACAAATATTTCCTCGACTCTGTATCTAAGGGATTTGGAAGGTCTTTCAATACCAACTGGAAGTCCTACAAAATAAGTATTGTTTAAGATACATAATAGTAATTGGTAAGTGTAAAATAAATTGTACTGACCTTGGCCATTTTGTCATGAGAAGTTCCACCATTGCTGATCTGAGAACTAGATGTGACATGTGCAACCTCATCTTCAGATTTAGATTTTTGCAACTTTAGAAAAGGGCAAGAAAAAAAAAATCATGTTCAATAATACACTCTGATCCATTGTATAAAACAAAAACTAACACACACATATTCACACCAGAACTCAATCTATTTGTCCACTAGAGTGCCCAGTCGTCATATTTAAAACTGGCTATAGACAGTTGAACCACCAGTAAACAACACCTCCATGAGCTCCATTGTTTCCGGAGTTTATGAACTCTGGACACAGGTGAGATTTACCTGCGCATGTCTTCGCGCAGAAAAAGACTTGGCAGGCAGCGGGGGCGGGCAGGACTGGGGCTCTCCAGCAGCCATGATGTCCTGGTACCAGCGCTCCAGGTTAATAGGAGGCAGTTCATGATGATTCTAAGTGACAAGAAGCATTCAGCCATACTCAGCAGAGAAGCATCATAAACAGCCATTTACCATCACAGTGCTGTCTGAGCAGTGTTCATTTTGTCAACTAAAATATTTTGTCAATTTTTTTCTAACTTAAACTAAATGAAAAGTAACCATAATGGATAAAATTACATACATTTATGTTGACTAAAACTATGACTAAAATGTTATATTTCATCAGCTGTACTGATATTTTAATAGTATTACAAAAACAAAACAAAAAAAAATGAATGAAAGAAATGTGTGGAGACTAGATCAAAATTCCACTTTTCAATTACAGAACCCTTCACTAGACTGTATACAAACTACACATCCATGGAACACGTCTACTCTGTACATCCCATGAAGAAAAACAATACAGGTTATCATAATTAAAATGAAATAATATATTTCTCGTTGAACTATGAATTTAGTCGACTAAATTAGCATGATCCTTTCTTTGATGAAAAATTGAATAAAACAAACAAAAAAACATAAAATATTTTAGTGAAAAGACTAAAATTACATTAAAATTTCTTGCCAAAATGAACACTGTCAGAGGGTAAAAATAAACTGTATGACAGAGGAACAAACCTGGACGGAGAGAAAGGAGGAGGAAGCAGGTGTGTTTGAGTGACAGGTGAAAGTAGACTCAGAGGAGGCGAGCTGGAATGATGCGAGAGAAGTGGAAGGAAAGTGATCGAGCCTCTGCAGCCCAAAGATCTGACTGAGCTGATTGACTGTTATGTACTCCTGTGACATGAAAAGCCCATTCACAAACAAAAAGGATCAAGAAGGAAAGAAGAGAAGTTACCAACCAGCAATGAGTTACTAATGAGTGAAGTTATAGAAACAGCCATAGAGTTTGTACCTCACAAGGCACAGCGAGAGACAAGCAATGGAGAGTGGCAGGAGAGGTGGGAGCTTGCACAGAGGCACTTCCATACATCTTAAAGACATCAGAGAGCCTGAGGTACTCCTATTTTGTAGCCAAAACAAAAAGTTACACCTCCTGAAGATGGTAAAGTATCCCACGTGTCCGACATGCTACTATAAAATGCAGTGTTAGTTTATAAGGCTATTTGGAAAATGTTGTAACATATTCCTACATATGATCCAATCAGAGTACTGTATTCTGAATACTTAGAATACTTCCACATCTGCATTATATTATACCATAAAAACATGACATTGGATTAAATTTGTAGGACTGTTTGTTATGCATGTTAAGCACTAATTAGTCTTTTAAATATCATGCACTTTTAAGCCTAAATTGCAAGATCAAGTGCCACCATGAATTCCTTTCATTTTTGGAAAAGAACTGTATTTTGAATACTACCAAATGAAAGAGTAACTGTACCAGAATACAGTTACTCCAAATGAGTATTCTGAATATGTATTTTCAGTATGTATTTAGTTACTTGCCAACACTGTTTATGAGACACAGCAGGATGAGTAAATGTAGTCACAACAGGAATGCATGGTCTTTGCTACATTTACCTCTTGAAGCCTAACGGGGAAAGGGTCATTACAGAGCTCTGAAGAGGGGTTACAGGAGGACAAGGAGGAAGAGGAGGGACCTGAGCTACAAGAAGCACCCTCCAACAAAACAAGATCTGATTCGCTGATGTGAAGAAAGCCCTGTTTGAAAAGGTTTATCCAAGTTAAAAGATAAAATGTGTGTCTATATTGTCCATAAGTAACCTCTGATTTGCATCAAAACACTGCTTTACTCACTTCTTTGATGTTGCTGTTGGGTGTTGGAAAATTCTTTCCTGTTAATGTCAGATAATTCCTTTCCAAAGCACACAGCCTGTCCTGCTCCTACAGAACCCAAAGGCATCACAGCATTATGAAAATACCAGCATTAAACATGACACATTATGCTCTTTTCATATATTTAGTATTCATGCATATACAGCAATATAAAGCAACGTGATGATAGAAACACATTAATTCATGTCCTATTCAAAACTTTAGGACTGACAGGCCCTGGCTCTTCATGGTGACATTTCACTATAGCAAGTAGGAGATTTTCATTCACTATATTTGTTTATTATTGAAAAATGAAGATGTGAGTAGGGCAGTGCAGAATCAATCAAACATACATGAATTAACTGAAATACCGCTTTAAGTAACTTTATGATGCGGGAACACTATAGTAACATAAAGCTTGATTTTACATAATATATCCCCTTTAATTCATTGGGCTTACAATGGCATTTACTACCTAAATTACCTTTTGCAGCAGATGCAGATTCACAGTCCGTTCCCTCATGATCTTCTCACATTCTTGAATTGCCTGGAGTCCCAGCTGTTTCACTTGAGCTTCCAATGCTGCTACTTTCTCCTGAAAAAGAAAGTACTGCCATTAGCATGTCATAACACATATCATCTAGGGCTGTAGGTGTGTGGGTATAATATTGTGTATATGCTGCAAATCATATTCTTTTCCCACATAATCAACTAAAATCATGCCCTAAGCAACAACTAGTCAAAAAGCAGGCAACAAAAGCTCTCAAAAAAACAGGTATTTTTGCAATATTTTAGGGTAAACCCAAAATACTCCCAATACTCCCAAATCTCAAACTGACTCACTCTAAGCATTCTCCCTTCTGCTGTGGTCCATATTATAATCTCAGTGAAATAATTTTGGTAGGCTGAGACTCCATCAGCAGATTAATCTACTAATCACCTAAAGTCCTACAGCTCTATGATCCTCCTGTGTGCATGTGTGCACATTTATGTTAGCCTGACCTTCCTCTGGGCCATGCTGCAGTGGTGATCAGCCTTCTCTTGTAGGAGTTGAGAGCTCTGAGTCTCTCTCCTCTCATCCAGACTGCTCTCCTGCTCCAGCTGACAGAACTCCAGCTCCTCAAACTGTTTGGTCCCACAGTCCAATGCCTCTGCTTTCTGCTCCGCACAGAGTAATATTATAGACCATTAATAAATACCAGGTACTCTTCACAACACACCACAAACATGCACACAGAAGCATGCATGGTCAGACTCAGGATGGTTAATAGTGTTATGTGTCTCAATTACGAAGTGGTTTAATAATACTTGACAGTGCAACATACATCTACAATGTTTGTGGAGACATGCTAATCACACTTATTTCTAGGAGTGGGCGATATTCCCAAGAAGATTTTTTCAGAGACAAGGTTATGATTTCTATTTTTATGCCTACTCATCCAGTTCTTCTCAGAGTACACACTTTCCCATGACTGGTTCAATCCACCTGTCACTCACTCATGACAGAGGCTGACCAATACATACATACTTCAAACCAAAAAATAGTGAATCACAATATGACAAGATCTCATCAATAAAGTAGACTGTCACACAATCGAATCACAATTAGATTTTTTTATCGCCATATCGCCCAGCCCTACTGTTTGTTACCATGTCAAATTCATCTCCACAGTTAATACACAAGCTTTTGTTTCAGCTGTGAAGATTTTGGAAAAGTAATCTGCAGCCATACGTTTGCACTTTATTACTATTTTTTCATAACTCACTGTTGCCAGCCAGTGGGCTGTGTGAGAACACTAACCCTGCTGAGCTGCTCCTGTATCTGCCCCTTTAGAGGCAGGGGGCACTTATCAATTTGCCTCTTCAGCTCATTGTACTCATTCCTCTGCTTTTCCAGGGCCTTCCGCTCGGCCGACACTTTAGCCCTCCCCTAAAACAGAAACACACACACACCGGTCCGCATTCAACACACAACAAGGCAGGGGAACAAAAAAAAAAAAAAATCAACAAATGAGGAGCCATGCTTTGAACAGTTAGGTAAAGGAACAGAAGCATATTTGATTAAGTTAGTCAGGAAATGGTAGGAAAGTTTTACAAGGGATGGATTAAAAGCCATAAAGAATTAACAATGTTCTTTTCAGACAAACATGCAAATTACTTTTACATAGTGTCATAAGTGCACGAGGGAAAAAGGCCTGGATACTTAGAGAAAATCTACTAATTAGCATGAATTCTAAAAAAGGCCTGTATCTTAAGTTGTGTGTATCTTGTGTGTGCGTCTATAAAGCATAATAGAGTAGCAGGTGAATCTTGCTGGCTGTTGTCCATGCACACATACAAATAAACACAAACACTCAATAGGTATTCACTGTCTGACAATGTTTGGTCAGGGGTCTGTACCTTGTCCTTCTCGTTCTGGGTGGTCTTGTCCAGATGACTGAGTTTGAGCTGCAGCTGAGCAATTACTTTGTGCTCAGCCTCCAACTGCTCCTGCTCTGCCTGCCGCTCGGCCTGTAGCAGGGCCTGCTCCATCTCCACCTGTACACATATGTTACATGTACTACATGTTACTATATGTTATTACCTCTATACAGTCAAACTAACACTGGAATAGTGATGTGTGTGAGACTTGACCTCATGTTTGGTCTCTGTTAGCTGCAGCTCTAGTTCACTGACTTTCTGTTTCAGTTCATCTACTCGCGCTAAAATTCTGCTCCTCTCATCCTCCAGGTACTTTTTCTCTTGACCAGCCAACAGCTCTGCACACTGCAGAGACAGAGGATGTTTTGAACAGGAATACACACAAACCACTTAAAAAAACAGAGGACATTTTGAATAAGAATACACACAAACCACTTAAAGAAGATATATTATGCTTCTTTCCATGTATTTAGAAAACTATATCATAAATATATATATTTTTTACATTTTATTTGTAGTAAACTACAGAAAAAGTTCATTGAGTTCCTGTTAACAAGAACTGAGTCCGTGCTTATTCAAAAATGGCTATGTAACATTTTTGGCCCTTACATGTATGACTGATTGGGAGTATATTTTGAAATATGCAAGCATTGAACAGTGGGTGGAGATCAGGAATATGTGAAAACTAACATTTTCTGAACCCTCAAATCTTGAATGCAGATTAACAGGATTATTCAAACATGCACGAATCAACTGAAATACATCTTTGAGTATGTTTATAAAGAAGAAACAAAGTTGTAACGTAATAAAACCATTCATGTTACCTCCTGATGTGTGCTCTCAGTGCTGCTGGACTCTTCTCTCTGGCTGCTCTCATCCACATCTTCAGGTGGGACCCTTTCTGCGGTGCCCCCCATCAGCCCTGTCCTGACCATGTTGTCCAGGTCCAGAGTGCTGTCCTCCTGGTTGTACTCCGCACACAGATTTAAGATGGCATCCAGTCTCTGACGCTCCTACACAAACACATTTGTTATAGATTCAGTACATAAGCTATAGCTGTCCTTGTGTGACATTGGGTCATTTAGGCAGCTGTCCCACAGCGACGGACATTAACAAGTGAAACTTGAGACAGCAGAGGCCAAAGATCATGTCATCTGTTCTGGTGAAGTTCCTTTTAAATTGATGATGAAAACGTGGAATTAGAGAAACAATAGTAAAACAGAACTCAAAATGATTACACAAAAAATATATATCAGCCCACTTCAAAAATTTAATTAATAGTTTTATTTTCTCTGTGACCGAGCTGGTGATGATAAAATATGTTCACAGATTCAGTCACAATAAAAATGTAATAACAGTTGATCAACTGTTGTGAAAGTGGTAATTAACAGTTTCAAAAAAGAACAATGGCCTCAGATGATATGTTGAATCTCTATTGTTGTTTTAATTTATTTGTTTGTTTGTCTGCATGAATTTAACTAGAACAATTTTTCACTTGTGAATCCTTAATCATATATTCAAAACAATTTGTAAAACTGTTTAACAAAGTAGTACAACATTTTGCATTTTGATTTATTTTACCTGCATCAGAAATGTTAGCTGGTTACATAACATTTAGCCAATTGTCTTTAAAATGTGATTGTTTTTACGGGTTTCATTTCACTGAGGATATCCTGTGTTTGTCCATTTTATCAGTGACAGGTATGCAATACGTATGGCTATTTAAAGATTACAAATACAACTGTTTGTATAAGGGTTTGCTAATACTTTGTTAACAAAATTAACATTGTATGTTTGACAAAACAACAATGTGACAAACACAAGAGGAGAACTTTCTAGCTAATCTAAATTAAGTAGAGTAGACTGTATAAATTTAAAGAATGTGGACATGTCAGTAGTGGGTCACAGCATGGACCTTACTGTTACTGTTTCTTCTGTATTTACTAGAAACCTTTTGGCTCCTGAAATAGTTTGTTGGTGCCTGGGAATAGTCCTGCCCCTTCCCTGCAGTACACTCAGCTCAGCTGTTTTGGGGGTTAAGAGTGGCAGGAGGTGTGAGCAGTAACTGGATACATAATCCTTCTATAATCATAAATACTTAATAATACAAATAAGACTTAAAAAAAAATGTGTAGTTGAGCTTGTGCACAGCAAAACTACAGGTTGTTTATTTGGTAAATATAGTGTTGGATCAGAGCCAGTCCCTGTGCTGTGGAGCTTAAGAAGAGCTGAAGAATGTTCCCCTGTGTGAGTAGGGCCACAGTGGTACTCTGGGGAGATGAGCTGTGGCTCTGGGCCAAGAGCCTCAGACAAGATATCTCAATGCAGACATGTTGTCTGCCGGCACTATAACTGCTTCGAGTAAAAATAAAAGTGTTTATTCTTTTTTAGCTCACTAACCTCTGTGTGCTCTTTTGTGCTGTACTCACCAGTTTCTCCATCTCCTGCTCACGCAGTCGCTCCTCTCTCTGATGCCGGTGGTACTCCAGGAGCTCCTCCTCATTGTCACTGATTTCAGAGATGCTGTTCTTACGTTCTCTTGTACATGGTTTTGTAAAAGTTGATTCCTTGTTACAGCTTAACTTCATGGTGGAGGTTTTCCTTTGGTTTTGAGGGCTAGCTAAAGGAGAGGATCTCGCAGAGCTTTGCCTCAGATGCCTGGTCCCGGTCTCTTTATCCTGCCCTGGGACAGGTGACTGACTCTGTCCATGCAGGGTCCTAATGGCTTCTACTTTAGAAGACGTTGTGAGTTTGCGTTGGCCCTGTGGACTCCCTAGTACTGGAGTAGTGGAGAGGGGTGAGGCGGTCCCTCTCCTGGAGGTGTGTGGGCTGATAGGGGGGCGGCCTGCAGACAGGGAGGGTTCTGGGGCCTTGAGTCTGTGCTGAGAGGGGGCAGTGTGGACGGGGCTGGAGGGTCTCTTCTGAAGAGTCTGTGTTTGGGGTCCAGTTGGACTTGGTGAAACTTCTTCCCTTGTGTTCCTCAGAAGCTTTGGGCTATCCTGTGGCCTCTGCACACCAGTGTTTAAGAGGAAGGTCCGTGGATGAGGGACAGGTGGCTGGTGTAAAGTGGGCATGCGAGGGGGCACTGGTGGGGTCTTGTTCCCTTCATTCTGATACAAAAAGCTGCCAACATTTTCATAGATTGACTCTTCTGTAGTATCACTTTTTCCATTTAGAAATGAGATATTAGAGCCCTGAGGAGCACATGGTTTGGTTGTTTTATCCACCTGTGATAGAGAGTCTGGAAAGGGTTTGGACAGGTTGTTTATCTGTAAGTTGTTGTTTTTGAAACTTTGATGGTTTCCATTTGTGACACTGTGCGACTCTGTAGAAACAAAAACAAGGCAAGAGCACTTGAGCATTCCAGTGAAATAAATAACTGGCATGCTTCACAAGGCAGTTGTAACAACAAAAACACACACAACCACACACAAGACAACCTGCTGGACCATGAGTGCTCAGTATTTAGCCTAAAGGACTTGTCCACCAGCAATTATAATGAAATAAAACAGTTATACTCTTACTAAAAAGACAGACATTTCCAACACATTCTAAAATGTCTATTTCTTCCTCATGGTTAAGAACATAGCATTTGAGTCTGACTCTGAGACAATGCCTCATGAAAATAGTGTATTCACTATTATATCAACTTGTACTGTATATATATTTTGTACTTACCATAATTTTACTTGTACATATAAAATTGTATTTGCGCCTTATTAAATGTGCACTACTTATTTTGAATTTATTATTGCCATTTATATTTTTTGCTCTCTCTTTGTTATTATAATTATATTGTAATGTGAAAGCTTTAGTGTCTACATAAGTATCTAAGTCTACTTGTACAATGTTTCCATTGAATGCATCCTCAGTTGTCAAACAAATGTGTACTGAGGAGGGCTGTATATAAACTTGTAAAACGCACATATATAAAGCTCAGTGGTTGGAATGATTTGCTCCTCAGTTGTGTTGTAATCCCACAGGGATCTGGAACAGCTAAATATAAAGGCATCACCCTGAACTGTACCTCATTGAGAGCAGATGAAATCAGGGCCTGGGCAGGAAGGAGTGGGCCTTACACACAAGGCTGGGTGTGGTGCCATATTATACTATACAGCCCACACTGCACAAGCCAAAGCGTTAAGGTCAGAGGAAAATGGGTTTTAAATACCATCTCAACAACACAAGGCTGCAGGAGCCACTTAGCTACAAAATAATACTCTATAAAAAATCTCCTTAACAAAGAGGTCACATGAGTGAAAAGTGGATTAGTGGGCCAGAGATAATTAGTTCAGAAGAAGCTATTTTTGAAAAGTGGCATACACACTGATTTGAGCCTAATGTTAAAACTGTTAGAATTGTGCACTTTTTAAATAAACATGTTGTATTTTTCATAATGATGTATTTTATGCATTATCCATGAACACATATTTTAAATGATAGTGTCAGTATTCACCGGTAGTACTGGTCTTGGTCATGGTCAACACTTGTCTCCCTGGCAGCATGCTCTTCATCCTCAAAGCCTCCTCTGGGTGGTTGAAGCGGAAAAAAGCCGACTGACCAAAACACAACATGCACCCTGAGACAAGAGAAAGAGATATTAAAATGTGAGGCAGGAGCTTTATGCAAAGTAACAGTAGTGACGTGAATAAAAGTAATTGAACTATTGTTAAATCTACTGTAATCACAATCTTACCATACAATTAACAGTGAAATATCCAAATACTCTTGCTGCAAAGTTTCTCATCATCAAAACAGCTCCGCTGTGTCCTATGATGTATATAAAATAAAGCAGGTTCAAAGCATTCATATCCCGGAGCAGCTGCCTCCACAGTGCCCTACACACACTGACGGATTGCTCAGATTCAAATGACAGTCCAGAGGAGCGGCTGGCCCAGGTCCCACGGAGAGGGGTCTGAGGGGGTGGGGCCTCCAAAAATGACTACAGGAATCTTATGTTATTTGTGCATTCTCATTTAAAGTTTTAAACCTTTAATGATGCTATTATCTTTTCTGTTTATGAAATAAAGGCAAAGCAGTCTATTTTTCAAAGACTTAACACTTTGTATAGTTAAGAATCTTTTAGTAAAAATAAATGATAAATGATGCCACTCACTCAAATTTAGTAAGCAGTTGATCACTGCAAACTTTACTATTACAGTTGTATTGTAACTTTTTTTTCTATGAACGGTGTGATATGGTCTTTCCATTTCCATAGAGTTATTCATTATTATTAAAGAATTATAGGTATTAATAATTTAGAATAGAAGATTATGTAGCAACAACATTTTATCCCAAACATGCATTGTAACTGTACTCCTAAATCGCCTGGCTGCCATATTTCTACATCTTAACTAGGCCCTACTACTTACGAGAACAAATGATATATTTTCCTAATTACCATACAAGACTCTAACTAAAGATATGAATAAAAAAAATTAAAGTAACAGACTTGCAGAACAGCAGGCATGATCGGAAGGAGAAAAAACAACAACAACAACAACAACAACAAGCAAGAGTTTAACAGTACCTTGCGTGAGGCGGTAGGGGCTGGTGATGGGCAGGCCATCCACAGAGCACTGGTGTCCGCATGGGTACAAAGTGATGGTGCCTCCCTGGTTCTCGATGTAGCAGTGCTGAGGTGTGATCCCGGGGCCCTGCAAATGGATATCCGTGACCCCGCAGCCCAACGTGGTCCTGCCTGGAACAACATGAAAACATTTTGTGTTACTGGAGAAGTCCCGTGAATACTTTAGGCGGGTATTCATAGGCTGAAGTTCAAAGCCAAACACATGTAGCAGCCGACGGGTCAAGGCCAGCGGGTGAGTGGGAAATATGTTTAACCTAAGCAACAGGTGCTCCAATAACAAAGATGCTATGTCATAATATTAACACATTACTAATTATACAAGCTAAATGCACATATTTTGCTAAGTGACTTGCCCAAAGTAAAAGATAAAGCTGCTTCATTAGCTAATATTTAGTGTGACTGATTGGATGTGCTACATACTACAGAACAAGGGTAACTTTAACTGCAAAACTTAATGTAATATTATTTAACTAACACAAATGTAAACAATGTGCTTCTACCAGTTGTTTGACAAAGATGAAGATGACGTGCTCAGCTTACCTGGAGGCAGTGGGAGCAGAGTAATGGCTGTACTCAAACGTCCACTTCCCAAACTAACCAGGTGAGGGCGCTCTGCCTGTACTTTTAGGGACTTGCCTGTTTCAATCAGATCCAAAGGTGTGCTCTGGAGAATCATACAGTAACATGTTGATTTACTTAGTGTTTGAGTTGTTCCACATACTGAATATGTTTTATTTTATGGCATCAGACTGAACATAATGTATGTAGACTGTAATGAGTTAAACATTGACCAAATAAAAACACATGTACATGAACATGAACATTTATGACTCCAAGCGTGAAAACAAAATATCATGTAATCAATTTTCAATATATATATATTTTTAGTCTCTTTGTTTACTTTGCCATTCTGGATTTGCCATTCTGCCACTCTGAGTGCAAAGCTTGCAATCAAACATGAAGCTCTTAAATTTATAAACATCAAGTCAAAATAAGATAAACATAGGAATGTGTTCCCATATACTCATACTCCAAAACAAATCTGTGACTAATCAGACTAAACTAGGGCTAGTCTAAACATGGACTAGGATAGGACAAAATCAAGTCTACATCAAAAGTGTGAACAAATCCCAAGACACTAATAAAAAGTTATAATTAAGTTTCTACAGTGATTGCATAACCCTGAATAAAAAGATCTATTTCCATCTCAAGCTGGCACTCAGGTAAAGACTCACCTCTAGAACCTGATGAGTCTGTCTTGCAGGGTCCATGTTATTCTTCCTCATTCTCTCCATGTCATCTGCACTCTCACAGTGATCTGACACATGAAAATCCTGGCCATAGAAACACATAGACATATATAATATGAGAGGAGCCAGTGATGAATGGGAGCAATGGGACTGTGCTACTCCAGTTGTACTACAATAGGAACAGTGCTTTCCTTAGAAATCTTTCTGGCCTAGTTGAAAGCCCATGTGACCCAATGATTATAGTGGGCCATTGTTCCCCTAGAATGCCACAGTTATTACCATGAGGAAGCTGGTATCTAATGAAGCCTCTATTAAAGAAATATTAGAAATAGAATATGTACTTAAATGAACAGGATTTCATTCAATTCTATTTCAATACTGAGGAATGGACTTGATACTCAATTCCAATTCTGATACAGAGGAAAAAAAAAAAGACACTCTCTTTAAACAATAAAAAGAATGTTTTAACATTAAATAATAGTACTTTATTTTATGTTACCATGTGACCTTATATCTGTGTACTCATTCAGTGGTCCAGGTAGGTTCTGTAGTGGTCTATGGGCATACGCTAGTCTGTGTGCTCTGATACAGCTCAAGATCATTCTATAGCTATTAGAGAAGGTTCATTTCTGTCCTGTGACTTTTTTAGCATCGATACCTGCTCAAATGAGCACCTATTTTCTATACCAGTTTTAGTGTTGATTAGTATCTGATTTTCTATACTTTTGACAACCCTAATATAAAGACATGAGTTTGTTTTGTTTACGTTTGTCTGCTTCCCATATGTTGTGACTACTCAGCTAAAACTGATTTGTCTTCCTCCATGGCCCACATGGTGGTTAGGCATATCATTATAACATTCCAAGAAAAAGGAGATACAACAGTCTGCTGCACAGTCTTATTTTGTCTATACTAGATGAACAATATCAAATTTTAAAGATTTAGATCTGGATGAGGCAACAAAAGCACACTCTTTAGTGTACAAGTTCAAGGTTGATGTTCCAGTACATAGTAAGGATGGCTAATTTCTAATCTTGAGAAAATCTTCATAATGAAATACAAACTGGTAATTATTTGTAAGAAAGCACATAAATTTACATTCTAAAGATGCATATTATTGTTTTCATTTAGCTCCAGTTGTATTGTATCTTACGGCGCTGCATGGATTGCTTTTGTCTCTCACTTCTATTATGATCTGTAATCAAACTCCACTTCATTCACAAACACACAAGCCACATGACTGACAAAAACAAAATGTGTAACCTCTTCACGGCCCAGTGCTGTCATCAGTGATGTATTAAAATTAGGCAAAACCCCATCCACAGCTGCTATAGTCCCAGAATGGCCCTGGCTGCCGGAGACAACAGGGCGTTCTCTCTCTCTCTCTCTCTGATGTCACCTCACAGACGAAACCGACAATCACAAACAATCACGAACAGTGTGTAGGAGCCCTGAGAAGACCCACTGACATGCTAGATACGTCCCCTTTGTCTTGCCACAGCCTGTCAACACTGGCCTCTTTACGCCCAGACACAGGACCAAAGAGTGGGCAGGGGGCCTGAGTCATGCAGTACATAGTGGGTTCTAGCACATATGTTTCTGCCCCCACAAGCCCCTGCAGTGACTGGAGGTCCACGCCCATGGCTGGAGAATAGTTTTAAAGCATGCAAATGTAGGGCCTCAGTCTGTACTCTGTCATTATGGGGACAGTTATGCCCTTCAGAGTTGCCATGAGCTGCTGAAAATAGACACCACCGCCAGCCGCACAGTCTGGGCTGCTACTTTTAAAGCGAAATCCCTTCCTAGGAATAAATGTGGTTTATTTTGGCTAAAGACCCCAGAGTCTATTTTAAACTTTACTTGAAGACTGATAAAAAAGTTAAGTGGTAGTTTGAAGAATTACATGACTGGCAAGTGTGCTATCATGTAAAGTAAGTAAGCCATGCAACACTTACCATTGTTGAAAGATTAAATTAACAATCTCATTCTCATTGGTACTGATAAAAGCAGTATCCACATAATGTTTACGTCTTGAGTCTAGCTTTTTTCATTCACAGCGATCTCCTTTGAGCTCCTCTGCTGCCCCCTTCCCACCCCTTCTCCTCCCTGTCCTGGTGCAGAATTACAAGTTACAGGGGGACATGTTATCAACACACCCTGTAAATCATTGCATTGACTATTTAGCTCTAATGTTGATTCCTTCCATACGCAGAGATGACAAGGTTGCAATTAATGGTTTTATTATTTAAATAGTCATTCTAGTCAATTCAAGTTAAAAGTAGTATGTACTTTGAGATGTTATTATTAAGGGAGGCGTATGGAGTGGAGATTCTGACTGGCCAGGGTTTGGGATGTTTTCACTGTAGCATTGAGGGAGGATATTTTGGACCACTCCTGATGATGATGAGAAGAGGCTATGGGGAAAGCAGGTGTTAAAAAGTTAAAAAGAGTTAAGTCAGTGAGCAGGCAGGAAATGACACGTGGCAGCACTTTGGAAACTTAATTTTAAAAAAGTGCTCTGGACCAGCTGTGTAAGAGGAACATTTCAGATATCAACAAAAAGGGGGCTTGTGAAGACATCTCAGTAGACATCCCACAAGACAATTTGGCTTGGACCCATAAAGAGTGGGAGAAAAGGCACCACTATTGATCTCTGAAGGTTTTTCCCATGGATGAAGCCAGGGAGGATAGGGACAGGAAGTGAAGATGACTCACAGAGGAAAAGAGAAAGCAAATAAACAGCAACAGCAGCACCAAGTATCCAGATGGTGCTTGACTTAAACGCTGTGGCGTGGCGTTATAGCATACATGTGCTTTAGAGCATTAGCTATAAAATGTTTTGCACTAAATACCACCTACAAATTCATACTGCCAAATCTAAACCAGGTTAAAAATAGAACTAAACCGCAAGAATTTGAAAAGTTTATACATTTTGTCCAGCTAGATCAAATAAAAAAATATAATTGTGTGTGCTGCTGCTAAATGACATTTTGCTGTAAAGCTTTACATATTTAGTGAAAATGGTATGGTAGTCTATTTGCTTGAAGTTAAGTAAACAGCCAGGGGGAATGTAAACAGAATACCGGACAGATTTCCTCAACATCTGCCGTGCTGCTTCCCATGAGTAAACAACAATGATAAACAAGTTATGTTTACAAATCTAAATTCTAATGCATCTCCATAAAAGGCCAATTCTTATACATAATAGCCTTCACAAATACACAGATTTTGGCTCCAAAACACAGCAAGTAATTGAAGTTTACAACACAAGCTTATGAGGAAAAATTATGATACATTTGACAAGATTTCTATTCTAATTTCAGTCAAATTCTCACTAAAAGTTAACTAAAGATGTACACCTACATTTTCTAAATACACAAAAGATAAAGACATTAACACTTTACCTGTGGGCATACAGGTGAAGACCATTATTTAAAAAAATATATATATATCTTGTGATCCAGAAGCTGTCCCTCTTTAGTCCTGACTGTGCTCCTGCGATTCTAACTTTGTATTGGGTCCTCCCATTTTCCTTCAGTCCCATCTCTCCCCACTCTCCATCAGCCTCTTTTCCCAACCGTTTGAGACAGCCCACACGAGTCTCCATAAAGAATGTATTCTCCAAAACAAAACAGTTTGATAAGTTCAAACAACCTTGACTGTTTTAATACAAATTACATCTCTTTTTTTTTTATATAGAAAGGCCACAAAGGTAATTATAGTTATTATAGCAGATGGGGACACTCCTTACTAAAGACTGAAATTTGAAGATTTTTTGTTAGTGCTGTTAGACAACATCATTTATTCAGATACTTTAATCAGTATAAATCGTGCTGGTTAGAACAGGTCAAAATTAATGGATCCAAATTGAGGTCAGATCACCCAAGTGTCTGCAGTAGCATTCACACAGGAGGCATAATTGTAGTGAGTGTCTGCCCCCCTGTGGTATAAATGTGAAGTAAACTAGCAGCAGCCATATTACCCATCCAAACAAACCCCAAACAAACAATACTGCGTTTACGTCGTTGCAACGCTCCTTCGTTTAGTGACAGAGCGTGACCGCAGAAGTCCCCATAAACAGATGTTTGCGGTCCGCACAGGAAAACACCTGGAGCAGCCGTTGCTTTGGCGGTAAAGAGTTTACCAAAACTACTCGAAACCAGTGGGACTCAGTGGGGGATGGTGAAAGCAAGCTTGCTTCCCTGAACCTACCAGAAGTTCGTACCGTATTATGGATTCAGTTTAAGCAGAATGACCATTGCGTGCTAAGGTTAGCTAAAATGAATCTTAACAAAGAAACCTTAACGCATTTATTGAATAAACAAGGTAAAAGGTGAACACAGAAAAGAGTTGCACTTTCAATGAGGTGGGTGGCCCTTAAAAGGGCCTTTGGTGTGAAGTCATGGATTGTTCATGCTAATACTCCTGGGACTGAGAGGAGGCCTTCTTTCCCGCCTTGCCGGAGCTTGGTGCAGCAGCCTGCCCAGTCTTCTTGGGCAGCAGCACGGCCTGAATGTTGGGCAGCACACCGCCCTGAGCAATGGTCACTCCACCGAGCAATTTGTTCAACTCTTCGTCATTACGAACAGCCAGTTGGAGGTGGCGGGGGATGATACGGGTCTTCTTGTTGTCTCTGGCAGCGTTACCAGCCAGCTCCAGGATCTCAGCGGTGAGGTACTCGAGCACGGCGGCCAGGTACACAGGGGCTCCAGCTCCAACCCTCTCAGCGTAGTTACCTTTGCGCAGGAGACGGTGGACTCGACCCACGGGGAACTGCAGCCCAGCACGGGAGCTCCTGGTCTTGGCCTTTGCACGAGCCTTTCCTCCGGTTTTGCCTCTTCCAGACATGTTGAATAGTTTAGTTTTCGCCGAGATGGATCACAACTGTTCCAAAGAACAGACAGTAGCTTAAAAAACCTGACGACCCGGTTATAAATCCTGCCTTTGTCCTGCCCTCTACCAGGATTGGTTCCTTGGTTCTGCGCTAGCGCAATGTGAATGGCTGTTAAAATCACGTGGAACGCTTTAACCAATCATGAGGCCGCTCACAGAGAGGCTCGTTAAAAACGGGGTGTGAACGGAAATGATCAATAACCAATTGGTATTTCTCCCTCCAGCTTTTAACTTTTGGCGGGGCTCTGGAGAGGTCGAAATGTATCAATCAGTTTATTAGTTATGCAGTTTCTGGTTTATTAACTATACATGGTTAATCAACAATACAACTATGACGCAGTGATTCTAACTGTCAAATGCTTTATGCCCCTTATGTACTGCGCTGTGAAGGAGTGAGTAGCTCAGTAGGGTTTGCATTTGAGCAGATGTTATCATATATTGTTTAATTCACTGTACACCTTGAGATAGCCTTAAATAGGCCTACAGATTGGTCGGATGACAGGTTCCTATAAAACAAAATTGATTTCAGAATAATTTAATTGTAATAAATTATACACACATTTATTCCCGGCCATGTCACATTCAAACCATAGTGCATTGTATTGCCCTTTTTGTCACTGTCTATGAAGACTGAAGAAATATCTCTCAAAATATTTCATAATGTGAGCAAACCAAAATAGTCTTTCACATAAAGTGCAACTCAAACTTATTTAAAAGGAACAAACATCTGTTTTCAGGTACAATGTACAACATCCCAAAACAACTGTACAGACAGTTACAGAGCTGACACAAAAAGGCTAACATAAATAATTTCAGCATAAATATACTCTATAGCATCCTCACTATACTGTGATAAAATAGTTTGTTTATAGTAATTTATTTCATAATATCTATTTAATTATATGCACAGTAAAAAGAAAAACAAGTGCAACCATTGAGATGATTAATATTTGAAACTAATATAACTTATAATAAATTATAAAAAGAAAAAAAAAAAAAAACGGTTTGTGACTTTTCTTTTGGGAAAATTCCTCGCAGAGGCATCTTCTACTCATGAATGCACAACCCTCCAGGGGTCTTTGTGTTTCTAACAGTGCATTCTTAAAGCTCGGCCATTCTTCTCAAAGCCAGAAGCCACAACAGTTTATTTCATATATTTACAACAGTAAAGTCATGTCTTCTGCTTTGTCAGTTATCCAGTGAACTTGCCCCTCCATTTGCAGAAGAAGTTTTGCTTTTTGACTTGCTTGATGTGCGAAATGAGAAGCGTTTAATGAGACGTCGTGAAAAGCTGCCTGACTTTTTGTGGGTGCTCGCTGTGGACACAACAAAGTTATTCCCCATGTTGGAGAGGTCTTCATGAGACTGACTGAAGCAGGACTCTTTCTCTTGATGTTTTCTGCGGAACAGCAGTTTGGTCCCACTCTGCAGAAAGCCCACTGAAAAAGCACATATAATATTAGGTTTTCAAGTCATGAGACTGATTTACTTACTTAGTCTGATGGTCTTCTTAAGAAAATGTTTGGCATTCACATTGGCATTTGTTCTAAACTGATTATGCTCTTCTAGAAAAGGGGTGTCCAAACTTTTTCACAGAGGGTCACACACTGAAGCAAATTTGAAGCACAGAGCCACAAACCCATGGGCAATACAGCCGAATGCATTGTACATAGTTTTGACAGAACCACCATACTTTTAATGTCTTGCAACCATAGACTGTAGAAAAATTGTGGACTAAGCGAGTGACATCACCCAAAGGATTCGGCTCCACTGAAATGAAGCTTGTGATGCTAGTGGTTACAGGGGCAAATTTGGAGCCAGGCTCTACATTATGAATAGAATTTTTTGACAGACAGAATAGCAAAAAAACCACCACCAGGGTCATGTTGAATAAGTTAATATGACCATTCTAACACCAAAATGACGAGGCTCATTGTAGCAGTTACAATATTCCAATGTAAGTCAGTGGAAGCCAGGGTCAGTAGGAGCTAGAAGAGCCCGCATGCAAACTTCCTATTTGAAACGCGGCGGCTAGCTATGTCTATTGATATATACAGTCTATGCTTGCAACATCAATTTTATCACAATGGAATGTGATTTAATTGAGGTTATAGTGGTAGAAATACTTAAATTAGCTGTAAACATTAATGCCTTTCATCATTTGGGCCATTTCAACAGAAGCATTTGGTCTCCAGGCCTTTAGACACCCTTGTTCTAGAAGAACAAATCAGTCATAAGAACAGATATTGTAATTCTGGTGTGATTGTAATGATATATTTTTTAAATTTATGTTTGGTAAAAGTAATAGTGGACTGGCTGATAGCAAGTACATGTCTAAAACAGTCTTCACCTCAAATACCCCCTAAGGCCAAAGTAAGGCAAAGTCTAATCATTGTGTGGACACTAGGAGGCGCTAGCCACCAATGTTGCAGTCATATGTACTTCTGTACTGTACTGTAAATACTGTACAATGTACATTAATCAAATGAAACAGACTAAAACGCTTTAATTGTGCCTATGCCACTCTATCTATTGACCTGACCCTGTGTCTGACATTTCATACTTACTTACAGCATTATTAGATTTATATTAAGATACCTTTATGGTCCTTGAGGCTGCGAGTCTCCAGCGCACCAGTGGAGCCTGTGTCCGACTCCACATCGTCCACCGAAGGGCGCTCTGACACATCTGATGGTGTGGTCTCATCAGGGTCAGCAGGATGCCCTGTCCCATAATGGTTCCCATGAGCCGCATCCATCGCTGCTGCGTAGCCACTCGATAATGAGCTGTCGTCTTTGGAGAGTGGAACCTGGAGAGCAGAGGGTATCACAACACATAACTTTGCATTATTCTAATATTAATTCAATAAAACTTATTTTGCAAGATGCCTTCTGTAGCCAGCTAACTAATCAGGTCAAAAATGTATTCTCTGATAATAGTGTCCTCTGAGAGTGTACTAAAATTAAACCACTTTACCTTGTTGCATAATCACAGCCCCACATATTTTCATTCAAGATTATGTTGGTGCAAAAACATCCATTATGATTATTATCTAACCTTTGATACGCCTGAGATAATCAGTGTGCTTCTTTTAGTCGGGGTCTTCCGGACCACCTTGGACTCTGTCAGCTGACGAATGGCCGTCTCAGCAACAGGGTCCAGGCCATTGGAGAGACGACTGGCCTCTGTGGAGCAACACAATTAAACATAAAGCATAGCTATACATACATAGCATACTGATAAAGTCAAATTATACACATTGATAAAAACAATGCTAAATATGTGTGTCAATATTCAAAACATCTAGCCAGACTATAAAAACAGACACTACACATACACCAAGAGATATAAGTAAATGGTTTCATATTGGATGCAGTGTTCTTGCTGCTTGCTACTCATCCTTCTTTGCATAGATTTTGCAAAACAACCCTGACATTTCAGTCTAGCACTTACTGCTGGGATTGGGGCTTGAGCTACTTTTTCCATCGGACAGAATGGTGGGCTTCTTCTCTGTTACCTCCACTTTAGAGGGTGACCGCAAGGGAGAGTCACCTAAAACAACACAAAATAGTTATCTATCTCTTTTTGAAATAATGGTGATATGTGGTTGTATGCAATTACAATTATTGTAATAATTCTGATCTTTTCAAAGAATATTCAAGATTCAGTTCACATCTTGCAGATTTTTTTGCACAAGGATTAACATTTAAGAGAAGAGTGGAATATGAACTACTCATACATGAATCCCACACATTTCATTACATGGTTTCAGAGCTCTATACTGAAGGGGTATAATAACATTATAACTCCTACATCAGTGGTTCTCAAACTGTGGTACGTGAGCTCTATCATGTGTATTGCACAAAGATTTCCTGAATTTGACCCACATCTCCATTCTCTGTTGAGTTAGTCCTTGTTATTTCTACTATTACAGTACTATAGCAGTGTGCAGCTTTGTGTCAGGGGTCTGCCACTTGCTTGTCTTTATGTAAATGTGATTTCTTTGTCTAGAATGTCCCATAGTTTAAACATTAAACTTATCTCCATGGAGACAAGCCCGCAATGCCACCAGGATAGGTCAGATCTGTGGAGAGGTGTGTCCACTCTCTGTACATCATCTTTTTTGATGTATGGTTGAACACTAAAACACCTGCAGTTGACTAAATGCAACATAGATCAGTTCAATGCCATACTGTGACATGGAAACAAGGTTGTGGCGGACCCTCTACCAGAAAAGTTACATAGTACAGCTTTAAATTAAGAGTAGTCTAGATCTGGTGGTACCCAAATGTGAAAATGTTATTGGTAGTAATCAGTGTGAAACATTGGACCAACATAATTGCAGCCATGGTGACTTGCTAATTTACCTGGGCTGTGATCGAGCTTGAGACGAGACTGGACAGTGGTGACAGTGGTTACAATGGTCCCATCAGGCATTATTGTTCGATCTACATCCACTTTCTTTGTTGGCGTGAGGGAGGAGCGAAGAGGCAAAACACTACCACTAGGTTCCCCTGTCTCTACAAACGTAATCTGCAGAAACATAAAGATGCAATATGTTTTATGGTCTGAAACAGGCCAAACACAAAATATGTAAAACATGTAATCTTGCATATTAGTTATTAGAAAGGAATGACTCCTCACCTCTGCAGTCACAGTAGCATTTGGAGCCAGTCCATAGCCTGGGCTGATTGATAACATACGTTGTTCTTGAGAAACCTTGCACTGCTCCAAGATAATTGTTGCATGTCCTGGCAAGAACTCTGTGAAATAAAAACAACAGTACACATAAATCACCAATTAAATTTTACAAAATAAGCAGAGAGTTGTTGGTTTTTTTTTGCTACAAAAATGCTAACAAGGGCACTTGGAGCATCACTGCTTACAATGAAATTAAGGCCTGAATGATTTTGATTAAGCATCAAACATTTTTCTGCTGTGTTTTTGAACTGCAGCCAAAAGTCAGTTGCTATAAAGCTTTGTCTTACTTTCCCGCTTGCCATTTCGCTCCAAAAGTCTTATTCTCAGCTCTTTGGATTCCAGACCCAAGTCACTGTAACAGAAAAAAAACACCCACATTCAATCTCATCAACTTTTACAGTATTTCATTTCCTGCTTGACTGAACAATGCTGACTTACAAAGAAATGTCTTCACTCCACTCCACTGGGGTGTTGGGGTTACTGGGCAAATATAGGAAGCGCGTGGTCTTCTCTGTGGAGGGTTGGTCCAAGTTCAGGACACAGCAGAGCTCCCCTGACTTCAGCCACAGGTCTACAAATACAGTAATACAAATTATACACAACTTGACCTAGCCTTGATATAACTAAGAAAATACTATATAATTATTTCATAAATACATCAACGCTATGTGAAAGAATGCAGGCACCTGACTACCGCAATATACTGAATAACTACGAGTTATGTTTGTCCCAAGATGACAATGCCAGGACTCATTGGGCTCAGATTATGATAGAGTTGGAGCAGGGAGCAGACATCATTTTCACACATGGACTGGATTATACCCGGGTTTGAGGCACTGTTTGTAGGTGGCATTTAGTGGGAGGTGTAAAAAAGGAATTTAAATCTCCAACAGGAAAACTGACCTTTGGATAAGGTCACTCTGAGCTGCCGGAGCTGGAGCCGTCTGACACTGTGGGGTCCTATGGATAAGTAATCCTTTGTTATCTGTAAATACATAAGAATAAACATTACATTTGATATTATTTATAATCCAGATAAATACAATGCAATGTAACAAAGACAAATTACCAGGGGACCTGACACACAAGTTTTCAGATCCAAGACCATAGCTGGCTGAGCGCCAAAGAGAGAGTCCTCTACAAGTCCCCTAATCACATCTAACTCTCCTTCACCTGCATGGCTCTAGGAAGAAAAACAAACATATGAATGAAATAGGAAACCAATATCTGTTTATACATAGACCACCTCCTAATGAGCATGGGGAACAACCACCCAAGACACATGCCATGAGCATTTTAGATCCAGGGACAAAGATTACAATGGTATGCATGACTTTGTCCATTCTTTGTTTGACTAAAATGCCATAGGTGCCACAGATGTAGTTTTACCTGTTTCTGGATCTTGAGAGATGATATCGATATAGAAAAACAAGACTGTCTTAAAAGATTCCAGGACATTAGCAGCCCTTCGTTTTCCACTTCTTCAAGACATACTTCCATCTGAAATGAAAATTAAACAAATGCTACTTCAACATCAAGGCAGCTGCAAACTTCAAAAGTGCAAGCAGATTATCAAGGTCCAACAATTCAGTAATGTGACACGGCTCAGATTTTGCATTCTGTATGGATTTAATTGGAATCACTTTGAAATGTAAATATTTGGTCTCTCATTGAAAAGAGTTTTTCAGAACTGAGTCCAATTGCATTCACACTCCCTGTTTAATCCTGATGTAGATTTGGTTTGGTCTCAATTCAAATGTTTTGTTGTTGATGTTTTGTTATGGATTCCACCTGAACTACTGAGGGATTACACATGAGATACAGACTTTATGTTAGAACCCACACTTATTTCTGTCAAAATATTAAATAATTGAAAGAGATGTGATGTGCAGCCTTTTTCCCATGTTCAGTTTTACCTTGGCCACCACTGGTACAATATGGATCTGATATGTTTCCATGGAGACAGTGGCGGCTGACTGTTGAGTGACTGACACAGGAAACGTCATGTTGTCCACACGGCATTTACACTGTAGGACCTGTGCATAGAAAACAACACTTTTAAACACGTATTATTACGAATGTCTACTGCTTTGTGCACTAGAGCTCTAAACTAACTTTAAATAACAAATGAAATCCAAATAACAAATTGAAACATTTACATACCATTCGATGTGCTGATTGGTCAGTGCAGGCCACACTCTCTATTTCGCATTTAGTATTTAGCTGTAAACTGCTGTCAAATGTGATCTGGATAGAACTCTGAAATAAAGCAAAATAAAAACATGATAAGGGCATTTCTAATAATATGATATAAAGAGTCCTGGTTAACACTAATGGCTTTATCCTGGTATAGACCTGGTTAAGACATGGTTTTGTGTATGATTATCCAGTTGGTTATATACGGTGATGTTTTAGGGCTGGGCAGTTTATTTAAGATCCAGCTATATGAAATCATCAGTAATATCCTTGGTTGTTTTTAATTGCCAGTTCTCTGTCAGTATAAACAGTATAATATGGTTTAGAGCAGAGTTTAGACTTTGGAGGCCTTCAGAGGTCTTGTTTTGTTTGTTTGTTTGTTATTTTTTCATAAAATTATAACAGAGAGACATTGTTTTTGGTTTTTGTTTGTTTTGTTCTGGGTAGAACATCCATTTAAAATAAAATATTTTACTTTTAATTGTTACTTCCTTAGTATTTAAATGCTTTAATATAAATGTGTATGTAATAACTAATGCTCACTGCTTAATCTACTTAGACTGAAAGACACCCTCTATCAGAAAACATTTTAGTATCTTGGCAGAGGGTTATACAAAAGCATGGGGACTAGTGTTACTGTGAGCCAGTGGATCTGTTTCATTGGACTACATTAACTGTCACGAGAGATGTTGAGTGAGCCAACACAAATCCCCTATTGTCCATGCATATGTTACACCATGTCCAGTTACACACCAGTTTCAGGAATTTGTGTAGTCAGTGCCACACGCCAAAGGGGCAGGAAGCCAAGGCTGCTAGCTTACATCAGTTCCTTGAACAAATGCTGCAGCAGTACCATAAAAATACTATCCCGTACAATGGATAGCTGATTAATTGGTAAAAACTGCTGAGTCACCGAGGCTTTCATTATATCCAAAGTCCAGAACAAATTATGCAAATTTACAATGGCTAACAATATCTATGTTATCATTTGTCCATGCAAAAATGTACTCATAATATTAGTATTAAATTAATGCCATTAATAAGACATAGTTCCACACATTACTAAAGGAACAAGTTGTAGGGGTGTAAATCAATTTGCAAGTTATCTGACATGATCTGACAGGTTTAAAAAGTTCAGTTCTGTTCAGTGTGCGCGGTATAAACAACTCCAGGAGCATTAACATTTGAAAGAACACTGAAAGAGGAACTGATAAACTAAGACAGTCTGTACATTTAATTGTATTTCTTTTTGGATAAAAATGTAATGTTCTATTACCTTAATAACTGCACTTATTCATACTGCGATTTTGAATGGACTTCGATATATTGTTGGGCCCTAATAAAGTGGACCATGGCTTCTCATTGGCAAATAGCCACAAATTATGCAGCAATTTAGTGACCTGATAAAGACTGTACATGAAATAACGGCCTAATATGTACATCATATTATCACCAAAGGTTCATAATGGCACTAATTGACATCTAAATTTAGAATTGATTCTATTAGTTTAATTAAGCCTTAATAACCGGATATCCAGATGTCTGTGTAGTGTTATACATTGGTCATCAGGTGCTTTGGGCTGTGGGCATGTGCATGGTTTGTCCTTGTGATGCAGCAGAGGTCAGATGAAAATAATAATAAAGTTCCTGAGGACATCGCCAGTGTCATGTCAGGTTTGTCAGCATCAGGCCTGTGGGTCTCTGAACCATGTGGGCCAAACAGAAACAGCCCTTCTCCAGCAGTGGTCCACTCATATAACCAATTTGAAAACTGACTGATTTAATGACATCACCAAACCAGGTTAGATGTTGCAGCAACATACTTCAACCAAAAGACACATTTTCTTGTAAAACTGTATGCAAACTTTTTTTTTTTTATTAATGCTAGGATTGGCACTGTTGTGTGTATTCCTATTTAGGTTTCTTTTTTGTTTTTCCTTGCTGAGAAAGAGGATCTCTATGGACAAGGGATCCCTTGGGACAATGATCCATTTTCTAGTTTTGTGTGAATGTTGCTCACTCTGCTTGTCTTGTATTGATGACTGTTTCCATTAGCTAGATCAACAATTTCGTTTAGCTATTTAAAAATAAATTAAATTAAACTAAAGTAAATCTGGCAACGCAGTGGCTGAAATAGGGGAAATAGGTTGCAAATGCAGTTTCTTAACCTTGCTAGTGCTAGAACCAAGGTTAAGGCCATGGATTTAATCGTGTGTCAAAGGAGCAGCTTAGGCTATTAAAGCTAGTTGTTAAAGATAACATATTTTTACAGAATGAAATGACTGGGACAGAGGGATGAAGAGGCTTCCTGCGCTATCGTCACAAATGAGGCTGAGTGGTTAATGTCCCTAGTCATTTAGGAGGAACCTACTTGAGCATAATCATTAATCAGCTCCAGCAGCTCACAGTCAGAGAGAGCCATGAGAGTGTGGCCTCAGGATAATAGCAGATCTCATTTTAATTGCAGATTTTGAGCGGACACTTCCTTATTGCAAACAGATGCACACACTTAGTTTATTTTGTATCAGTGATTTTAGCCTCATGTGTCAGAGGCAGATGCACAGATGATGCTTAGATCCCTGAGAGGTCAGTGCTTGAAGCATTCTCACTAGGCCTGACACGATAAATATTAGATCAACTTATCATTCAATAAATGATATTTATCTATTACTATCTATTATTTATCTATTACTATTTATCACAGGTACTTTTTCTCTGTACAACTGGGGATCTTTTTGTTATTTTCTGCAACATTTAACAGCTGTCGGGGGTTGAATAACTAACGTCTATGACTCATACTAACTGCTTGTTTCTGCTTTTTTCCATGTATATATTGCAGCTTATGTTTTTTTCTTATTTTTTAACAATATTGTACATAAGCAAAATATTTTTGGAGAATGATCTAATCTGGGGTTATTATGTTGGTCGCATACATTAGTTTCGGTATTATAATTTATCTCCTATATTTTCTTCAGTAATATATTCTTATTCAAAATGTGTTATCATGGCAGGTCTAAACACAGTCAACATTTACACAGACAAAAGGGTGTATCTCTATGTCAGATACTTCTGCCAACACCAGAAGCTCGTTCAGTAATAGTGCAGAGACTCGTTCAGTAATAGTGCAGAGTACAGGCCTATTCTTGAGACAAACAACTGACTCATACAAACAAGTCGCAGCCAAACATGCAGAAAGGGCCAAATATTCCCTAAAGGTTACCCTCTAGAAACTGTGAGCATGTGCCCTCTTTTCCTACAACAAGAGGATCTACAGTATTGAGGGGTGAAAACGTGTTAATAAGTGACATCCTAAGATAGTTGGAGGTTGTAGTGATATCTAAAGGTGCACCATGTAATTTTTCTGGTAGACGGTACTCCACCTCATTGTCTCCACGGAGATGTAATCATTTACCTGGGATGTTTCACAGTATTGCACAAACCTAAATTACAGGTGGTTTATTTATACTTTGTAGCTGATGTCTTCTTCTCAAATCTGAGTGTTAGTTTAACACAATCTGACCATAAAGAACTACTTGTTGTAGCTGGAACTACAACAGGTAACCTGATTTGTGCTGTTAAAGTCACTCACATATAAAATTACAGTCACTAGCTAACTAGCATTAGACAGCAGTTTTTCATTTAGTCACACTCACCAACTTTTTGTTGAAAATCAAACCCCTAAACAAGACCATGAATGCTTGTTTTAATCAAAAGTGTTATTAAAATCCATTTTTTGTTTTTTCTTGAGTTTTCAGACAATCTAAAAACTTTTTTGTCTGTGTTTGCTAATGTCTGCATTGTGTCTCCATGGTAAATACTGATAACTCCACCATAGAGATACATGTAGAATACTCCCAGCGTTATGTCACAGCAAAGTACCAATTACTAAAAATACCTGGAAAAGCATGTATTCTTACTCAAAGCAGGGTTGCTTCTCCATAAATCTGACCTGTAACTTGGCCTGGTATCACGTGCTTGTCTCAAAGAAGATAGATAAGTTTAATGCCATACATGTAACTCTATGTAAAGCAAAAACTTTCTACCAGAAAAATTACACAGTGCACCTTTACACGTAAAAGACTTATTGTACTTATTTTACAAAACTTACTTCAATATGGAGGATAAATGATCTAAAACGTCCTAATGTCAAAATGTATTGTCAGAAATAACTCTTTAATTTCTGGTATTTCTATCAATATGTCAACCAGGTCTATCTGTATCTCATTGGTTTATCTCATAACAATCCTTAACACATATTTTAACCTCAAGTTTGATATCTGAAGGTCTTTACAGAGTTCTTGTCTTCATCTCAATATTGTAAATATCACTGCTAATCAAAAGTATAACCCAAACAGTGATTTGCACACATCTACTTTTGTTTACATAACGGCAAGACCAGAATCAAGAAAACTGAGTCATTTTTCAGAGCCGCTGCGTTCATGAGGTCAGGTTTCCCCAAGGGAGTGTCACACTACAAGGACAACAGTCACAGCAGTGCACTTTGAGACTCCATTGTTTTTATGTTGAAAAGAGAAAGACCATCAAGGAGGGTATGAGAGATGTGTATCATAGGGACAGTCACAGATTGGCCATTTTGATACGAGACTGAGTGCTGTGTTTAACGGCAACACAATTAATTAACAGTTTTATACATTCAAAATAAATACACTGGATATTTTGTGTACTAAAATATTTAAATTGTTTTTCTGTTTAAGCAACAGCAGCCTCATTAAATCTTCCTAGCACTCTGTATTTGCTTGGCTGTTATTTGTACATAAGTTATTGGATGTCAGGCAAATTTTTGTTGCAAACCTAATTACTTGTATTTTATTTTGGGGTGGTCATTATTATAGCCATTCTGCCTATCTGGATCTGGACATACAGTATTCTTAAATATGTATTTTATTTTTTGCATCACATAGAACTGATTCATTAAGATATTGCTTGAGACTTTGCACATTTGTCCACATACAGTCACAATCTAGTGAAGCTCTGAGTGATATAGGAAAATAAATATCATTTGGATTTAGGTACATTCTCTTAAGGCATTTGCTCAATTGTCTGTTGATGTGACCACAGCAACAAAATGTGGGAGGAATATACGTTTTGTGTGGAAAACAATGTGAAATGGGTTGCTTGTGGCAATTTAATGCATACCACCAAGTCATCTCTGAGCAGGTTTTACCAGTCAGAAACAGGCATGCCTCTATCCTACCAGAAAGCAAAAGAAAGCCCCATTCTAGAGTTGCTTTAACAAACTACTTGCCAATAACAAAAAAACTAATTATAATCTGTGAGCCAAAGTTACTGCGAAATGCACTGCTCTGCATAATGGTCCTGCCATTTTTGCACTGACATATGACTGAGCCTGTAGTCATAATTTGGAGAAGGCATTTTATTATTAGGAGTTGGCTCTAATCGTACACCACATGCACAGTCAGACGAGAGCAGCTTGTTTAGTCTAGGAGACAGTCTACCAGTAAATATCAGTGTTGCAGTTATCATTTAACTCTGAATGTTACTGCAATGATTAAAAAAAAAAAAAAACTTATTAGGATTACAGAGGTTACATGAAGTTCATTCAGTTTTCTTGAAGTTGCTGGAAAATATTGCTGTAAAAAGCTACACTGATAACCAAACAATTACCAAGTGTCAACTGCAAGATTTCGTTGTTTCTGTTGTTACTTGTACATTTTATATATGATGAAAATGAAAATACAAGGTGTAAATCATGAGGTCACATGCAAAGACAGGAACATCAATTGTTCCTGGGTCAATCGTTTTGAAGCCTGATGTAAACGTGGGCTTGCTTGACATTTATAACTATGGAGCAATATTTAGACAAGGAAGGTCAGTTGTTTGCACAAGGTTGAGGGTTAAGCAGGGCAATTAATTAGACAATAATAGCAAATGGCATTTTAAAAAGGCTTTTATCACCACAGGCCTTGTGTTGTTTTTCAGTGTTTTTAAAAGGCAATTAAGATTCTATCAGTTGAAATGAACATGTTATGGAAGAATAAACAATTACTAACTACAACTACAAGTTCTTTTTGTTTCTGACCTTTTTGTGCAACAACTGTGAATAATCTTTCTGAATGATCTATGTAAGCTGTGCATCTCATCATATATTTAAACAAGATTTACATGCTTTACAAGTGATTGGAGCTTATTGTTGTGGATTGATTGTGACCCTTTAAACTCTAAAGCAACTCATCATCCAGTCAGCAAAGGAACAAACAAACACAGCATTTCTGAGCAGGAGGTCAGATCCACCAGATCTCTCTGTGTGGTTGACTTTGATTTGCATGGAAAAGCACTATTTAAAATACACTGCTTGATGCAAACAGGATAAAATTATGTGTGACTCTTTCATATGAATGTTATGAGAACATTTAATAACTAGGGCTGTCTGCCGTCTTTTAAGTATTTTAATCAGTTGATGAAGTCCAAGGGTTCATACTGATCCTTCTTTGGTCCTAGTTCTAGCCCAGTTTGAGTCCAAAAGTAGACTTGGTTTGGCCTTGTCCTAGTCCTGGTTTAGTCCAGATTTAGTGCCAGCTTAGTAAAATTTTGTATGTGATTGTGCAACCATGAATGCACCCTTAGTCAACCAAAATAATTGTATTAGTACATTTTAAAGATTTGTATGGACTGCAGCAGAAAGGAGAAGGCATGGCGTGAGAAAGCAAGAGATTTAGGAGTGAAATGTAATTTCAAATGAAGACTTGAACCTCTGTATGCACATAGTTATGGCATCTTGTTAGTACAGTTTAGGTTAGATGCTTGGTCAGATCATAGAGATACAATTTGGAGCATGCAACATGTCTTTTTCAGTGAGCAAATCAATGCACACATGTCTTTGGTTGACCAAGAATTTCTTTAGTTGACTGAAGCAGTATTTAAAATTTTTATTTATTTTTTTAACATTATGCTACTGGTGCACTTTCTCTCCACTGACATGTATTGATTCAGAGCTGTTATGCAAGACTCAGCCCCATCTTTTTCCCGAATAGACACTCAAACTCCTACACCTCCACCTCTCAGCCCACACGCTGCAGCAGCATCACAGCACTTCCAATCCTGACACTGTTTAATATTACTTCAGTGAGAATGAACAAAAATATAAACCAGCATAATTTTATCTTAACTAAATCAATTGCAACTTTGCCACAACTATAGTATTATAATAATGTGGTGATCTAAAAAATGTCCTGCAAAGAACCAATACATTTAAATCAGGTCAAACTCAGGACAGAATAAAGCCACAGTGAATATTGATCAAAATCAGGAAGTAAACTGAATGTATCAAATAATCTGCACAAAAATACAATAAGCAGAAAATTTTTTGGAAACAGAATGAAATCACTAAATGGTCACATTTTTCTATAGCGCTTTTCCACCTTCAAGGCACTCAAAGCGCTTTACAACAAGGAACCACTCATCCCATTCACACACCAGTGTACGCAGACACTGTGGGCAAGGTGGGTTAAGTGTCTTGCCTAAGGACACAATGACAGCATTCATCTGTGGGAGCTGGAATCACACCAGCCAACCTGTGGGTCAGTGGATCTGACCGCTCAACCTGTGATGTTTATGTCAAGAGTGGGATTTGAACTGCCAACCTTCAGATCAGTGGACAAACGCTCTATACCAACTGAGCTACTGCTGCCCCTAAACCATTATTAAAGGTGTGTATACACTTGCATAGGCACCACATCAACAGTAGGAGTAGACCAGCATTAAATTCAAAACTAATACGACAATTCTAGGTCTACATCAGGACCAACATTGGCTCAACTTAGAAGAAGTGTAGTGTAAACCCAATTTAACAACAAAAATGCCTCTAAATGAAAATAAGCACAACTGCAAGAGATAAGCATCCTGGAAATCACCACATACTATACCATACACCCCAGTTTAAGAGCTGCTGAGCTTAATAAGCAGTATATTACAGGGTTTTTCTATGATGATGACTTGTGCAGTACAATAGCTTTTACTGTGGACTGATTTTCACAGTCTACTCACCCCATGCCTGCTTGCTTGCTCATTCAGTGCTTTGACCCAGGTCCTCTGCCATTGCTCCCTGAAGGATTTGAAGGAGAAAAGAGAGGTCACCAGCCCCTTCACCCCGGTCTCAGAAGCAGCTCTTCCGTCCCATCCGGCCTGAAGATGCGTCAGAATGCCCCACACGCCACTCGCCTGGTTCCTCTCCCTTATCCATTTGGGGAGAAACTGCTGCCAGGCTCTTCCTTTCTTGCCCTGCTTGGCTGTCCACTTGGCTCTCCACAGCCGCAGCACTGCCAGGGAATACTGAACGAACCATGCCAGCACAATGAGTAAGGAGGCCAGGAAGAGAGCCACCATGCACAGCCACCCCAGGTCCTGGAGCTCCATCAGCGTCTCCTCGCGCTTCTCATGTCAGCGAATGAAATGTCAGAACTGTCCGTCCCAGCAGGTCAGCCCCCTCTGGCCTGCGCGTGGAGGAAGAAGACACACGGTCACCTTGGTGCATATGTCACAACAATGTAATAGAGCAATACAAGCAATCATTCACATAATGATTATGCATTAGACGGTTTGCGTCCGCCATAATTAGGTAACACTTCGCTGTATGGAAGCAGGCATGCGATGCGAAGTGATCATGGCGGTATTATTGTGTCCGAATGCACGTCAGTAGATAAGTTGTTATGAAGTGCTGTCATTATAGTTAAAGAGAAACCTACCGCTGAACTAAGTCACAAGCTGCGACGAATTGAAAGCAAGGAGTCGGTAACATGACGGTGTCTTCATGGCGATTATTATTTTTCTCATCTCCGAGACATCAGCGAGTTTTTCACGGGCTGTCATTCGCTGACATGAATCTATTTTAAACACAGCCGTGAAGTGTGGTCCTGTGCGCTGCGCTGCAGGCTCTGTAAGGTTCAATCTCCGCTGCTTGTACCCACCTCCTGCTGCCTCTGTACTGTCCATGGAGCTGTGGTACCGTCCAGTGCAATGACCGATTAGTGTCGGTGGAGAGCGCTGAAGCGACATTCGAGAAAAACAGGAAGTTAAAAATTAGCTTTTCAAAACAAAAGCCCCCAAATAATTTTAAATGATCAGCGCTTTAAAAGCTGCTGATTGCAGTGTGATTTAAAAAATCTCCATCCATACACATAAACTGAAACAAGAAAAACAGTTCACAGTTCAAACTCATTTTTATTTATGTGTATTTGTCTATATTAGGCCATGAAACAAAATGAGATTTCAGAGTTAACTGCGCACAGCAAAAATAAATAGTAACCCATTTAAACGAAAAACTTTTATTAGAAACTGGCTAGAGCCGTGACCGCATGATTGTGACAGCAGATGAAGCAGGCAACCGGAAGCGTGTCTTCTTCTGCGTTTCTATGCTCAGTGTTGTCATACGTGGAGTTAAGCGCTTCAGAAAATGGATAAAGGTGACAATAAAATACGATGAAAGATGATTTGGCAGGTGTGTGGATTGCTGGATTTGGTCTTCTGCTACACGGAATCTGAGGACTCTTTCTTGTTGTAAACTATGTCCGTGACATGTAATTTGCACTACAAAATCGATTGAAACTTGGGGCAGCGTCGTCATAGTAGTAGTCTGAAAGGAGATTTCAGCTGTCATAGAGGTAGACAAGAGAACAAAATGCTGGGAAATATGGCTCCTTTGCCAGTTTTACCCCTGGTGATAAACTGTTGTATGTCGATGTTTGGCTGTTTGGCCACCATCAAACTAATTCCTGCTTTCAGAGAACATTTCATATCAGCTAGGTTATATGGAATGGACCTTAACAAAACATCCAAAAAGGAAGTGTAAGTGTTTTTATTCAATACAAACTCCCGAAACTATCCCTGCCTCTCTAAAAATGTTTTTTCCAATGTGTTGACAGCCCAGAGTCCCAGGGGGTAATCAGTGGGACTGTCTTCTTGATAATCCTGTTCTGCTTCATCCCAGTGCCTTTTCTTAGCTGCTTTGTTGGAGATCAGTGTATGGGCTTCCCCCACAATGAGGTAAATAACAAATGATTATAGGAATGAATAAAACTGTTTTGTAAGTGTAACCTGGTTTGTCTATATTTTCAGTTTGTCCAACTGATTGGTGCTCTTCTGGCCATCTGCTGCATGATCTTCCTTGGTTTTGCTGATGATGTACTCAATCTGCGATGGAGACACAAACTCTTACTCCCAACAATGGCATCTTTGCCTCTACTCATGGTTTATTTTACCAACTTTGGCAACACAGTCATTGTGGTACCTAAACCGTTTAGGGTTTTGCTTGGACTTCACTTAGACCTGGGTTAGTATTTGGTTAGACAGTTAGTTTATTTTAGATGTAGGTTCTCTTAAAATATAACGTGTTGTCTTATAGGAATTCTCTACTACGTCTACATGGGAATGCTGGCAGTCTTCTGCACAAATGCAATCAACATTTTAGCTGGAATTAATGGCATTGAGTCAGGCCAAGCACTGTTCATCTCGGGCTCCATTATTATATTTAACTTTTTGGAACTTGGTGGTATGTTATCTTACTTTTATTTATTCAGTATTATCATGTTATTTGTAGATAACTTAAATGTTTATGTTTCAGGTGATTACGGTGCAGATCATGTTTTTTCCTTGTACTTCATGATTCCATTCTTTTTTACTACATTAGGACTGTTTTATCACAACTGGTGAGGCCACAAACTGCAAAAACAGGTAATTATTACAGAGTCGACTCTGCAATTGATGTATCTCATGTCCTGCAGGTATCCTTCTTCAGTATTTGTGGGAGACACTTTTTGTTATTTTGCCGGAATGACCTTTGCTGTTGTGGGAATCCTGGGTCACTTTAGTAAAACAATGCTGTTGTTTTTTATTCCCCAAGTGGTAAACTTCATATACTCGCTTCCTCAACTTTTTCATATCATCCCCTGTCCGAGACATAGACTCCCCAGGTAGATGGCAACTAGAATGGTGAAATAAAACTTTTTTTTTAAATTGTTCTCTAACTTTTTTTTTTTTTCTTTTCAAAAAAAAAAAAAAAAAAAGATTAAATCCAGACACAGGTAAACTTGGTATGAGTTACTCTAAATTTAAAACTAAAGATCTCTCCCAATTAGGTCATCTAATTTTAAAGGTAAGTTATTAAAATAGTTTTAATAATTGAAGTTGTTAAAATAAAAGTGTGCCTATTTGTTTGTTAAAGAGGTATCCTTGTTTCAGATTGCAGAGTTTCTGAGAGTGCTTGATGTAAGAAGGGAGAGGAAAGACGGGGATGATTATTTTGAATGCAACAATATGACTTTAATAAATCTAGTGCTAAAACTACTTGGTCCAACACATGAGAGAAGTCTCACAGTCATCATGCTCATTATTCAGGTGCAATGAAATGTTTGCATTTTATATTTATACATTTATGCTAGATATCTGTTTTTATAATTACTGTCTTACACAGGTCATGGGAAGTGTTGTGGCATTCGGGATCCGTTATCACCTGGTTCGTCTCTTTTACGATGTTTAGGGGAATAGAAATGAAAGAAGACAACACAGACTGAAAAATTTTTTTTTTTTTTGTTTGTTTTGTTTTTGTTTTGTTTGTTTTTTTATGGGGGACTTTTATTATAATACACAAATCTACAAGCCATTGTTACATTTCTGCCTTGTCCTTGGTTGAAAGGTGTTGAGATTGTGCCCTTTTATTTTTGAGTGCACTGTATTACATTGCATGCAAAAACTAAATGGTTATTAACCAAAAGGATATCTTTGCTTTACCTCTTAATTGAGTTGTTAACGGTGTCTTCTTATCATATTTAAGTCATACTTTTCAACTTGGGTACATGACAAAACATCATTGTGCAACTAATCAATAGTAATCTGGTCATATCAAGCAAAAATTGCAATGCAAAACAAAACCAAAATCTAAAACTTGATTTTCGTTGGGATATGAAGGAGATTAACAAGATTACTCTACGGTTGCATGACTCACAAATTACCAAAAAAAGAAAGAAAAAAAACAATAAATGTGAATGTAAAAATAATAGCATAGCACTGATTTGTTTACTAATATTTTGCAGTAAAAGGGTTTTGAGTTCTCAGTGTTTCATGTTTGTAATTATTGTACAGTTTATCAAAATAAAATGATAGACATTTGTTCTTTTTGTATGTGTGCGAGAGTAATCTTCACACAAAAGATAAGGGGGAAAAAATAATAATAAAAAGAAGAAGAAGAAAGAGAAGACACTCATTCCAATAGGAGTAAGCCGGAACTGTTTATGTGTGGTCTTGTTTCAGGCGGGACCATTGTAGATGCACCTTCGTCTGTGCTGTGCATTGATCGGCTGTGCTTTATAAGTGTTTTATGATGTCTTTATTAAATAAATATACAGCAGCTTTAGTTGCTTGAAACACTGACTTGAAATGTAAGAGTCAAATTCGATCGGAGTCAAATGGTGCGTTTATTTTGCAAACACAAGTTAGGCATCTGTTGGTGTTAGCCTCTGGTCAGTGGTCCAAAGTTATTTTCGACAAATGCCGCCGAAAAAACGAAAACGCAAGACAACTCTGAATTTGGAGTGTGAATGGAGTTTGTGCCAAGAAGTCTACCATGAAATCGAGGCTTTTTGTAAACACGTCGAGGAACATTTGAATACTTTGTCCATCACAGAAGAGGAAGCAGAGGAAGCAGAGGGTAAGGATTCAGTATCTATTCAATAGTAGCTGTCATGTTTTGTTTTTGCACTCATGCCTTTGTTAAACTAATTTCTGTTATTTCTTACAGGAGTGCACAGTTGTCTTTGGAGGGAGTGTGGTTTCTGCTCTTCTGATGGTCCTGAGGAGTTGAGGAGACATGTATTTTTTCACTGTTTCCATACTAAACTAAAGCAGCTGGGTCAGCAAGTACTTGAGTCCCAACCTGAGCTTAACAAATGCACTATTGGTATTGGAAGAAACATAATTCCTGAAATTCCTGACAATTTTGTGTGTCTTTGGGAACATTGCGAGGTGGGGTTGACTAACAATCTTTTGACATCTCAAGTGATTAGTATGAATAAATCTATCAAAAAATAAAATTACTGTATTTTCAGCAACGGCCATTTGAAAATCCAGAATGGTTTTATCGTCACGTTGAGATGCATAGTTTGTGTATTGATGTTCCAGCAGGAGACTGTGACTTTTCATTACGCTGTGGATGGAAAGGTGGGTTAATCTGTTTTAACAAATGGCGTTTATCTTTTGATTTGTGAATTTAATTGTGTAATCTTCTACAGATTGTGATGCTACTGTTAAAGGACGTCCTAAACTGAAAGAGCACCTTCGTAGTCACACCCAAGAGAAGATAACAGCTTGTCCAGGCTGTGGGGGCATGTACGCCAGTAATACCAAGTTATTTGACCACATCATTAGACAGAGTGCTATGGAAGGTAAAATAAAACTTTACAATTTGATTTTAGACCCAGTTTGTAATTTTGTATATTGTGTTGTTGAAATTGTATCTATTATGTGCAGGTCAGGGCAGATTTCAGTGCTCTCATTGCTCCAAACGTTTTGCAACGGAACGACTACTGAGAGATCACATGAGAAACCATGGTCTGTCATGTAATTTTTTTATGTATGAATACAGAGACATTTTGGGATGTTTGACTGCTTGCATGCGTGTGTTCGCACCAGTCCTCATTTAGACTCAAGATTTGGTCTGGTCCAGGTTTAGCTGCGGGCCAGTCACAATTTTGTTGCATTTTGTTTTCTAGTGTGAAGGCAACAATACCGAACTGTTTTGTTTATGATGCATAACATTTGTGTTGCTTTCTTTTTATATTCTCTCCAGTGAGTCACTACAAATGTCCATTGTGTGATATGACCTGTCCAACACCATCATCCCTGCGTAACCACATAAAGTATCGGCATAGTACAGAAAAGCCCTACAGCTGTGAATACTGTGAATACAGGTAAGATAACACATTTATTAAGATCTAAATGATTGAAGAAATAGTAAATAATATAATAAATAATATCCGTAGCTGCAAGAATCAAGTGGACCTCCGTAAACACCTGGACAGTCACAGCAGTGAACCAGCATTTCACTGTGATGTTTCTGGTTGTGACTTTACATCTCGTTCACTTTCCACAATGAAAATACATCACAAAAAGGAACATCAGGTGCACATAATAATTGTATGGATGTAATTCAAGTGTTCAATAAGTTATGTCTGACAGTGTTCTTTTAAAACAGGGAGACTTTATGGCCCGTTACAAATGCCATGTGTGCGAACAGTGCTTCACCAGAGGTAACAGCTTAACGGTTCATCTGCATAATAAACACCAGTTTAAATGGCCATCTGGACATCCACGTTTCAGGTATTTATTTTTCTTTCACAAAGTCATATTAATTAAGACTAATAATTACCCTTACATTTTTAGGTATAAAGAGCATGAAGATGGCTTTATGCGTCTGCAGTTGATTCGATATGAAAGTGTGGAGTTGACGGAACAGCTGATGAGAGAGAAGCAGTGCAGACAGCAGGAGGATGACAGCAGTCAGGATGAGGGTCCAGGGCTGGAGCAGGAGGTATCCGCGGAGCTGCAGGTGGAACTCAGGGGGGTGCTGTTGGAGGAGCAGGGCCCGGAGGATCAGAGCAGCCCAGAACGGAGCATGCTCTATGTCCTCTCTGAAGATTTATCAGCTACAGGGGACACTGCTGTCACGCTGCCACTGTCAGACTCCACCCAGGAACCAGGAATACAAGTTTAACTGCCACAACTACACACAAGTATAGAACCACACAAAAATACAATTTCGATGGGAGTAGCAATCTATCCTTTTTATGTGCTTCTACATCTGCTTTGACAAAAGAATAAAAAGTTAATGATTTCACCCTACATTAGGCGTAAGATCAATTGACTATGTATTTTTGTTATTTTGTTAAATGTGATGAAATTCTTGTTGTTTTATTTAATATTGCGAATGATAAATGGCCTCATGCTTATTTGATTAATTTTGTCACCACCAATGAATTAAACACACGTGAAACTACCATGTACAACGTGTTCTGTTTGCACTGTTTTGTTAAATATAAAAAAAAAATGCTTCGCTTAGTCTTTCAACTTGACCTGGCACAATGGCATCCCCTGCTGGTGGAAATGGTATATTACATGTTTTATTTTACTGTACTGGATAAAGGGGACTAAAACTCCCAACTATATGGAAGGGTGTAGAGCATGATATTGGTAATAGGTGTGAGAGAGTATATGTTGAAAGACATCTAAGCGGCAACATGTGGACAAAAGTAGTAATAATCTCCGTAGTGTCAATTTGATTAAATAAAAGGATTTTAGTTCTCTGATATAAACAATGTACAAATTAAATTATGAAATCATGTGCTTACAACATTTGGGGTTATGGAATGATTACTTTACTCTCACTGTGGCATTTTCAGATATTTTGTACAGTTCTGTCTCCAAGAGCAGCATGATCTCAGGCGCACATTGGCCTTCAGTTCGCTGAAGATTAAACTGTGCTCACAGCTTAGTGTAAGTGTTACTTACCCCACACTGCTTCCTGTCCTGAACTCAACGCTTTTGATTCTGCAAACTGAAATGTAATATAAATGGAATTTTATAGAAAATTTCAGGGGATGGGAAACTGGACATTTTATAAAGTGCTATTGCTGCTTCTTTGTGCATCCTTGTCATTTGCTCAGTGGACTGAATGGACTGGAAAGGAGGAAGGCAGTGGTAAGATCTTATGCTATATGGCTTCCTTAAAGGTGCACTATGTAACTTTTCTGATGGAGGCCCTGGCACCTGCTTGTCTCCAAGGAGATGTTATTGCTTTTTCAGGAATGTGCCACAGCAGGGCATTAAAATTGAGTTTAATGCCAGTGCATGTTACAGGTATGATCTGTGGAAATGCACTCAATGTAATTTGTGGTATTTTTGAGCTATTGATATTGCAGAACATTACAAGTAAAACTCTCTGTAATGGACCCTCTATCAATAAAGTTACACAGTGCATCTTCTAAATACCTTTTTATTTTTAAGTTTTACCTAAAAAAAAATTGTACAAAAAAATGTTGTTGTTTTTTTCTTGCAGGTGAATCTGAGTGGATACGCCAGCCAAAGTTCATAGACTACATATATTGGTCCGGCACTGCTCCTCTCTGTGTGGGAGGATGTAGAGCAAGACATCAGGAGGTCAAACGAGACCCGTGTGGGGACTCAAGCTGCTGCTGGCTCGGATACAAGTCATTATGCCGAGGTAACACATTCTCCATCAAAATCCAAACATAGAATTGTCATGATGTGATATCAAAGCCAATTCACTTTACATTCAAGTGAATTGTGGAAGACCAGCTGTTGACTATAATGGAGCAGTGTATGGGAATGATTGGTGGGTGGGCTCTGTTGTGCGCTACACTTGCCGCCCTGGCTTCATGTTACTAGGAAACTCAACCAGAACTTGTCTCCCCAATGGTCTGTGGACCCCAAGGCCATCCTGCCTAAGTAAGCCTACTATGTTTGCTGCATTTTTTTTGCGTGTGTGTTCAATTATGGTGCATACTCTATTGATGCATCTTTTTCTCATATTGTGCAGGAATGTGTAAAAAAGGCCATGTTGAAGTCAGTGAAGCTGAGCTCAATGGGACTTGCTCCTCCACATGTGCCTATAAGAGCTACTATGGCCCTCCTAAACAGGGATGTACCCGCATAGATAACTGTAGGAAGAAGGAAACTGGCTGGAAGCGTTTCTTTGCACAGTGTGTCCCTTGTATTTGTGATTGCTCTCTGTCATGTGGTGAGTAAACAATGAAATTAAATGAAAAATAAGTGTATATATATATATATATATATATATATATATATATATATATATATATATATATATATATATATATATATATATATATATATATATATATATATATATATATGTGTGTGTGTGTGTGTGTGTGTGTGTGTGTGTGTGTGTGTGTGTATATATATATATATATATATATATATATGTATATGTGTGTGTGTGTGTGTGTGTGTGTGTATATAGTTGTATATGTATTAATATAGCCTAAACTGTGTCTTTACAGCAACGGCAGGATAAAGCCTGAGTTCTCCTGAGGATGCTCCACTTAATACTGCATTTGTCTTTTTGTGTTTTGTATATTTTTATAATTTTCCTAAAATATTTAGTTTTTTCTTAATCCCTGAACTCTTAGAACAATCCAAATTCAATTTCATTCTTCAAATTCTATATACTCATTTTATTAAATCAAAAACTACAGATTGTTTATATTTCACAGAGAAAAAGTATTTTTTTGGATTGCATGACCAAAAAGTAGCTTAGTGTTCACCCATCTGTCCCGACTGCATCTGAAACTTTAATCCTGTTAGAGCCCATGTCTTTGGTCCAGGACACTCATGTGTCAGTGTCACACAAGGGAAGAATAGCCCTCAGAGAGACTAATTGTAATTTATAATTAAAAAAACCTGTTTCATACATATTTTTGTCATCATCTCAAACAATACATACTGGTATATGGCTGAATATATTACAAAATACATTTATAAAACTATGCACATTTTTCTTCAGTACAGTCAAATGATGGATTTCAATTTCCTGATAATAGCTGTCATTGTCAGAACTTCTGCAACATAATGTTTTGAATTGTTTGCTATGACAACTTTTCCATTATACTGAAACCCATGGACACACGCGTAGTTTTTATACTGATATTACTTGAAACAACCACTAGATGTCGCTGTACTGTTTATTTTACTTAGAAGGCATACGTTGCACAAATAAGGTGTGCTGTATACTTTGCTCTTGCTGAATCTCTTGTTGAACCTCACGATGAGGTGCTCAAAGGCTATAGGTTACACCTGTAATAACACAAATAATAACATACTACTTCAATTACAGTGATTCTCAATAGAAATCAGATTACATTCCCTCTGGACTAATTCCCTTGCCTTATTACATCTCATTAGGCAGTCTCAGATGACTGTGCTCCAGAGAGGACCTACTCACCTACATCCAGTTTTGTGAGGTCTCCTGAGCACTCTGCCAGGATCTCCCAGTAACTGCTCTCATCCCCTGCCAGTCCATTCACACTCTCCAGAAACAAGCCAAAGTCTGGATCCTCCTTCACTGTGAACTTGTGAACAGCTAGTCATTACTCAACACTACATTAGCAGGAGAGAGGCTATGTTTACACTGCCCTCAAAACACCCAAACACAGTTATCATTTATAGATTTTTTTGTGTTAATTTATTGGTTTATTTTATTTATTGCATAGGACTGGTGTGACTTGTAGAGGTGACCACTGACAGGTAATCATTTACTTAGATATTTATGGTGCACTGTGTAACTGTCAGGTGAATTGTCCACCATCAGCTTTTCTTCATGGGGATGTTATTGTTTTGCTTAGAATGTTCCATGGTAGCATCTTGTCTATCTCCAAGGAGACAAGCAGGGGACACAATCTGGACGAGCTAGTCTGCAACCATCCAGGGTCATGAGATGGAAAGGGAAATGGTGGACTGCTACAAGTATTTGGGCATCCACGTGAACAACAGATTGGACTAGAGAAACTGTAATGCTGTTTATAAGATAGGCATGAGTAGACTGTACTTCCTGAGAAAGCTCAGATCTTTCAATGTGTACAGCAAGTTAATGGAGATCTTCTACCAGTCTGTGATGGCCAGCTCCCTGTACTTCACTGTATTCTGCTGGGGGAGCAGCACCAGTAAAAGGAACATTGGACAGATTGACAAACTGATCCGTAAAGCTTGTTACATGATCAGCTATGAGCTGGAGATATTGGACAAACTGGTCTTCATCATGGACACTTATGCTCACCCACTGCACCAGCCTATAGAGGGACAGAGGAGCTCATTCTCCAGCAGGCTCCTAAAGCTCTGCTCAAACAGTGAAAGATACAGGACTATATTCATACCATACTCCATAAAGATGTACAACAACTCACCCTTATGTAATAGAAAACCCCATGTCATGTCAATCACTAGTTCATCTTTGCACTGTTTTCTTCTTACAACCTGTTTATAGGCTTTTGTTATTTTTGCTACTTAATTTGAATGTATTATTACCATTATTATAATATATTGTGACATGTGAGCTACTGTGTCCAAGTAAAGTCTAAGCTACAGATCAGATAGGAAGCTGCTTAAAGTACATTTTGCAAGGTAGTTTTAAGCAATTAAAACACCTGTATCAAAATTATACATGATACATATGCTTAATGCTATTAGGTGGGACATTCCATTCAAAGCAATACGCATCCATGGAAACAAGCAGGTAGCAAACCCCGCACCAAAAAATGTACAAAGCGCCCTGTTAAATTAGCTTCTATAGAGACAAATTAACTATACAGCCACTTAGTAGATAATGGAAGGAGTCTCTTACAGGAGCATTCACAGACATTTGGAATAATAAGTACATTTTAAATTTATTTGTAGCATAAATAATTTTTAAGTCCAACCACATTTACCCCACCTTTGGAACTTACACGAGTTTGTGGGTCAGTACTACACACAATCTGACCAAATAATCACCTTAATATCCCTGATGTAAGGACAGTATACCACAAGCTGAGAAATCTTACCTGTGTTTCTTGTAGCTGCCTCAGAGCACACAGAAGTACACCTCTCTTTACAGCTCAGGTGGTATATGTGTCTGGAACTGCATTGGACAAGTTATTGTATTCTCCACAGTCAATGTAACAGGAAGGACCTCTGAACCTACGTAAAGAAATTGTACATTTAAATATATGATTAATACAATTTAAAAGTCTCTTTTTTAAACATACCTTTGTCAGTAAAGATTCCCTGTATGAACAAAATGCAGCCCAGTGTGATCAGAGATGTGGTTGCTGCCATGTTTAACCCTGCCCATGACTGTGTAGGCCTTTTTATATGTAGAATAACCACATTTGCCAAACCCTTCAGGTCGACATTATATATTGACACTGGCATAACTTGAGATGTGTCAGTCCATCACAGAAACTGGAATGACCCCAGTCCTTTAGTAATGAGTAGTTTAGTACAAAGCCCAGGGTATTACACTGGCTTTTAGATGATTAATGGTCACTTTGTGCTGATCTTGTTTGTGAATGTTCTCAAACAAAAATTAAAAAAAATAAAAAATAAAAATTGAAACAAATACCATTCCTTGTCATCAGAGGTTGTTCATTGGTTCTATACAGAAGTACTGCCTTGATCAAACATGCAGTACATGTCCTAAACACAGGCGACCATCTTTCCTCTTAAACAACATCAATTAATAAAACATTTCTTAGTGTTCTACTGTCCAGTGGAACCATGCCAAGTGGTCCAGTCAAAAGTAGTCTGAAGAGCAACTCTGATGGCATCAAACGGGTCTGATTAAGAAAGGCAGGTGGGATTGGCTAAAAATGGTCTTGATTTCCTCTCAGGGGTGATGTAAGCCGCGGAGGGCCCGTTTGAACGATAGTAACCCCGGCTATTTTACCGAAAATAACCCGGGCACTGCAGCATCAGCACCAGGCAGCTGCGCAGGTGCGGCCTTTAAAGAGACAGACGGAACTAAACGTTACCAAAGTAAATTTTAATGTTTACAAAGGGCACCCCCAAAGCGCAAACTTAAAATCAGATGTCATCCCTCTGCAAGGTGTTTTCCTATTGGCCAGTCCAGTGCAGCATCCAATCCCTAGATAATATGGCTACAATGGCGAATTCATTTAAAGATGAGACTCATGATGTTGGCCAGTTTGATTTGCGGAGTCTAAACATAAACATCTCGATAGTGCTGCGTATTTTCTTTGAATTCCATTATTTCCCCTAAAAGACGTCACAACAGTGTAGCCTAATAATCTTTTGTATCTGTTACTTTACTCTGGCATGAAAACAAAACAAAACAAAAACAAACAAAATGTATTGTGGGAAAGTATCCAAAAGCATAACAGACATTTTTCTGCCTGGTAGCATCCTGTCAGCAACGCCCTGCATCTTAGCCCGGCGTGCGTACCTCACAGACGCACGCAGGAGCAGTGTGTGGCTGCTCTGTCTCTGCCGCTGATTCTGCCGCTACTGCTGCTGCTGCTGGTGATAGTGAAGCCTCTGCAGCGCTGCTGGGATGTTTATGTTCCCGCGACACATGTGTCGGACCGTGAGCTAACATCACTTTACACGAATTGGATACGGGATGGATGCGTTTGACGGAGGACAACAGAAGAAAACATGACACTAGATCGTTGCCGCTGATCCCCGGGTGATTCTCGTGGTGGGATGCAGTCCTAGTTTGAGGCTGTAGTGGATGCAGGACGGTGAGGATGGGCGAGACATATCGATGAACATTTGGAGCCCACCGGTTTTCTGTGAACCAGATCTTTTTGAATGGGTTTTTCTGACTTCAGCTTGTTCGGGCTTCAACGGGACATTCTAATGTGGCGGTGTTTTGCCTGAACAAATCGACTGGGCACTGTTGCTCCTCTGGGCTCCCTTCATCATACACTAATAGGTTTGTGTCATGTGTTTGTTGGCATTTGTCAGAATAGTTTCTGGGGAGAGTATCTAAACGAAGGATTCGGGGCTATTGCAAATGCACCAAATGCACGAGACGTTTAAGTCCTTATAAAGACTTTTTATCCGTTGTTAATTGAGGTCACGTGTTCAGTCCAAAGAACCACCCATGACAAAAACATGGAGGCCTTTACTTGAGCGGGGGGGCCATTTAGTCTGCTAGGGTTGTCCAGCCCGTGCACCCTGGTAATGGAAATTCACTAATGGCAGTATGATCAATAGCCGCTACAGTCAGTTTTCTTCCTGGTCACGTGGGTCCATATTCTTAGGAGCAATGTCAAAGAGTACTACAAGTCTAGTTTTTCTCTTCATCTACCACAGTAGAGACTGATTGTTGTGGCTTGTAACATGTTTACTTGGCAATAGGCCCTTAGTTTAATGTTTTCAAATCCTGCAGCTTTGAGGAACACTGAACTCTGTGTTTTGTGATAACTAATTGCATAATAAAATATAATTGCTCCCATGGCAAAATATAGTCATGAATAAAAATGACTTTTGATCATATATCTAAGCTATATTGAGGTCACTCTATATTGTGATATGGACATCAGTATAGAACACCAAATGTTATACGCATCTGTCATAAGATTGTGCTGCACAGCAGGGCAGGTGGGCATGACAGCAGTCACAGGCCTTTGGCTTGAACTACTCCATCAGGGGACCTCCGCAGCATCCTCCCATCTTAATCTCAGAGTGTATTATTTAGATTCACCTCCTGTGAGATGGTTTCCTTCTTTTCTAGTGTTTCCTATCTTGTGCCATCGCTATAAAGCCTATACAAATTGACATTGGATTTTCGCCAAATGTGCTATGAAACAAAAGTCACACTTTTACATTTCTTGAAGAGTGGCTGACCACCCAATGGGCTACTTATATGATGAATGTACAGTACTATAATAAATGTTGGTGTTCCATTACAAGTAATTATTGTTGCTTGGCTTACCATTTTATTTAAAAAAAATTGTGGGGTAATACCGTTGACTGTTTTCTGATTATAACAATTTACTTAACTTTTTTGTGCTGTAGGAATATGTCTCAGCATTGTTGATATGTGCCAAATGGGTTGACATGTTTGCCCAGTGGTAATAGCTTCACATTAAGTGTTGTGTTGTGAGCGAGTCAGTGGGTCACCTGCACGCTGTACATGCAATAGAGTCTATAGACATCCCTCTGTCTGGCTGTAAGAGGAAATGTATTTGAATCAGCAATATGGGCCTGCTGCAGGGCTGAAACCAGATCCTTACACTCACTGAAGCCTCTAGTCCATCCACTGAGCTATAATCACATCAAGGCCAGCCTCTTAACATGTTGTCTGAAGTCATTCCCCAAACCTTTACATTTCTTTATACAAGCTCTAGGTAACGACACTAATATAGACTTCCAGGCTGTCAACTGTAGATCACTGGATCAATTAAAATCACTACTATGTTCTGCTGGATTACATTTTTCTTTCCATAAAACATTTAAAGTGACTCAGTAGGGTAACTATATTTTATTTACATTATGGATTTGTTTGTAATATATGCACAAAGAAGAATTTATACTTTTGAATGAGCTCTATACACTTCAATCTTTTTTTTCAATTTCTTAGAGTTATGTTGACTGCTTTGGGCCTGGGGTATGGCACAGATGTCAATACAGCAATTCTTTTCTCTTTATGAAACCAAGACAATAGAAATGTTTAATTTGCCCGGGTTTTCTATATATATTCTATTAGATAAGCATAGGAAGTGTGTATTCTTGGCTGACCAGGCAAATGCTTCATGGCACTTTACTCTACCAGCTATAGTGCAGAGAAAGAGACTGTTGGACATTCTCCAGATGCTGAGAATATGACCTTTGGTGTACTTTCTTGCATAGTGTGAAAAAAAGTATGTAATAAATAGTTTACAGCCTGAAATTGGACTATTAGTTTGTATCCTTGACCTCTGCTTAGTTTTACACTACAATGGAGAGTACCTAAACCATGTTTTCCCACAGTCTTTCAGGATGGCTGAGCGGACCCTGGACCCATCCGCTGTGAGTATCCCGATGGAGGAAACCAAGCTGCACAGTGGGGCTCCTCCAGAGGCCCCTCTGCTCACACATCTGAAGAAGGTGGAGAACCACATCACTGAAGCTCAGCGTTTCTCCCACCTGCCCCGTCGCTCTGCTGTCGACCTGGAGTTTAATGAGCTGTCCTACACCATTCGTGAGGGCCCCTGGTACCGCCGGAGAGGTACTATCCCTCAGACATTTCTAACTCTACTTTAATGCACACTACTGTTGTTAATAGGTCAACATTATACAGTAGATAATGTCATCCCCTACAAGCAGATGATGAGATTTCAGATTTGCTCCCAATATTTCATCCCAAATACTGAGTGTAATGCACTGTATAAGAGGAATACAGATTTATTATTAAATAACTTATTTGGAGGGGCATTATTTTCTCTGGCCACCCAACAGCAAAAAAGCAGCAGGAAATAAGGCTTGAAGATAGCCAGATAGACAGTTCCGATACTTAACATGATGGATGGATCCACACAGACCGATCAATATCTGAAGTGCAGAGATTTCAAGAAATACATTGTGCCATTTAGATAAATATTGTTTTTCCCGGTCTGTTGTTTGGAGGACCATGCCAAAGTGTGACACAGGCCTATTACAGATATCCACCATGTTGGAGCTGTGTGTGCTATAAGCTTTGCCGAGCTCAGCAGACTTTAGACACAGTAAATAATTCACACTTGCAGGTTGGCACACTGCTCCACTTGGATTTTTCTGTGTTGTCGGATGATAAGCAGGGCATCAAGACCTAATCAATGGATCCTCTCATAAAATATAGACAGTGTTTAAGATCACTGTCTATACTAATGATGAGACTGCGTCAGGTTAAGCATGTGTCTGGATATTTTTAACCCCATAGAAAATGCTATGTGTTGTTAAATGTGCATGTCCCCTATAGAATGAGTGGTATTGGAGTCCGATAAGCAGGGAGCTGGGCCTAAGAAGGGGTCAATAAATCAGTTTGTGTGTTTGCCAACCGTGCTTCATGTTTTAGTCCAATCTTTTTTCTATGCTACTGTTTGTTTTGTCTCCTCCGGGCTCCCGTGTCTCCTCATCAACGCAATGATGTGTGAGAGGCAAGATTCGTGACTTTTCTAATTACCGCTCACTGTATGAGAGCTTGTCTTTTGTGTTGTCCTCATGAAAACACAACATCACAGCCACGCCAAAGTTTGTGGTGCAATTTAATACATGACTCTAAGGGCCTTGTTAACAGCTCTTTATTAAAAGCTTGTCTAACATTTTTGTTTTTATGTTGAATTAAAGCAGAAAAACTGCATTTTTACTGTTGCTTTGTGTCTCCTTTTGTCTCAAATAGTTTCAATTATGCAAGAATCTTTACTTCAGTAACTTATGGATTAGGTATAATTTCTACTTCAGTAACATCATTTTAAATGTAGTTCTATTCGACTTCTTAATACTTTCCTTAAATCAGTGGTTTTAGCGTTGTCAAGAAAAAGAACAAGATGATACAGAATTTTGAGTCCAAATTTTAACATTACTCCTTAATTCTACTTCCGTAATTTTATTACCTGACCAGCCAGAACCATACGCTTTGGAACTGGCTGATTAGGAAAGTAATTTTATTTTGAAGTACACTATTTTTTACTGTCCTACCTTGACTAAGGAACGAGTGCTCTAGTCTTTTGGTGCATGAATAAGGATGTCCAAATTAATCATAAATCAAAGGGGAAGGTTGTTTTAGATTTGTTGCTGCTTGTTATCAGAGAACCAGAGCAAAGGGCCTCAGAAAGGTGAGGCATTCAATGAGCAAACCGTTTGTTGTTGTCAGATCGAGGACGAGAGAGCCTCCGTTTCCTTCTCTGTTAAGATGAAGTGCTGTGTCCTGCTTTCATGTGTAGATATGTTGGTCCCAGGGGAGAGCACTGGTGTAACACAATCTATGATGGAGAGGATAGAGAAAATGCACCATATACTGTATACGCATATTAAACCAGGTGTAGTCACTCCTACCAAGGGCCTTGTTTTAATGTTCTTTTGACTGTGTATGTAACGCACACGCATTGAAAAATATTGTTATTAGTTTTTTCCATTAAAAATAAATTTTCATCACAATACTTTCAATTTTATATATTCCACACCAATTATTTTTCTTATTTTCTTTACAGAGTAGTTGAACCAGTTCTAGTGAATAGTTGATGCATTAGCTTTGATGATTTGGTTCTTGGCTTGACCATCAGTGGTTGTATAATAGTTTATATTTTATGGTTAAACTTGAGTGAATTAGTATAGAGTTGAGTGATATGCCAATACCAGCTGAATTGTGATCTGACGCCTGACTTCTCTGACAATCTATCGTCATATTGGGATTTAGTGCTTCTCTGTTCAATGCAACTCTGCTCAACCACAGTCACACAGTTACACACCAACTCCTCCTATTGGCCAGTCTGTGTCAAGCTCGTAGTGAATGACGGGTGGATTTCACAATGAAGAGTTATGTGTCTAAAGCAGTAGATGTTTTTATACTCCAGTCAATAAGTAAAGAAAGAAAGAAAAAATCATGTCTGAGAAGAAAGTGTGCAATTTGGAGATACGTTTGATAACAAGAGCAGTGAAGATGCATGCTTATGTTTTATTCAGCTGGTCCATACATCACCATATAGTGTCTCTCTCCCTCTGAATACATTTGGCCAATCCGAGAGGTCAAAGCGGTGAATCCGCTTTGAATAAATATGAAATTAATCATCATCCGCTCAGTAATTGTTTTTCTAATGAAGGCGAATAACTCTTTGAATATAGATTACAAACCGCTGTACACAGTCTGAATGATATCATGCATCTTTGGCCCTGCAAAGCTTACAGACATATTTCCTGCTTCAAGATTGGTTTGAATGCTGTTTAATAGTCAGTGTAGTGGTAATGAGTAATGTCTTCAGTGAAGTGCAGGCATGAGCAAACATTTAGAGTGCAGATCACATGCAGTTATCAGTGAGTGCTGGAAGTGATGACTTCAACTAAACCATGACTAATGAAGATAAGTCTCTGGGGTAGAAACAACCAGTATGCAGTCATGTCCTCTTACATCATTAACTATCTGTCATGTGACCCCCCCCTGCTGAGACACAGGGACCAGGAAGTGGTTTAGTCCAGATGAATGCTATTACAATTGACCCACAGTGGAGGTCAGGCCATCTATATGCTCCTCCAGAGTAAAAACAGTGACTTTTCGCTGACAACCTTTCACTTCAAGTCTGATATAATGAGACCAATGCAATCGTGATGCAAAGTAAGTGTATGCAGAATCACAAAGGTCTAGTAAAATGGGAAAAGATACTAAATAATAGAAACAATATAGTCACTGGTCTTATCATGCATTGTTAATTACAGTGGCTAGACCATGACCCACTACTGAGATGGCTTAGGTCAGTGCTAAATGGTCTTTCCCTGACTCACAATATAAACCCAATATTAACCAATAGAGAGGCATTTACTTCAAATTAATATGTTATATTATATGTTATTAAAGTTTGTCCAAATTATGCAACTATACAGATCACTTTGTGTAAGAAATCATAGGTCTGTGTCCAGTTTCAAACACTGACAAACATTCAAATCTACTTTATTTTTATAGTAAATCATTTTAAAGTAGAATGGCTATGGTTTTCCTGCTGCCCCACTAACACTATAGACTTTTACAGCTGCTTTCTTTGCTTTTACAAACTCACTTTTACAAGATTTTTCGAGAGCTAGCCCTTGATTGTTTTTTTTTTTCATAGATCAGTCAGATATCTAACTATAAAAGGGTAATCCTTTCCTGAAAGTTCTGCAGGTTCCAAAAGCAAGCAGAAAAGAAAGGGAAGACAAATATTGGGTTTGTTGTTTTCATTCTCCATAGGGTAAAAGTGCTAACGTGATCTGACATTCAATTGACTAAACATATCTTCAGTTTAAAATCTGAAAGCTAATATCCTAGGTTGGTAGGAAAATAGTGTTGGTTATTTTGTTTTTATTGTTGACTCCAACAACTTAAACAATCTTGGGGGGAACCAAATTTAGTGTCTAAACAAATTCAGTCTCTAAATCACATGTTTTTTTCAATAAAGTATTTGTATTTATTTTGTCATTACTGCATTGTGAAAAAAAAAAAAAAAAAAAATCATATTTGTTGTCTTTTAGGTTACAAGGCTCTTCTCAAATGTCTTTCTGGAAGGTTCAGCAGTAGAGAGCTCATTGGCATTATGGGCCCTTCTGGAGCTGGGAAGTCCACACTTATGAATATCTTAGCTGGTTACAGGTAAGACATAAAACATATAGAACTATGTATTACCTGTATTTCATGTATTAATCCTTTGTGTCTGTTGTTTATGCTTAAAGGGAGACTGGTATGAAGGGACAGATCCTGGTGAATGGTCGGCCCAGAGACCTGAGGACATTTCGGAAGATGTCCTGCTATATCATGCAGGATGACATGCTGCTGCCCCACCTCACTGTGCGGGAGGCCATGATGGTGAGAGCTTTGAGGCTTGAGAGCTCAGGAAATCTTTGTTTTCACCTACACCCACATTATAATACTTAGTTGCAATTATTTGAAACATTAATCAGACATTCAGTTGCCATTCTTCAAAAACAAAAGCACCAACGCTGCTAGCTACAATGAAACACAACTATGAAGAGGCGGGGCTTCTCAGCTCTGCAGTTTTGAACAGGAAGTCAGCACACAATGAACAAAATGTAAAATGCTGATCTATACTATATATATTGTAATTTAATACGAAGAACCAGAACAAAATGTATTTTTTTTTCTTGTCAGTTAAAAAAAAAAAAAAAAAAGTATAACTAAACCATGTCTCTTTCAGGTTTCGGCTAATCTGAAACTAAATGAGAGTATGCAGGTCAAAAAGGAACTTGTAAGTTTATTTCAACTTCTACTCTCTTCATTTTGTCTAAGTAGCAAAAGTAACCTACTGTTGAGGAATAGCTATGTTTTGGCAAATGGCAATGCTAAGCTACATGATCCTTTTTTCTTTGACAAAAATGTGTAGACACTGGATTTTTTTTATCCTAATAGCGACCAGGATGTATGCCCCCTTAGGCCCATAATAATGAGGACTCGCAACCCATTATTTATTTTTTTATTTATTTATTTTTATTAGGTGGATGAGATCCTGACTGCTCTGGGTCTGCAGGAGTGTGCTCAGACACGCACCAACAACCTCTCTGGTGGACAGTGTAAACGACTGGCAATAGCTCTGGAGCTGGTCAACAATCCCCCAGTCATGTTCTTTGATGAGCCCACCAGGTTTGAACTGCACCCTACTGTGTCACTGCAGACAGTACATGTATTTGTGTTAGGTCTGTAGGGAAAACAGCTTTTGAACTGAGACATATTGAATGAGAATTTTGAAATCAAAAATACTACTGAAAACAAGCAGGATAATATTAGTTAGTAGACCTTATCTAATTGAACTTAAAATATTATGAGTGCAGCAAATAGAATTTCAGTTTATGAAATGTTCACATGTTAACGTTCTTTATATAAAATCCCCACAAAGGCAAATTAAAATACATATGATAAATATTTAGCCTATTATGGTTCATCTGTCATTTATTAAATTGTGTAATTATCTTTGTAATCTATTTATTAAGTTTGAGTGTCTTTCTCTGCTCTGGTGCAGTGGCCTGGACAGTGCGTCATGCTTTCAGGTGGTGTCTCTCATGAAGTCTCTGGCTCAGGGAGGAAGGACAATCATCTGCACCATCCACCAGCCCAGTGCCAAGCTCTTTGAGATGTTTGATAAGGTACGGGACTTAAGTGCTGGCTTCTCTAAGCCCCATTAGGCCCTGCATACTCACACTTCAGGGATCAGTGTGTCCACCTGTCCACCTTGAAATGTCCAGAGTGGCTTTTGGACTCAGCATTTTGTATTCAATCTAAGAGTTAAAATCATGTTCAATAGTATGTCATTTTCAGCAGTAGCAATAATATGCATAGCAATAAACAGTATAGTTCCAAATAAAATAAAGGAAAACAAATGACATCTTATATGCTGTTTTTTTCATGCCCGTGCTTACAAGAAAGGGAAAAATTGTCATCAGTCAGTATATTTATTTCAATTTACAATTCCTAAAGATTGATAGTACTTAGAGTACAGTTACGTATTTCTAATTTGAAGATATAATGGTTTATTATATCATCGAGTAACATTCCTGTCTTTTGTTTTGTTTGTTCTAGTTGTACATTCTTAGTCAGGGTCAGTGCATCTTCAAGGGTACTGTCCCATATCTCATCCCCTACCTGAAGAACCTCGGCCTCCACTGCCCCACATATCACAACCCAGCTGATTTCAGTGAGTAAACCAGCAGTCTATTATCTTTATCACAGCTGTTACCACTGTTACCACACACTTTCTTTGGCTGCATTGTATTGATGTCTCTCTTGTGTCTGCAGTTATTGAGGTAGCATCAGGGGAGTATGGAGATCTGAACCAAGTGCTGTTTGAAGCCGTTCAGGGCGGTCTCTGTTCTGAAGATGGCAAGAAAAACTCCAGAGACAAGAATGACCCTTCCTGTAACTCCCAGGTCCATAGCGTAAGTAACCAACCCACATTATGAAGATATGATACTAGTGCATCTCCATAAATGTGACATGACATTTATGCTTTAGAAAGAATATGCAGTTTTAAAAAGACTAATGACTAATGCCCCAGTTTACTTGGAGGAGATCTGATTTCAAATTTAGCAAACAAATGTGCGTTGTCTGACCTTATGTTATGTTTAAACTTTGTTTGTGTAGTCTATTACGTAAGTGTGTTGAATATGGGTCATTTATCTCTTTTAAAATATTTATAAAAAATAAAAGTGGGCTTAAATGTAGTAGCAGTTGCCACTGAATTAAGCAACATTCTTCCTCTAGTACCAAGACTGCAAGAAATTATATCATCAGATAACTGTCACCATCTATAATTTTTTGTTTATTTGTTTATTTGTTCCCAGGAGACTGGGACTTTGGAGAAACACAGCTTTGCCACCAGTACATTCACACAGTTCTGTATCCTCTTTAAGAGGACCTTCATCACAATATGCAGGGACATGGTAAGATATCTAAACTACCCTCTCTGTTCATCTTTTAACATTATACATAAACATCTCATTGTGTTTGTTGTTCAGGTTTTAACCCACCTTCGGGTGATGTCCCATCTGTCCATTGGAGTGCTCATTGGCCTACTCTATCTCAAAATTGGAAATGATGCGAGTAAAGTGTTCAACAACACTGGCTTCCTCTTCTTCTCTATGCTGTTCCTAATGTTTGCTGCCCTGATGCCCACCGTCTTAACCTGTAAAATATCAACTATTACACGTATTATATACATGTTGTCAATAATTTTGCAGAACAAGAATTGATATTGTCACTCTTGTCCTCAGTTCCTCTGGAGATGTCTGTGTTCATGAGAGAACATCTCAACTATTGGTACAGCCTTAAAGCCTATTACTTGGCCAAGACTATGGCAGATGTCCCGTTTCAGGTAACATTTATGACCTCACAGATGTCATACAGATGACAAAGAACTGTAAGAGTGAAAACTGAAGTAAACACTTGTCATGTGCTCTTTGTTTGTGAATGTGAGCTAAATTCCAAACTAATCAGCCCTCAGACTGTGCTTTCTGTTTTCCAGGTGATATGTCCCATAATGTACTGTAGTATTGTGTACTGGATGACGGAGCAGCCTCCAGAGGCAGGACGGTTCCTGCTCTTCATGGCCTTGTCCACTTCTACAGCCCTGGTGGCCCAGTCCCTCGGGCTGCTCATAGGTGCTGCCTCCACCTCACTACAGGTACACCACAAAAATATGGTGTGAGATTGTAAAAGACAAAGTTATATATTCATTTAGACTTGTTTCTCAGGTGGCAACTTTTGTGGGACCAGTCACAGCCATACCCGTCCTCCTATTTTCTGGTTTCTTTGTCAATTTTGACACCATTCCCAAATATCTGCAGTGGAGCTCTTATGTATCATATGTCAGGTACACACTATCTTTTTCACATTGTTGGTGTTATTCAGAATGTAATATGAATGCAATGCACAAATACTTTCCAGCTCTCATAAGATGAAGGTAGGGAATTCGATCGACACTACCACGACCAATGTGGGGGAGTAAATGGATAATGTAATGTGATGCTTTTGTGATTGTTCAAAAAGTGTAGTGTTGTAAATGCATTATGCATTACAATGCATTATTACATCTAGTCACACTTTAGACTCAAAGGTCTTTTTAACGTGTAAAACATTCAATAGTCAGACATTTACCAAGCTGTTCCATGAAATACATGTAATTTCTAATAACAAAGGCAGCAAGGCCCTTTAATAGTGCAGGTTAAGGTTACTTATAAACAGCTGCTATTTTAGTTGCCATATTTCCTAAAGCTATAGTGTCAATGCTATTTCTAATTGCTCTGATGTCTTAGGTATGGGTTTGAAGGTGTGATACTCTCCATATATGGCATGAACCGGTCGGACCTGGAGTGTCCTGGGATGGTGTGTAAGTTCCAGAAACCTGAGGAGGTGCTGCAGCTGCTGGATGTAGAGGATGCTAAGCTCTATGTAGACTTCATGGTCCTGGGGGTTTTCTTCCTGGTCCTCAGACTGGCCACATACCTGGTGCTGCGCTACAAAGTCAAGTCTGAGCGCTAAGACCTCCACAGGAAAACTCATTCATATCATTTGGAAGTGTGCAAGCAAATACTATATTCCAGCCAAATTCTCCGTCTACAATGGACAACTGTATGCATCAAATCATCTGGACTTTGTCTTATCAGTTTTGAGTGAAGGGAAAGTGAAAATCATCAAGCAATGCAAGAACACATGTTACCCTCCTGAAATAATATGTATCTCTGCGCCATATGTGACAAAAAATCCGTATAGTAAAATGCATGTCTCCTCAGATTGTGAAGTTATTGGGGTGGTGATAACTTTAAAAGCCACACACCACAAGAGCTAAATTTCTATTGCAGTGCTGTTGAGCCATGTCATTTCAATTCAAATGCGTTTCATAGATTAAATATGCCGTCAACTACATCGAAAAAGATGCTACAAATGCCCAGAAAAGTGTGGCAAGGCTTCTCTCTGCCCGGTCGGATCAAAACAAAGGCGTTACAATGAAACTGCCAGTGGACAACTTTGGTTCACCGTAGCTGTAAACATAATGGAAGTGTGTTTTATCCTGGGTCTACTCTAAAAGGAGTGTGTAACTACCTTGATCTGTATTTGAAAGCCATTGATGATGTGAAAAAGGACAAAAATAAAACAGGAATGCGGACAATACTTCTGCAATTGAAAGTGTTGCAGGATGAACTTCAGGTCAAGTGCAATAGTTCAGTGGAATAAACGTTGGTGTTATTATAATTAGGACACCTTGAACTGCTTGTTTCCACTCAGTGTATGATTCATTATCTCTCCATATTTGAAAGCCCAGTCTTTCATCCCTCTTTCTCTCTGCTTTGCTGATGTCTGACTGATGTGTGTTGTTCAAACCAATGCTAGATACTTGAATTGCTGACCAGGCAGTTTTTGTGCCTCTTAAGTAAAAAGATGTTTTTCCTGGTTTTAGAGCTTATTATTTGCACATTTGGTTTATGTGGACACACTTTACATGCTGCTGACACACACACACATTATTACATACAGGTTTACATAGACATTCAGACACAGACACTTTCACTGTTGGCAATGTTTAGAAGAGCCTCTCTGTCACAAGGCAATGCAAATAATTTCCAGTACACTTGCTATGAAATATTTCTTATTCAAACTATGCTACTTAGTAACATAATATATATATATTAAATGCATAAAATGTGAGTATATAATCAATGATTGTACAGTGAATATGTTATGCTGTAAAGAAAATGTACATTTGCACTTTTCAATGTATGCTTAATTATTTTATTTATTATAATTATTTATTTGTATTTTATTTTATTTTATTTTTCTATATCTCTGTGACGAGTGCTGCTTGAAAGTATAATGAGAAAACAGCAACTGAATGTTGCATGTTCACTTTAGGAATGACTTTACTGAAATACTACATTTCAAACTATAGCAAAATTTGTTTCTTCACTAAAAATAATTTTGCCAAGTTTGAGAAATGCCAGTTCTCAATTGGTTTAAAACACAGCTATGTTGGTTGAGAAAAGAGGCAGTGATATGTTTAATGTATGTAGCCTGTGCTTAGTTTCATAACGCTGTTTTAGAAAGCTGATTACTGTAGTTTTTGAATGACATCAATAGCAATATTCAACTCTGCAATTATTTATCTGCTCTGATGGTGTTTATTAATCTTGTAGTTCATTTATAATTATTTTTGCTCTTTCATTTAGAAAGTTTATGAGAAATTTTGACGATGCTGCAATATTATTATCTAGCCACCTTTGCAAAATTCAACAATGTAAAAAATGTACTTCAAAGTTTATTTATTCATCTTCCGAGTTTCATAATTTGGAGGAACAAAGTAACTGTTTTGGTCCTTTCAAAATTATTTCTAGCATTAAATATGCAGCATAAAATTCTTCTGCTTATCCTAGAATTATAAGATAACTGTGTGCCAGAACAAAACTGCGATAATCAGCAAAGCAATTGACCCGTCTGAGAATTTCATAAGGACCATGGTACCAAAGAACAGAACAAACAATAATATTTTAGTTCAGGGAAGGGGGGGAAAATCATCTGTGGAGAAATTAGCCAAAGAAATGCTCTGGAAAGAAGGGATGGTCAGTTACACCAAGAAAGTTATGAAAAGTAGACACTGCAGCCTTAGCTGATGTTTTTATTTTATTATCCAAGACACTGGAGATGCACATCAAGATGTGGTAAAATCCAAATCAAACATGTTATGTTTTGTTCTGTTTGTACTGATTTCTTCCGTTTCTTAAATGAACCACAGTTCTTCGTACGGTGTTACTTTTGAAGCTTTGTGGGCTGCTGAAGCTATTTCACACACGTGTTTACTAATAATTTGTTTGTCATTACTGTTGACATATTGTATGTGTTTCTTTATAATCTCACTGCAACTTCTCTGTACCAAATCATGTTCCAATGATTATAATAAAATTGTTGATAACCTTGTGTTGGTCCCTTTTCCATAAAGTCTATGGTTAAAAACACCAAACGGACATACGATGCAAACCAAACAAACTCAACCTACTCATCATCATACTCATAACACAAACATGTTTTGAGTATGTGAATACTGTGTGAGGGGATGGAAAATTGAGTGGAAGACTGATGCATCTAAATATAAGGAAATACTCCTACCCTTAAAATTTATCATATACAGTATATATATGCTGCTTACTGAAGAAGATAGTTATATCCTATTTTTGTTCCTGTTATCTTTTTCAGCTTCCTTTTTCATGAACTTAATCATCTTGATTTTTATTTGTTCTTTGGTACAGACCGGCATTTTCCCACAACACCCCGCTCCTGCTTTTACAGATGACGAAAATGGCGGACAACGCAACATCCGTAGGTTTCTAAAAGATGCTAATTCTAATAATAGCAATATTACCTTATCAAACTAAAATTGTCATATTTTTTTCAATAGGTTGACGTCGTCGAAGGCTGTCGCCTTCCCGTTTTGCGCAAAAACCAAGAACACGAAGACGAATGGCGTAAGTTTTTATCTGATTTTCGTAGCTAGCTAAGCTGCCTGGCTAATGCTAACAAGCGAGCCTCAGCTGTTGTCAATAGGCAGCACGGCCTCCACTGTAAACACAAAACACACAGCGGAAACTTACACATATAACGCTAGTTACGCAGGCTGAGTTGTTTTAGTTAAATATAACTTGTACGTTTGTAACATGAATACTATCAGATAACCCTGATTTGATATTACTATTTCAATGAGTATTTAATTCTCCAAATTATGATATTAATTGTTCTTCTGAACACAAAATTAACGCTGTCGTCGCATCGCATATTTAAAATTACACACACACTTTAAATTCCAAGCTCTCAAAGCAGAATCACATCTGCACATTGTTGTAAAACCTTAATGTGTTGGTTAGCAAACGTTTCATTCACGTACTGGCAAAATTGAATAAAAACATTTGATTTATTAACTATATTATAGTTAGAGTTTGTTCTAATTAAGCATTATGAGCTCTGTTTTATTTTTAGCACTGGCTGAAATCTTGAGTGTGAAGGAAGTCTCCTCAAGAAAACTTTACTATGTACATTATATTGACTGTAAGTATGATGTTATTAAGACATTGATAATGAAATATTGTATAGCCATTAATGGGCTGTCATTAACGCCAGAAACCTTTGTTTCTTTTACAGTTAATAAGCGTCTGGATGAGTGGGTCACATTGGATCGACTAGATCTGAAAAAGCTCCAATTCCCCAAAAAAGAAGCAAAGACTCCAACTAAAAATGGTCTTCCAGGGTCGCGACCCAGCTCTCCAGAAAGAGAAGTGGTGAGGGATATTAAATTACTTAGTATTTTCTTTACCAAATGTAATAGAAAAAAATGAACATGAACATAATTAGTGTAAGACTGCAGCCATTGCTATTTCATTACAGTGATACTATGGCTATGTAACTATGCCTCAAGACTTAAAGCTGAAATTTGTTTTGATTGTTGTTCTAGAAGTCAAATGAAGCTATCCAGCCATTTAAAGGGATTGTTCATTCCGTGAAGGAGGTTCCCAGAGATACTTTGGTACGGCTCATTCACTACAGCAGGTTATTGTCAGCACGTGACTGATTTGAAGAAGAAGTGGCCATCGTTGCTCCTATTAACAGCCCTTTAGTCATGTATGGATAATGAAGAGGCTGCTGTTGTATTTTCATGATGGCTTGTTTTATAGTAGATGTAGGAATGATCAGAATGTGTTGACAAATGTGTGCTATGTATAGTTTCAAAAATAATAGTCCCTTTTTAAACAAATAAATGTATTGAATTTATGAATTTAAATTCTGTTGGCTGCCAAAATGTGTTTCCAGTAAACATAAGGGTTAACGTGATTGTAAGTTAACCCTTTTCCCTCTCTTCCTTTCTGTTCAATTCAGAGGAAGAGTCTAGATCTCAACGTACAAACCACAACCACAACCACAGCCACAGCTCCTTCCAGAGGCAAAACCCTCCCTGCTCCGGTACAACTCGAATTTACCAGTTTTAAAGAGCCATGACAGAGACCTTTTTTACTGCTGGTGTTAACATTGGGGTAACTAAAACACTGCTGGGCAGGAGATAGTAATGTCACATAAGCTCAGTGGAGTTTATTGCTGTTTTTTTTTAAGTACCTTTTGTTTCAGGATGGGCATGGCAGCATAACTTATCCAAAATGGATAAATTTAGTTAATCTCCTATGTGTTAACACCAGGTTTAAATTAGGTTAGACTTTTTATGAACTAACCTTACAAATGTAATTATTGGTTTGCTGTGGCTTTCAATCAAACACAGTTTTAAACAATCGTGTGCAGCCAGTGACTGTGGTGCCTCGATATTAAGATTTTATACCTTTCCATAATCACTCTGGAAACGGCCTTTTAAACAAAATCAGTTTCTTTACTATTTGTCCTTTTTGAAAACCCATCTCTCTAAGATATTTCTGAGCCATGTGTTTGTTACAGAAGAGAAAAGCCGAGCCTCCTGCCCCCTTGGCTCCACAGGTGTCGCCTGCCCCCCCTGTGCCCTCTCTGCCAAGTTCAGCTGAAGCCTCTCAGGCAGCTGTGTATCCGGCCGCACGAGAGAGCACCACCTTCAAGTCCAGAGAAGACCACGAGCAGCTCACGTCTCTCACCACGGTAACGCCATTTAAACACAGATTATACTGATCTGAGGAGAGCAGCTTTTTGTAAAGAAACACTTGGATTTGTCAACAGAACGGCACCGCAGCTAGGCGTCTGATCCCCCCTCAGCCCGGCAGGAAGAGGAAGGCCAACTGCGGAGTCACCGATGAGGTATGGAAAAGTGTAAAACATTGAAGCAGAAATAATTAAATTGTTGTCAACTGTTTTTTCATTCTCATTTATTTTTTATTAGTGCTGTTAACCCAATGCTTGATCCTTTTTGAATTCTCTTGACCCACTCAAAGTCTGGAATCAAAATGCCAAAATGCTTTCGGTCTGACTTCCGAAAACAGATGAATTGATTGATGTAAAGCAATTCCTATTCTCCTCTTTAGTTTCCAAAGGCCATGTTTTTGTCTTTTTCTGCTAGATGATAAAGGTTTTGCAGTATAACAAGCCTCAAAGTGCCAGTGTCTTTCTACCACCACCAGAGGTCTGTTTAATTTCCTATTATTGCCCGTTGATTTGTGTGTTGATTGACTATTTCATAGTGGGTCCAATAAAACAGAGGTGTCCCTTTCCTCTGACCCAATTTTACTTTAACCCCTTATTATTTAAATTGTGTTTAATGGTGACTAAATGCAATGTCTTGTTATCTGAAATGTAATTATTAAACGCTTTATGCCACACAGACATTATCTAATGTGGGAGTTGTTCTCAACCAGGATTCCCAGGACAGCTCTGATGGGATCCCCACAGCACCCCGCATGACGGGCAGTTTGGTGTCTGACCGTAGCCATGACGACATCGTCACGCGAATGAAAAACATAGAGTGTATTGAGCTCGGGCGACACAGGCTGAAGCCTTGGTACTTCTCCCCGTATCCACAGGAGCTGACATCACTGCCCATCCTCTACCTCTGCGAATTCTGCCTCAAATACGTCAAAAGTCTCAAGTGTCTCCAAAGACATTTAGTAAGAACTGCCTTGTTATAAACCTATGTGCACTGGTGAAAGTTTTACTCAGCTTTATGCTCTTTCCACAGACAAAATGTAACCTACGACATCCGCCTGGCAATGAGATCTACCGCAAAGGCACCATTTCATTTTTTGAAATTGATGGCAGAAAAAACAAAGTCTGTAATTCATTTTTTTTGTATTTATTGGTGATACCTTCCCAGATTACACTAACATAATATTTTCTCTTTTTAGACGTATTCCCAGAACCTGTGTTTAATCGCTAAGTGTTTCCTGGACCACAAAACCTTATACTACGATACCGACCCTTTTCTCTTTTATGTAATGACTGAATATGACTCCAAAGGCTTCCACATAGTTGGCTACTTCTCGAAGGTACTAACAATCACTTCAAAATATCAAAGTGTTCATTGTTTCGTTACTAATATAAATATACATGTACACAGGAGAAAGAGTCCACTGAAGATTATAATGTGGCCTGCATCTTAACCTTACCTCCATACCAGCGCAGGGGCTATGGCAAGCTGCTCATCGAGTTCAGTAAGTAAAGATGGCACTAGCAGATTCTCTTTGTTTGACTATTAGAGCTGCAACTAATTATTCTTTAATAGTTTGTGATTTTTTTTATTTTTTTTTTGACTCAAGCAATAACAAGACTGAAATGCAACCATGCTTATTTTTATAGTCAACTAGTCACAATTAGTCTATTAAATCATTTCAGACCTTGTGAATATCTAGATTAGTCAGACAGTCGGGGGCCTCTTGGGGCTCAGGAGGCAGGGATGGTTGTGCGTGTACTAGTTGGGTTAATGCTTTGATCTATAAGTGTTTGACAATGGATGTACTAGCTGTAAAATGTGAATCTGTGTGCTGGTTTACATGAAAAATGTTCTGGTTTGTGCTTGTCAGGTTATGAACTTTCCAAAGTAGAAGGGAAAACCGGCACTCCTGAAAAACCACTCTCCGATTTAGGTCTTCTGTCCTATCGCTCCTACTGGTCTCAAACTATTTTAGAAATACTTATGGACCTCAAGCCTGACAATGGGGAGCGGCCTCAAATAACCATCAAGTAGGTACCTCTTTATTGCTTAGCCAAGTAGTTACACAAACTGGTGTCTTATATTTACCTGCAGCTAAAATTTGATCCTTATCTGTTTGCTGAAGGTATTGGATTACTGAAATGTCATGTGAACTATTAAATCTCATAAATGAGTAATCTGATTGTTTTCTGATTCTTCATAACTGTGCTGGTTTGGACAAGGAAATGTACTGAATGAAAGTGTGATTTTAAAAGTCACTGTAATTTGACTTCCAAATTCATCATTAGCTTTAAAAATCAGTTCATTAACTGACTCATCCCACCCGGTGTTTTTGATGATCAGATTTGTTTTGTTTGTATAAACACACCAAAGATATCTAATTGTGGAGTTATCAGATTATTCTAGTCTTCCAATTTTAGTAGATTTTAGTAAATGTAATAATTTGTTGTTTCTCTTTCAGTGAAATTAGTGAGATGACAAGTGTTAAGAAAGAAGATGTCATTTCAACGCTACAGTACCTCAATCTGATCAACTATTATAAGGTAAAAGTTAAACAACTCACTGTTTAGTTTTGTCCACTTGCTGCCTTGATTTTAAATGTGATTTTTAAAATTATATCTAGGGTCAGTACATCTTGACACTTTCAGAGGAGATTGTGGATGGACATGAAAAAGCCATGCAGAAGAGACATCTGCGTATAGATCCAAAATGCCTTCACTTCACACCCAAGGACTGGAGCAAGAGGGGCAAGTGGTAGACCCCACCCACTATCCACCTGAACATGGGAAGTACTACCGCTGTTCACAAACCCATTTTTAAGTCCCAAACTTTTCAGAACTCCAACACAAGGCTTTTTTGTCATGAACAATATAAAAACTGTGGGATAAAGTACACACTGGTTAGTAACACCGAGGAGAAGCTGCAACTACTGTGCATCAGACTGTCTTTCTATGTAGTTTATGTTGTGTCAAGATCATTTGTAAGACAAACATTTTTTAATGGGATCAAGCTGAAACCCCCATAATAAATCTAATCTAAATAGATATGTTTATTTGTTTACAGCATTGAAAATCTGTTTGTGAACAAGTGAAAAAAGTGGACATTTTATCTTTTTTATTTTTGTTTTCATACAAAATAAATGCTAATATATAGCACTCCAAATTTAGCAGTGACTGTGTGAATACATTTTATTCATAGTAATGTTAATATATGTAAGTGGCACATTAAGTCGAAACACTATTAGGAGCAATTTGTACAGTATGTGGCCAAATCCTTTAGCTAGTGGTGTGTTTGGACTGGTTGTTTTTGTGTAGGAATAATTAAAAATATGATGAATTGTTATTCATGCAAAATAACTTAACTCTTCAGTGCCTGGATTTCCTACTTGATAGGATTGTCCACTTTAGGAATTAGAAAAAGTCATCTACCTAAAATGAAAAATTCACATTGAGTTCCATGTTGGTTTTCAATTGTCACATGAAAGTTAGTGTTTTTACCTTTTAGATCAGATCCTGTGTGACCATGCTGTGTGCAATGAGACAAATCAACATATCTTTTTTATGTTTCTGTAAATGTAAAAATGAAAATCTGATTGTAAAAACATAGAAAGGCCATGTTGAACTGTTACAGGAATTTAAATGATGTATACAGTACAGTTTTTACTTCCATGAAATCGCACAATATTGTTACCAGAAGGCAGTGATTTATTTCTTTGACATTGTGTTTTATGTTTACATGTCACATAAGATGTTGAATTTAATATATCTTTAAGTGGAACACAGTCAAACATTCAATTTGATATGGACGCATTGAACAGTTCATAAAAAAGGAAAAAAAGCAACATCCTGTGTCTTTATATTTTAATGCACTTTGTCATGTGGTGGGCAGAATGGTACCTTGTCTTATAACAACTGAGAATCTTTTTTTTTTTTTTTTTAAATTATGATTTGTCATATTGTGACCTCATTTGGGTACTTTGCATTGTCCCTCAACGTCTTATATGTGCTCTAAATGGCATTTATGATTCTGCCTGACCTGCTTGTCCTGTTGGAGATTTGTTTTTCCTAGAACGGTCTACAGTATGGCATTAAAATTATCTGTCTACATGGAGACAAGCAGCTGATCTTTGGAGATGTGACCCTACAGTCAAAATGCATGCTTTTTCAAAGTATTTTATAAATGTAATGTAATTTTAAGATATACGTATAAGGCCTTATGTATACGTTAAGGTCATAACTTTGAAAATCCAAACAAAACGATAAGATCTTGGAGACAGCAGGTGGCAGACCTCTCCCCCCAAAAAGTTGCATAGCACACCCTCTAAACAGCAAAAGTTGAGTTTCGCTGTCAACTGCAAGACGGCATGTTGCACACGAGGGGGCGCTGTGGCACTTGAGGTTGTTTCTCCAAATCAAGCATTAACAAACTTAACACCGCCACTGTCAAAGCATGTGACTGATGCTTTAATATGTATTTATCCAATCTTTATCATAAGGACAGGTCTCAGGACACCATAACTGCAGGTAAGCGTTTTTAAAAACAGTAAAACTTGATAGCATTCATAATAACTGTGAATAGACCAGCAGTCAGGATAGAATTACATTTCGTGATCTTTCTTTAGAGTTGTTAATGGCCGCTTGGGGCAAACATTGATTTCAATGAAGGTACCAAACACAAGACGGTTTTAACAAAGTGAAAATCCTTTCTTCTGAGAGTAAGCATTACATTTAAATATCTGCAACTCTAAACGTTTGGTGTAATTTTTTACATCTCTTGCTCATAAGAATAAGATTTGTAATTCTGATAATTTTTGCCTATTTTCTTGTGTGCCCTCGCACCTAGCGGAGTCCAGGATGACACGGAGGAATTTCACTCTAATCTAAGGTCCTCTCCACATGTAGACAGTCTTCTTCCTGATCTGTGCTTCTCATGTTAAAGCCTACATTCTACCTCCTGGACCCTGTCTGTCTTTTTTTTTTTTTTTTTCTTCAGTCATAACCTAATTTTACTTTTTACATTTAACATTTGAAGATGTTGATATCGTGCCAAATTTGAGCCAATAGTCTACTTGATGAAAATATGCTAAATAAGTGTCTAACTGGCTTCAGGCTTAAGTACCTGCACCCCCAATAATGTAATTATGTGTATAATAACAACATTGTGAGATGTTTGTGTGCTCCTTCCACAGGGTGTCACTGTAGCTCAGGGCGATTTACTCTCCTGTGGGGGACTTCTCATAACTGTGTAGAAGTTAAAGTACTTAAAGTTAAAGTACTACACAATTGCAAAACTACTACAAAATGGCTGTTGTAAATCAACTCATATTTTTATACTTAACTATTTGCATTGTAATAGACAGTTCAGTGGGCATAATGAAAAACTCTAGTAGTTAATTTGCATCTATAATGAGTCATAGAAGTTATTTCAGCCCCCACTATCCAGCTAAAAATGTATCCTCCAAATTACTGTTATTGAAAAATAGGTCAATATGGTAATTACGATGACAGGCCTATGGTTTCCACTCTCTGAACAGTTTGACTCGTATCAACCCAACCACTGTTTTTATTTTCTCTTATCTGCAGCAGACACGCTCTTTTAAGAGTGGAGGCTCCTCCACCCCTGAAGCCCCCGCCCTGCACTGCTCGGAGCCTGACCAGAGCCTCTGACCTGCTAACACATACACACACACACACACACACACACACACACACACACAGAGGGCCATATGGTGCAACCGGGTCATACCTCATCCAGTCATTACTGGGGGTGGAGGACAGTGACTGCTGCTGCTGAGGTCAAAATACCAAAAGTCTGTATCTTGGACACCATGATGCTCACAGGTAAACATAAAAATGCATTATGTAACTTTTCTGGTGGAGGGTCCACCACCTGCTCATCTCCATGAAGGCGTTTTTGCTTGCCTGTAATGCTACACAACATGGCATTACATTCATGTATCCCATGAAAACTAGTAGATAATGTCACCAGGCAAAGTTACAGGTCAGATCTGTGGAGAGAAGACCATGCTCACAGAAAGATACTTTCTAGCAATAAAAACACCTGCATGATATATATGTTCAATGCTGTACTCTGGAACCCCAGGTAAAACAATAACCTGCACATAGTACACCTTTAAAGATGCTGCAGTGTCTGATGGGAAAGAGGAAAAGTCCAGCTGGGTGTTGTTATGGCCCCGGTGCGGCTGTGTAATTGTTTGGAGGCAGGTTGATTGTTTGTTGTGGGGTGGACCCTCACGCACCACGTTTGAGGAGCACACAGTGGTCTGACAAATAAACTGTGTCTCCAGCAGACACACACTTTGACCTTTGACCCCCAGCCTTTATCTCCTTGCTCCAGAAATGTCAGTGTGTCACTTTCTGAATCACTCATTCAATACATTTTACTAGTAACATTGGCTCTCTTAATTGACAGAACAATTACCAATTATAATCTAATTTCTCAAAATAGATTTATCTGGGTGTGTACTCTTTGTGACAGCCCCCAGCCTAAGTGAATGGAAATGTTTGTACTGATGACGTGAGTAAAAAAATACAATAACATTTTACTGTAAAGGGCTTACACAGTAATGCAGAAGACACCATTTATCCACTGTACTGGGACAAAAAATCCCAGCATAACTTAACCAAAGACTGTTGGCAATAATTTTTTGTTATTGTCTTATTACATAAGATACAATTCAAACTGTGAGTACTGTCTGTGCATTCAGCAACTATTATTCCACTATTTTGCTTGTAAAGCATTTTTCACATTTCCACCACAGTGATGTCGCTTCGCCTAGCTGCTGTCCATCGCTGCTTCTCTGACAAGGAAATGAGGAGGGGTTTGTGTGACAGAAAGAGAGAGAGAGAGAGAGAAAGAGGAGGAGGAGAGAGAGGGGGGCCGGCCTTGGTGTGATGTGAATGGAATCGAATCAGCGCAAAAGGGGAGGAAGCCCAGCACAAATCAACCTGCCTCTTGACTTAACAACAGACTGACACAGAGAGGCACCGGCTTGGATCTGCAAAAGTGCGTGCCCCGACTTCCTTTTTCGTCACTATTGTTATTATTTTAGGAGGAACCAAAGCCTAGAGGAACTGAAGAAAAACTCACCGTGGAAATAGAATAGCAGAAAAATGCTGTCATGGGGAGAGCAGGGGAGGGAGCTGACAATGAGGAACAGGATGGATCGTGGCAGGGTCGACCGGAGCTAAAATGTGGAGGTAAGTCTATGCTTTTCTTTATGCATTTTGTTGTAGCAAGATGCAGTGAAAGCTTTTCCTGTGTCCTCGTGCCCTCCTTTTCTGATGGTAATGAATTTAGATGGACAGGCCGGCTAGCGCATACCTCTGCATATGCACCCATACACAGACACAATGTATGAGCTATCATATAATCCCCTAGCCTGTCCTCTCCCTGCCTTTTATTCCCATTGTGTAGCATCTAGCACATTTGAATGTATTCGCAGGATGACCCAGAGTCACTTTAAGCTGAGGTACACATGCTTAGTTATCATAGCATCCTGCCAACCCCCCCAACCTTTGTCGCATTTCATATCCCCCCTCCACCATCACCTCCTCCTCCTCCCCCGACTCTCACCCCCCACTTCTTTGCTGTCTTTCTCCATTGTGCCGCGTCCCCGTAGCGAGAGGCATAAGCAGCGTTATGACATGCTCGAGCCAAGCTGCCCGACCGGGAGACAGAGGCAGAGGAGGGGGTCAAGGTGGCAGCAGGCGTGGATGCTTGCTTAGAGAGATGCTAGGAGGATGGAGGAGAGAAAGCAGTGACTGAAAGACATAAGGGAAAAGGAAGCAGGATTGTCAATGTAATGAAAAAGCCATTTTATGTGCTGGTGTTGGCCTAGGATTTGAGTGGGTAAAGAGGATTGTACGCACTGCTGTGCAGAGACAATGATGGTATAAAATTATGACTACTGTGGTGTTCTGGCACTAAAAATATGGCATTTATAGTGTCAAGTATCCTTCCCCCTTCTTTGCATTTGTTTATCCCCCAACAGTAGTATCAACAGAACCCCTCAAAAGACAGAATAGAGAGCTATATGGGTGCAGTAGGGACAGCATCAATAATCACATTTATTGCATAAGACCATTTCATTCATTTATTCCATATTGATTATAATGTGGTTGACATTGGTAATATTTTCCCTGAGGATGAGATGCTCTTTGTTTCTGTGGGCAGCGATGAGTGCATGTATCCTGGTGGCCGTTGACTAAACTGACAGAGATAGGGTGATGTCATCTGGGTTGATTTGAGATGTCGTCTGGCAGGTGTGCTGAAGAGAAAAGGACCTAGTTTTAACTCCGCCTGCTCTGTGCTCTTTATAGGAAATGAAGAATAGTCTTGTCATACACTCACCTCTCGAGAACAGTTCACTGACATAATGGTGCTAACCGTATGCAGCCTATTTTTTCAGAACTACAAAGTCAAACCCGTTCTGACAATACCGGCGTGCATCTTGAATTAATTAACAAAATCTGTTTGAATATTAACAATGATAACTATTCCCACTAGTATCTTAGCTCCATGGGAAATTGTTTTAATAGAGAAAAGCATTTGATCCTTTGCCCTTATATGCACTTGTCCATCGCCGTAAAATTGAAATGTCTTTATTCTTCCCATTGCTCCCTGAAGTCAGACCTCCGGCAAATTAGTAATTCACAGTCTGTGCTCACGGTTTGCGTAAAGTACTCACTTAGTAACACTTAGTTCCTATTGGTTACTGAAATGAATAAAATGTCATATAACTATCACATGTGTCAAGCTGTGATTGGTACAGCTGATATTTTAATGAGATTGATTCATTGATCAATTCTTACATCACACACCATGGATATGTATATAAAGGGTTATTAACTTCACAGGGCCAAGACAGACTTTTGGTGAAATAGCTCTTCTTTTTCTCATTGCTCATTGCACTGTGTAATAATATATTTTAAGGTGTTTGCATTTTATCTAAGATCATAATGTCTAATATTTTTGTTAATCAGTATTTACTGCTAACCTGTTTGAATTAAAGCCTATTTAGAGACTGAATGCTGTTACTTACTATGAAATAAATCACTATATTGCACAGTCTATCGGCTGTCTGTATTTCCAATTTATATTAAATAAGCTATATGCATCAGCCCCCAAAATTCCATATCGGTCGACCTCTAATGTTAACTAGGCATCATTTGTTATGGTTTGAAAGCAGGTCTTAGCATGTATTGACCCTTTGCTCCTCGTCTTTCTGGCGACACTGTCTGGTACATACAGTAGGTGTCCTGTCCTCTAAGAGCTTCCTGTGGGACTGTCCCATCTGTAGAGGCAGAGGTAGATTTCAGATCAATCAGCTTCTCTCCTGCAGCAAACTTGAGACTGGAGTCAAGATGGCTCAAGGGTACGCATCCACTGTGCGGTTTGTGTTGTAAAGCTATCCCTGCCTTATACTATCAAAGGCTTTTGCAGTCCTCAGAAAGCAGGGCAAGTTTTGTGTCATTAGCAGAGTGAGTGCAGGTGGGGAAGTGTTCAACTAATGATGACTTATAGCCAGAGATGCACTACAGGGTGAACAGGTCCAGTATTTGTACTTTTACTTTCATCCTGAATCTAGTGAAAATGATGCACTACTGTTTCCCAAAACAAGCCTCTGGTTTGACAAATAGCTAACAAGAGTCAACAAGAGTCATTACCCACTGCACTGAGGTGACAGCAGGAAACCTAACAAGCTAACTGTGGGAGCACCATAAGGCTTGTTTCCATTGGTTCACCTTGGAATGGTACGGTCCAAAGGCCTTTAAACTACAAGATTTATCACAGACAAATTTAAGCCATAATTTCAAGTGTTGTAAATGCTGCAGTTATTTAAGTACCTTTATTTCCTCTTCAAACAACCTAATATCCTGTCTTATTCTGTATAAAAGCCGCTAACCATGTTTTGAAATGTATGAGATTCTCTTATTAGTTTAGCAGTTCATTTTCCTCTGTTAAATGTTGACATGTTTAAAATGTAAATATTAAAAATACATATTTTCGAATCTATTCATAAATCCAATGCTTATTAGAACTATTGTCATTAGACACTTTCATTTACTCATTTTGCCCACAGACTGACCTAATTCAGAGTGTTTTCAGAGTAGTTTTAAATATAATGAAGTTACAGGCTGATCTATCACTGGGCTGAGTCAGTGTTTTTGGATACACTTTGCCCATTTACACAAAAGGTTCCCTGTGGGTCTCAGTGTGGGCAGAAGGACAGAAGGAGTGAGGATGTAGTAAAGCCCTCAACAGTCAAACTGCTTCCTGTGGTCTGTCCCAACAGAAAAATCACTCCTTATTAGTGATCTCCAGAGAAGTTGCTTTTTATTGAGTATGTCATCATTTTAATATTTAATATTTATTGCATGACAGAAGCTAATGAGTCAAACACTGGCTACAACACATTTGTATAATGATTATGTTGTATTTATCTTTCCTTTGAAATGCCTCTAAATGACTCATCAGTTCTACTTTCAGCACAAAACAATTTCATGTGTTCAAATTTACACTGGGAATAACTAAGTACAGTTTCTTAATATACTGTGATGAAAAGGCTCCAACAGCAATATAAAGAACATTTGATGATCACCTTGGAGAGAAATATATTACTGGAAGCATTTTAAATTGGTGAGATATTGCTGAAGTATGAGATACTGGAGAGATTGAAATTGATTCATATATTTTCAATAAGAAGTTAATGAAAATTGTAATGTGTCGTTCACGCTTGCAATAGCTTGTTGGGACCAATGTTGGTTCTTGCTTGACCACTTAAGTATAAAATCTACAGGATACACTAAAGCGACCCTCTTCAGTGTACCAGCGCAGCCCATCCTGAAACACCAAGTCTCCCTGCGTTATGTCATACACAGTATATATTAAACCATTAAGCACCACTGTGGCTCCATCTCATTGTCTGCTACAGGCCAAGTGCACTCCAGGGTATTCAGAGCCACTGAAAGCCAAGCAACATTCAGCCCTACCCCATGCCAGAACATGGAGATACTGAGAGATCAGAAATTCCCAAACCACGTCACAGAACAGTAAAACATAACCCTGAGTGAGAAGACTGTGTACCACTTTGTGATGTAGTAAACATCAGGATCAGCATGTAAAGGTCCTATAAGCAAACATGACTTTTGAGATTTTAGAACAGTGTTGTAATTGATTTGCTTTATCTAAATGTACCATAAAAGTTATTATATATGTGTATGACACAGTAATCCAGCTTATTAAGTATGCATTAACACCTTGTCTAGTCCTGGTCCAGTCTAGGTTTGATGTGGTGAGTAAAGTATTCCTCATGTTAACAGCTCAAAAACCATGCTTCTTTATATCACAGACATCTTATCAACTTTGACCTATGCAACTCCAGTTTAAAGCTTGATTAAAACAGCTTTACTCCCCAGTGCACCTGCAGCTCTTTTGCCCTATAAAAACCTGAGTAATGCTTGATATTAGACCTCACTCAACCAGGAAGAGACTGTTGCCTTTTCTTTCGCGTCAGTCATGATGCAGGATGTAGAGACATGCAACCTTAGGGCCTCAAAGTGAACACATCAGGCAGGGTACTGCCTCACTTCCTGATTTATGAGTTTTCATACTAGACAAGCACCTCACAACTACAGCTATTTTTACCCATTTTTACCCAGAAAATTCAGGCGCTCTGATAAAAACCTGACAATCCAACAGCATGTAATAGTTCAGTGAGTCAGGGCTAGTTCACACAGTGCACAACTGTATGACGCAGTTTGTGTGTTTTTAAGCAGAAGTTTAAAGCCACAGATAAACAGCGTGACCTGTTCCTCCTTTAACCTTTGCACACAAATTCTCCATTTCTGCTACAGGCTCCAGAGCATTTTGTTTCCAGTGAATCATATTTTTGGCATTTTGGTGCATAAACCTGCTCTATGTAGGTCACAAGGTGCAGAGATGTGGGTGCAAATGACTGGCTGCAATTTTCAGATATAGTCAATGATCTCTGCTGTTTTTTTATAGGCTAGAGTATTTTTAAACTTATTTTACCACCTCAGAAACAAATAGGGCAACCAGTGGTCTATATTTTAACCTACTCACATGACCCAAACAAGCATGTTTTACACATAAATGTCTAAACCAAAACTAAACCTGAAACCTTCAATAAATTCTAAATATTTCATATATCAGTAGTATTATTTATAAACACTAT